GTCTCTTTTATTCTACATTTCATTTGTCGAATGATTTCTAGCGATTTTATAAAGTAATGGTTTTACAAAGCAATCTCAAGGTTGTTTGCTGTTATTTGATACAGATCTACTGTAAGAAATCAATTAATTTTTTTTCAGTTAACGGTTGATTAAATTTCAGTAAAGAAAATGCATAAAATAAATTAAAATACTTGTGTAGTATTGATAAAGGAATTATTATATTCGTATGATCACGAAATTTATTTTTATTTTATTAAATAAATTTTGGGTAAAATAGTATTAGAAATGAAATTTAATCAGTAAAATTTTCATTATGAATACGAAAATATTAAGATACATTTAAACTATTAAAAGATTTGTTCAGAAATATTAAAATGTAAAGATATATATATATATTGTAAGAATATAACTATTAAAGAAATTTAATTATCCATAAACAAGAAGAATGTAATAATGTAATGTTTTATAAGAACATAAGAGTGTAATGTTTTGATAACATATTAATCATAGTAACAGTATAATAAAACAGTTTTGTTAATATGTAGGTAAATAAAGAAAATCTTGCAATAATTTAATTCGTATTTAAAATTTCATTTGTTTTGGTTTTGTTAATTGTATACTTATATATATATAATTACGGTACGTATGTACTTATGTACATGTATTTTTTTAAATTATAGAATTAAAATTGCTAGATGTAAAATTGTATTATGTATTTTATAACTGTATTTATTATTATTATATCAGTGTTTCTATTTTTTCGTAATTTGTGTTTATAAATAAGAACCGGTTCATCATATGAATATGAGTATCACACGGTTATTATCATTATATTTTCTGGAAAGAGAAAGAATCTAAGTAAGAGAAACTTCCTGCAAATTTACTTTCACGTTTACACTGATCGTTTAAAGCAAGGTGGTATGTATTGGTTAGTGCAATATGCAAGTAAAAATATCAAGTAACTTGGTATAAAGTTGTTTATTTTTTTAAAAATATTATGCTGCTATTTATTTATTTTTATTAGTATTTATTATTTAATTTTGATTAATTTAACAAATGAAATTTTGATTAGCTAGGCAAAATGAAAAAGTATAGGAACTTTAAAAAATGTTAAATTTATAAACTTAATGTTAAATAAATACCAAATTAAATTGTTGAATTAATTAATTACAATTTACAATATTAAATACCAAATTTTAATTAAACAATTATGAAATAAAAAATAAATAAATTAATTAATTCTGAAATTTCAAATTTATAAACTAATTAATTTATTTTTATTTAATAATTTATTTAATAGTTGGTAAATTTGTAACAATTTCACGTAAGAATGTATAATCATATAGATTATAAAACAAATAAAATAAACAAAATATAAAAGGAAATTATTAAATTGTACACCAAATTTAATAAAAATACGTAAAACAATACGTACTGAAATGTATTGAGTTGTAAATATACATATATGTATATATTTAAGTAACATTTGAGATGCTTACGAAGAAGGTAAAAGATTATAAAATATGATCTACATGTATTTACTATAATGAATGTATGTACATATTTGCGTATTATACATTGAAATAATATTTGCGTATATTACATTGAAAAATTTGGGTGACTAAAGATTGAATATTTAAAATGTGAATACTTGAAGAATTAATAGAGCATAGTACAGAAATGGTAAACAAAATTTAATCTTTAGACAAACAAGAAGTGCATGTACATTTTGTATTACAGAATATAAATGTTATTATGGATGATTTAAACATGATTTTAACACGAAGATCTTTAACAAATTATTTTAATTGATAATACTCTCTTTGAAATTTACAATTAATGAGATAATTATAATTTTAATAAAATCGTATAATGAACTTTTGCAATGCTTATTCTTTATTATTTTTCTCTTATTGTATTTTTTCTTTTTTTAAAATTGGTCTTAAAATTTTATTGTCACATTATATATACATATATACAAAGAAAATATATACTTATATTTATAGAAGTTGTTTTAAAATAATGTATACTTTACAATATTCTTATATATTTTCTTTATACAATTTAATGTAATGTAATGTAATATAATGTAATTTATGATTGATACAAGGACCTTGTATATTATTTTTATAATTGTATATATTTAGAAATGATTTAATGCTTCATAATATAATTGTAATTTATAAAAATTTTAAAACTTCTTACTTTGTATAAAACAAGAAGTATAAAAAGATTTATACAAATTTTATTAGAAACTTACTTTACTTACTTAAAATAAAGAAATCCAATTTTTCTTGAATAAGTTCTTCAAAAATAAAGAATTTCAATTTTCACTTTCTAGAAATTTTTTGTACAGTATTTCTAATTTTATTTATAGTATCTTGATTCTACATTAATATATTGCTATAATAGGAAATACACATATATATATATCGGAAGCAATTTGTTATTCGTGAGTAAAAACAAAAAGACTCGAGTTGTGAAAGTTTGAAAGACTCTTATTAAGATTTTCTTATTCAAATCATATGTTTGTAAAAAAAACATCAGTGTTTCAATTTTCTAAAATTTCATTTTTTCTAAAATATTCATCTTTATTACACATTATATTCATATGAATATTCATTTGGTAAGCACTTTTCGTTATGAATTAGTGGAAATTGAATTATGTAATACATATTTTTTTTTTGTATGTGATAGATCTTATTGTAATATTAGTTATATTTACAAATTTCAAATTATTAATAACATTTAGTCTCGTGCGAATTTTCTGTTGAAATGTTTTATGACTGTATTTTATTACAAAATACAATGTACGTCATATTAACTTATAAATCATTTGTAATTAAATGATTGTATCATATGTATAAATCGTCGTATATCTGAAAAAAATCATAATATTATACTTTAGTATTGATTGATGATACGTAAATAATATAACAAAGAAATGATATATAGGAACGAAATTGTGCAAAGCTGAGATAATAATATTTTAATTAGCCTAGACTTTTCGTTTAAATTAGCAATGATGAAAGGTTTTATTAAAGACGTCGAAAGTGAATCTCGTGGGAAAAGTTTCTCAAGAGCGCGTAACTTTCTCTGCGTTAGACTGCTTTCCCAACTCCTTTCCGGCTTCAGACTATACATTCTCAGTCAAGCAGAACGACATAAAAGTCACCTGAGAATTCGTCTTCCGCAATTTTATTGAGTCGCATTGCAAGTAGGTCAAATGATTTTAGTTGTTTTATACATAATTTCATCAAATTATAAATTATTTCATCAATATTAACTTCGTTAATATTGCAGTAACATTCAGCTATGACGATTATTAAATTGTATTTTTAAATTTTCAACGTCATATTTTTAAATGTAATTAAAGAAATAAAATCTAAATAAAAAGTAATTCCTTCTATATATTATTATAATTCTTATTTTTCTTTGAATATTTTATATATTTTTGCATATTGTGTGCACTCTGAATATTTTTGCATTCTCAAATTTCCCATAAATGTATAAAAATCCGCAGTCTATTGATTATATTGCTTAAGTTTGAAACAAATATATGTAATAAAAATTTTTGAAGTTAATTTCCTGTTATATGCATTAATCTTATGCTGTATGTATCATAAGAAAATTTTAATTGTACAGAAGTATGAACTCCAGCTATCTTAATCAAATTTTAATTAATATTCGATTCAATTGCTGGTTGAATTTACTTACTTTGAAATTCTAATTATGTAACCGAAAAATCACAGTAGGGGAGAGAATTAATGGATTCTAATTATATAAACTCCTATTATTCCAATAGTAAACTATTTGTCTCCGAACAAGTTCATATAAGTGGAGTTTTACCATACATATATTATAATAAATAGAAACATTAAAAGTGCTGCAATCAATGATATTGAGCTCACACAATTGAACATTTACGAATACAAAATATTATATTTTAGAAAGTATTTGTGCAATTACATGAGTAAAATTTGAAAATTATTTTGTGTAACTCATAGGTTAATAATTTTGTTCAAATTTTCTTTGAGTTCCAGATAATTTCTAAACGATAAACATTTTTATTTCATTGTTTATTTTTTATTATTTACTTTTTGTAATAATATTTATTAAATAGAAAATTTATTAAATATTTAATAAATCGAATTTACTGGATTAGCTTTTAATTTTCAATATCAATTTTTTTTTTGAAACGAAACTTTGCTTGAGAAGAAAAATATTATTATATATTTTTATCATGCTTTCTTACTTTGCTTTTCATACAATACAATACTAATTTAATGATTCCATGTATTTGCAGTATTATAAAAAAATTTTAGATTATACTACTATAATATGCCAATATAACAACTTGTTATATTTTATTTTATAGCTTATTATATTATAACATATAATATTGTATGTATTGTAATTATATTTAATTTTATAGTTTATATTGATAGTGTTGTAGTTTATATTAAAAATGTAATTTAAGAAAGTTTCAACAGAAATCAGCTTTTTAACATCAAAAATGAAATGATACAAAATATCAAATGGGATTATTAAAAAATTGTTTCAAAAGTTATTTGTCAAAATAGTTTGATAAAATATTAAGATAAGATATCGATTATTTTAAATTAATTAATATTTATTTTAGAAACTATAAATTTTCTCGTTAAAATAATTAGATCTTATTAAAAAATAATAAGATCAGAATACCATCAGTTAACGTTAAATTAACCCTCTACACTCCGAATTATTTTTCAATTTTTTCTTTTTTTTTTTTGGCAATTTAACTGGTAATGTAAAAATGTCGAATGTGACTCAACATAAGAGTTTTTGTGATAAAAATTGTCAAGTCACACTCGACAAAAGAGTGTAAAAGTTAATTTATAAAGTAAAAAAACTTTTTCTTTCCACTGTTTCAATTGGTGTCAAGTTTTTGCATGATATTGCACATATTGTAACAAGAAATACTTATTTTGTTATTTAAAATTTGCAATGTTTTTTAATAGGTCTTTTAACGGTTTCCGTGGGCGAGGAGACGATTTCAAATGCAGCTGAAAAAGTGAAAACCTCCTCTGACAATGTAGGCGACATTGTCATGTTGGAAATCGATGTCAAGGAGCCTGTGAAGAGATCACCGATTTCAGCCACTGCCGAATATGGTGCTCCAACCAATCAGTACATTCTTCAATCAGCTGATAATTCTCAAGAGGTAGTAAATGATCGTTTCATAATTCGTGCAATAGTCTTTTATGAAATATTACTGTTAGTTCAAATAATTGCAGTGTTTGATGATATATCTATATATAGTTTATATATAGTATATAGTAGTAGATATAATTTGTATATAGTACCTGATGTCTACTATAAAATAATTAAAATTACTAATGTTAATCAAATAATGATATTTTATATACAGGATATTTCCGATTCGATAGTACAACTGGAAAAAGAGGACATTTCTATATAAAAAAATAAGTTAAAAATAAAGAATACAATTTTTATATTTAAGGCTTCGTTTTCGAGAAAATTGATTTTGAAGATGTATCAATTATTTGAATTTAGCTAATTCTAGACTTGAAATAAATTTTTTTTTTAGAAGTTATTATATGTGAAAAAATAAATCAAAAATGTACAATAAAATTTTTTGTAAAATACTTCGTTTTTGAGCTTCGTTGTTAAGTAGGCATGAATGCACAAAGGCAATTTTGCAAGAAAACATATTCAAAGTCTATTTTTTTGAGAATGAAGTTTTAAGTGAAAAAATGTTATTCCACATTTTTGACTTATTTTTGCATGTAGAATAATCTCTTGCCAATTATTCATTTTTGTCCCAAAATTAGTTAAATTCAAATATACTTGATAAATTTTTAAACTCATTTTGTCGAGAACGAAGCATTAAATGAGAAAATTTTATTCTTTCTTTAAGACTTGGTTTTTTATACAGAATAGTATTGGTATTTGTACTCTGTATATTGGTATTTTATAAAGAGTTTTTTGTTATAAAGAGACTTGACATTAAAGGACAAATTAAGTTAAACTAACAGACGAATGAGACTTAAATATAAAAAATTTCTTTTATCATTCTCTACGATATCTTATTTGACTGATTTATAATTGATACCGACATCGTATAAAATATAATACATTTCTAAGAAGTAGTAACAAAGAGATATGCAATAAAAATAATAGGCATGTTTGAAACACGTGAAACATTTCCTTTATTTAGAATGAAACTCTGAACCATAAACTAGTGAAGTATTACATAAAAGATTATTTTTAGAAAACATATTGTAATATTTCGTTGAATTCTTTGACGAAGAAGTGTGAGATTGTAAAAAAAGGCAACGAAAGAACTTGTAACCGTGATGAAGGCTAAGATACAATAAGTATATTCAAGAATTTCACCTCGCGAACAATTACATTAAATAATCGGTGTGTCTTTTTTTGTTGCCCTAAAAGAATAAATGTTCCTGGAAACAGGCAACATCATTGCTCTCGGTCAACCGTGACTATTGGCCGCCAATCACCGACGAACGTAGTGAGCGGTTGCATAGTGTATAGGCACGAACAGTATACATTTTTTTTTTTCTATTAGAATGGTGGGTCCGCCTTCACGAACTAGATATACGAACTAGATGTATTGTGTTGCAACCAACAATTGCTATCGATCTAATTCCATTAATGTCGTCACTAGTAACTGTCATTTTTATTCTTTACCAATTCAGTACTATACTTTAAACGTGTGAATCATCCAATTTTTAGGAAAATCATTATAAGCAGGGTTACATCAAGATATTCGTTCGTAACCATATATTAAAATGTATTTTAATGAAACTATCACTAAGATTTTCTACTTTATTTTATGTAAGTCAATTAAATTTTAGGTTTGATTTTTACCTAATGTTAATATATCACGTATGTCACCAATTATTGTTTGTATTACTTTATAATTACGTTGCTAATTGTGCAATTCTATTTATATTTACCAATTATATTTTCAATAGGGGGGGGCAACGTCTTAATTTCAATATCAAGTTTCACGGTAGCAATATAATACGAAAATATTCAAAGTTTAGATTTAGAAAGTGTAATCACGGTCATTCACAATGCATTTCCCTAATTGGAAAACAAAGTAAAAGTGTGAGAATATAGAAACGAGAAAATGAGTCATTGATCTTATAATGTTATAGTTCTTAAAGGAATTTTAAATCTCTTCAACACCTACACCCGTTCACGACCGTTTCGTTGTGCTAAATGCGATCGTGCTCTGTTGCATAACTTTTACCTTCTAATCGGTTCGACCAGACAGAACCGGTAATACCACACCCAACGATCGAGAGTATATCCGTCTATAAGTTTCGCACAGCTGGTAGATACATTCCCTGTACTCTATATGATGGCCTTGTATACTATTACTGTGATAAATTATGTTGAATGAATCTTTACGCTCATTTATGGTTTATCGTCTCATCTACAATACCAAGAATTCATTCATAGAATAATTTTTAGTAACATGTTAGCACTAACTTGTTTAAAATGACTCATTAATTACTTGTTTGATAGACACTTATTGTATCAAATGTAAATAATTACACGCACTTTTACACTTCCAAATCATCGATATGATACTTGTCTTTGTTCTGTACTAATATTCAATTCTTAGTATTATTCTGGTGGCATTTGTTCTATACTAGAAAGATTTCGGAGAAATAATTCGGTAAATATTTATGGTCACTTAATTAACACAATTTTTCACACAGTTTAAAAATTTTTAAACACTTTAAAATTAAGTTATATATTTCATAACATATTTAATTTCGATTTTTAAAATCAAAACACAAACATGCATATTTTGTTCTTTTAAAATGTATTAAATTTTAATAAAATCCAGTCAAGCTACTGAATCCTTTATTAACAACGATTACGTAAAAAAATTTATGACATTTTAGTTACCACCGGAGTATTTATCTCTACTACAACAATATGCGCAAGAAGCACCACAACCTCAAGCGCCACCCCCTCCACGAAGAGTGCAGCCAGCATATGCGAAACAACAACAAGCGTTGCAGCAAGCTTACTACAACTATCGAAAACCAGCAGTAGTACCGCCCCGACCTCGTGCTCATCTTCATCCTCAGGCTTTAGCTCAAGCCGAAGTAGCCGCAGAAATTCAAGCTCAAGTCGATGCTCAAACTCGTACAGAAGCCATTCGCACCGCTCGTTTGGGATCGAAACCATCGGGTGCTTCCGCGTATCAAGCGTCAGCTTATGCCCAACCAAAGTTGGGGACGTTCGAACAAGAACTATTGCAATTGGTCTCGGCTAATCAAGCTCAAGAATTTAAATTACTTCCAACTCAACCTAAAGGAAGTACATCCGCATACTCGCAACAATTAGTAAGCTATCCAGCTCAATATGCGAAACCAACCGTGGAAGCGGCTCAGTTACCTGAACAGTACCATATCGAAACTTCACCGCCACGATATCAACAGCAACAACAACAACAGCAGCAGCAACAACAGCAACAACAGCAACCGGCACCCACTTATCAGTCGGTTGATGAACCCGTTCAATATCAAGCAGCTCAGCCTGCCAAAGCGTACAATTCGCCGCCGCAGTATGATTATATCGACGACGATGCATATCGAAAAGCCTTGGAACAGGCCCAAGCTCAAGCTCAAGCTCAAGCGGAAGCAGAAGCGTTAGCCTTTCATAAACTTGCGCAAGCTGCGTACAAAAATCATCACCAAGATGCATTAGAGCACATGAGACTGACAAACGAACGTTATAGGCAACAGTCTGCACTGGAGCAGATTCAACAAGGTTCTCAAGTGAGCGACGCTGGACGCGTTCACCTGCAAGAACAGCTGCGTCCAAAAGGCGCTGATACTGCTTACAGGGCGAAATTGAAAGCTCAGATAGCCGCGGAAGCAGCCGAGGCAAGGAAGCTGCAACATGCGCAAGAATTTAAGGCACACGCCGATGCTATTCGTAAACACGAAGCTCAACAACAGGCTCACCTGAGGATACAGGAGGAAGTTCATAACTATGCTCTGAATTTCGAGAAAAATCAAGCGCGCGCTCAAGCTGTGGCACAAGCTCAGGCGGAGGCTCTTTACAAGTCTCAGCTTCAAGCTCGCAATCAGGTTAAGAACGAAGTCCTGGCGATCTCGAAGGGCCAGGTGCAAGCAAAGAAAGTCGATCCAGACTTATCTGTGTATCATTATACACTCTCAACTACAACTGCCCTTCCTCTACTTCATAACAGTTATTTCACCAACGATCAGTTGCAGAAATATCAAACGTCCGGTTCTTCCTATGTTCCTAGATCAGTTCCAAAACCGGACGATGTAAGCCCCGTTGTTGAAACGGCCTCAGCTCAGGTGCAACCTGTTATCACGCAACCACGGCAAGCTCATAAGTTGAAGGTTCCTTCGTCTTCTCAATCGCTTTATGTGTCCGAATCGGGCTTGCTGAAAAAATCGCCGATCAAGTCGATAACTATCGAAGAGGTAACCGTCCAGCCGGATCAAATTGGTAATCCTTCGCCTACACCTAAGATACGTACCTTGACAGAGGAAGATTTATCGGCATTAATTAACGCAGGATATACGGTTACTCCTGTCTCGCAACCTGCGAAATCTATTCAACAAATATATTCAACCGACAACGCATCTGTGGGTTACTATACGAAGAAGCAAAAAGCTCCTGTTACAAGACCTGAATATGTTACCTACGAGGAAGTAATTCAACGTCCACGGAAACTCGTTAGAAAAAATAGGCCGATACTGAAACACAGTGAGAAAGAAGATGATCTGAGTGAAAAAGTTACTTATTTGGTACCACTCGAACCAGTTTTCGGAACGAGACAACCTCCGCTCAAACACGAAGAGTAATTTCGCTTGAATTCGGCATTTCTTTCTTGTCGTCGTTGCGTTGTAAGTCCAGGATAATGCAGCATGTAGTTTAAATACTGTTCTTATAGTCTATCTCTCGTCTTTGATTCCATACTGTAGTAAAAATTACATATTCGAATTGTAATTGCATTGAATTTATTTTTATTAAGATACGATTTCTCATGAAAATTGATTTATCAAACGTCAACTTACAAAATAAGAATTGTAAGATTAACTTCATAACATAGCGGTGATTTAATTTCTAGATGCAATGTGAACAGTTCTTCGTATTTCTCAATCTATATTTTCCTGTCAATATCTTTTCCAGCTTTACGCATATTTATATTACTTTGAGCATGAGTTACTTTAAGACGAATGATTAAGATATTAAATTTTCCTCGATATATCATTTACGGTCTAAAATTCAAAAAAATTCGAAGTCATGAAATGTAAACTTTTTTACGTAGTGTCAATAAATATTGTGTCAAAGTTCTCGAAAAATAAATACGTATATAGATTGTAATAGATAAATTTTATGGCGTAAATGAGTAGAATACTTTTATACGCAAAATCATTTGCAGGCGGTATGTGTGACGGTGCTGAGTCCAACCCTTTTTAATTTATACTTATTATACTTGTATATATTAGATTTTTACCGAATAAAACAATTCAAAAATTTTGCTCTGTCATATATGACATATCTACTATCTTTACAATTATTCCTATATCAAATGTTCCTATTTTTCTTACAATAATAATTTTTTAATCATTAAATTGGTAAGTTTTAAAATTAATTATTTATTTTAAGAGTCGAACAATAACGTTGATCATCTTTGATATTTTTATCATTTTTTGAAATATAGAAAAATTTTAACAGTATCAATCCATAATTTTCATTATAATAAAAAAAATAATAAATTAGAATAAATTTTCCTTTATTAATCTCTCTATAATAATTACTTTATTATTCATTTGTTGTCAAATATTTTCAAGTCTTTTTTATTTTCAATCATGTAAAAGTTACCATGGGAATTGCAACTTATTGGATGGAGCCGGACTTCAGTGATTTTATTATACTATGATGATAAAAAGAGGATATGATATTTAAGAACCTTATAATATTCATCGAGAGATGAATAAACGTAATTAACGTCCAATCAACACAGATTCTAAAATCAATCCTCTCTACGTAAAATCAATTTTTATTGCTCATGAATATTTTACATATTACGAGTTTCTTCGCAATACATTGAATTGGCGCGAAATAGGACTATCAGTCTGTTAGGTGGAAAGAAACTTGAGACTGTTCAATTTACGATCTAAGAAAAACAGCTCTGTTAATTTAAAATTGCAAAAACAAGATTACTAATAATATTACAAAAGATAGCTTTGTAGATGTAAATGTAAAACAAATCTTCAGTACTCGTCCAGTTTCGCATATTAATAAGCAAATGTATATAGTAATATATAGTAATCTTTACTATAAATAATATATAAAATATTGATAAATAATATATAAAATATTATAATAAATATGTCAATATAATATATGTATACGTGATATAATATCGTATATTAACATAAACAAGCCTTAGTTTCGTATATTATTTCCACATTATTTGTTTTCTAATGCGAGAGTGACGAATGCGCATTTTAAGTTACTCTCAAGTTACTGTTTCATTTCTTCTTCTACTTAATTGAATTCGTAATAATGATATTGAATGATATTATGATGGAACCCGAACTAAGTTATACTGAGCTAAATAAATTGATTTTATATGGAAAGGATTGATTTTAGCACTTATATTGATTAAACATTTTTCACTTTTCTCGATGACTAAATAAAGTTTCTTTATATGTAGTTTTATTTAAAGGAATATTAACAAGTTTCAAAAATTATATTAAGATGAGAAAAATCCGCAGAGAAAAGTACAAGTTTTATTTTGATATTATCATCCTGTTATAATATATCTATCCGCAAACAATAATTTTTCTATTATTTGTTAATTTATATATTTCTATTCGTTGCATTTCATTATTTTCTGAAGTAAAAGAAAATTTATTAGAAAATTCCAATAATAATAATGTGATTTTCTTTAATAATAATTTTGAAGAGCTAAGGTAAGTTACTTAATAATAAATCAAATATTCTTGTTATTTACTCTCTACATATTATTATATATATATGTACAGTAAAATATACTTAATAAATTATGATAATATATACAAGTAGTTAATGTATAAATTATGATAATATATGAATTTGAAAAATATTTTCCACGAATGTTTTGCAGTTAAATATTGTAAATATTAATTTAAGTAAGAAGCATATTCGAATTTTTTTAAATCGTTTTCCATGATATTTTATTTTTAACCAAAATAGTCAACGTATTTTATTTATTGAAACAAATTTAATTTTACTAATTGCTTATCAAAAACATTATTTATTTTCGAATTTTACGCTTCTCATAATAATAATAAGATTTGTAAGAAATAATAATTATTACATTATATTTAGATAAAATATATACATACGTAAAAATACATATGCATAAAAGTATTTCGATGCATATGGCATTATTAACTATTATGCTACATTTGTAATAGGAAAAAAAATTGGTATACATCTGATAAAATTGAGTCGATTTATCATCATCACAAGAAATCGTGATTACTATACTATATTAACTATTATATGTTAAACATTCACATTTTTTATGTCTTTAAAATAAATCTTGAATGTAAATCTTAACTTTTGGAATTGGGAAATATAAAAAGAATGTTTTATTTATGTATTGGAACTAATTAAATGAAAAAATAGTATATTAATACAATTAATTATAGTATATTAATGTATACTATAATTAATATGACAGTGTCGTGAATTAAATGAATATAAAATTTAGGTTTGTGACATATAAGTAAAAACTATATTGTAAATATAGTAATACGAACATTCGTTTTATTTAAATTATATTTTACTTAAGTTATATTTTATAAAAGATTTAAATACAATTAAACTTACACATAACTTCATTTTATTTAAAAAATTTCACAAGCATAAAATTTCATAATACTTTAGTAATCTATGAAAACATTAAATATAAATGAATATATCTCGCATTTGGATTTTATTTCCTCTTTAAAATCTATGAGTGCTATGAATTACATTTTCAAAAAAATGAAACATTCAAATATCATTATATTTGTTAAGAAGACTGATGTGTTTTTTGGTCCACTGAAATGTTTAATGAAGTTTTCCTCGCACTTTTTCTAATAAATTTACGTGATAAATACCACTATGGAGGGACAAAGTAAGATTTGTGAAAGTATACATAAAACAGTATTTACAGCAATTAAATCTTGTACATGTAAGTCAGAATAGTCCTTGCTCGAGTTATATACTACAGGACTTTCTCTCCCTCCGTGTGACATAATCTTTTGAGCAGTTGGAGAGTCGGAACTGGACGGCACATTGAAAACTGGACTAGTTTCGTTTATTATTACGTACAGTACAGACATGTCAAGAGTCTGTTGTAACTTTACTATACTTCTATTGGCCATTCTTTTGGCAATAACATACACCACCTCTTTACAAGTAAGAATTATTATCTTTTTATTGACTTGTTTTTTTATTTAAATCGTTAAAATTACATAATTGAGAAATATACATAACAATAAGATATAAATATAACATAAAAGATAAATTTTTAATTATATATAAGATATATAATAGTATTTACATATTAAAACAATAGTATCATACATCAATAGTAATTTGGAAATGTTAATTTGTTTATGAATTTTTATTTTCGAAAAATCCAAATTTGTTTAATTTTATATATATTATAATGTAAATATGTTGCTGAAAATTATAGTCTGAAAAGTACAGGCAGAATAAATAGATATTTACATTTGAACTATTATCGCAAAATTCATTATTATATCAAGCAGATATAATTAGTGATTATTACTGAAATTCTTAATTCATAAATAAATATAAAATATTCAATGTTTAATTTTTTAAAAACCTATAAATGCAAAGTACTTAAATATATAAAGAATGGTAGTTTCGGGGGGATTATAACGTGACTTAATTATTTTTATTCTATACATGAATGCATAGAGATCATATTATAATGGTAGAAGTTTTTCCGTTTCCAAATGAAATCATACAATTTTTAACAAATTAATCGATGTAGCTCATTATGTTTTACAAAATTGTATTATACTATTAATAAAGTAATAAAAAATCATTAGTTTAAGATATATTTTAATTTTAATATTTTAAACCGGTGAAAGATCATATCATATTGTAAGAAAGATAAAAATAATATAATAATATATACAATAAAATATTTTTGAATAATAAGAATTAAAAATTATACAATTTCATTTAACAAATGTATATTATTTTTATATGATCTCTACGCGTTTATCTGTAAAAAAAATAATTACAGATTCATTCCTGTTCGTTTCTTATCTAAAGAAATATTTTCTATATAATGGGTAGTTTATTAATAATTGTATTTATAGATTAAAATTGGATACTTTGTATAGTACAACCATATCTTTGTCTTTTTTTCTCATTCTCTTTGCTTAATATCCATAACAAAGCAATTTTTAATTTTGTTTTTATTAAGTAAATGATAAAATGTTATGATTAAAATGCGGATTTTATACATTTCAAAGTTTTTATGAGCATTATTAAAAAAATATTTAAAAAAAATTGTTTTACTATTTACTACTATTATTTTTTTACTACTACTATTATAATATAATAGTAGTAGTAAAAAAAGATATATTTTATATTATATAGATATTATATTGAAATATATAGATATTTTATATTTGTATTTAATACATGTAATGTGTATACAATTATATATTATATGTAATGTGTATACATTTTTGCAACTTCCAATTTTCCACAAATATATAAAATTCGCATTTTAATTAATATTGCTAAATAAAAAGAAGATATTTTTCATATGAAACTGTTATTGAAATATACATATAACTGATTTTTAGTATCATTGATATTTGAAATTCTTATATACAGTATTATATAACATACGTATATTATATATTTTCATATTTATTATATATTTTATATTTATTCTATAAGAAATAATTAACAAATTATTATATATTTCATATTTATTCTATAAATAATTAACAAATAAGCACAATGAATTATTTTTATAGTAATGCTGTTATACTTTATGTTTAGCATCCAATAGTGGTTGAAGATTATGATTACAATGAACATCAAAATTTCCAACCAATAGTAAAATTTGATAAACCGATTGTCGTAAAGGCCATTGAAAAGTCAGAAAAGCAACAAGATTTTAGTAAAATTCCTGGAATTCCCGGTGTAGATTTTCCCCTATATCATACCGTACCTCCAACAAGTTTTTCTTGTGCACACGTTCCATTCGTACCAGGAATGTACGCGAATGTGGAAACCGGTTGTCAGGTAATCTACTTAATTGTATAAATTGTATAAAGACAATAAAGAACAAAGACTAATATTAATATTAAACAAATAAAAGAATAATATTAATATTAAGTTTACAACAGGTAGAGCTTAAATTAATATTCAAGCTAAACAATATTATTTGGAAAAATTATAATTTCCTTCAAAATTTTTTCCAAACTTATTACAATAGTATTAACTTTTTGTTTTACATTTTAATTGTATAATAAAATTGTCTCTTTTTGAATAAATTAAAGTATCTTTATTTGGTAATACGCATAATATGTTATATAGTTTGATAAATAAGATTTACTTATGTTTTCAGGCATATCACATTTGTCATGATGGTCGCGAAGGTCATCAAGGTGCATCTTTTCTCTGTACTAATGGAACTCTTTTCAATCAACAAGAATTTGCTTGTGATTGGTGGTATAATGTAAATTGTGCAGATGCGCCATATTTATATAGGTATAATTAATATTTATTTTAATAAATATAATACATAATTTAACATTTAATTTAATTAAACTTTACATTAGGGCTTTCTAACTTTTTTATCTATTTTTGATAGATAGTATTTGACTAATAAAATGTTTCAAGTTTAAGAAATTACTGGGTTAAAAGTTATGTCTGTAAAATATATAAATATTTTATGACATATTTATAATCTCTTATTTAAAGAAATATGATATTTGATCGAATTAACTTTTAAACTTATAAAGAAAATTTCATGTTCATCTCTATTTTTAGCATACCAAATGTAATAATATCAGTAAAAAGAATATTCTAATATAATGAAATTGTTAATGAAATAATTGTAAAAAGTTACTGAATTATTGATTACTTTCAAATATTAATAATCATAAAAAAATAGATGAAAAGTATCAAAAAGTAAAAACTATTCGAACTAAAAAATTCTCAAAATATAAAAATTTATATAACTTTTAGTAGTTTTAATAAAAATAGAATTAGAATAAAGGAAACTTTTGGGTTTATATAAATACCAGAGTGTAAATTTGGTATTTCACATAAAAAATCTTTCGTCAACCGTTAGTATCGTGATTTTTTTTATTTTACCTAAAAATTTCTATTAATATATGTCCGTTATATTTCATAAAAGAATAAGCAAAAAATAGTGTAATAATTTTTTTATGTAAATGAAAAGTATAACATTAATGTTACCAGCTATCAATGCTCGATTGTGCTTAATATTACATTAGTGTTGAATAGATTAGTATATTTGTAAATTATCATATTCACAGTGTAAGGGAGAGAAAAAAAATTAAAAATGGCAGTTAAAATAAAATTTTTAAACGTTTTAGATTTTTCACACAAAAAAGGCAGGCCAAAATTATACGAAAATATCCCAGTTCCATTATAAACCATCATTAGCAATAACAGAAAAAAAAGGATATTAAGGATTCACTATCCTACATCCCACTAATTTACCAGAAATATTTTAAATCACTCAAGACTTAAAATCCCATTTCCGAAGGAGAAGAAAATCGGAAATGATAAAAATTAATTACTTAAAAACATAATGATAAAATAAGAATTAATAGATTTGATTTAAATTTCTTTTTATAATAAAATTCGTTGTTTTTTATTGTTGTAAGTCAGTTGTAAGTTAAATTTGAAAATGGTCTAAGTCATTTCAAATTTGAAAAATCATATTTCCTTATAAACTACACACAAAATTTCACAGTCATAATAAATTCTTATCTTACAAGATCAAATATTTCTTGAAAAATTTTATTTCACAGTACAAAAATATTTTTTAATTTATTCAAATTCAAACCTTTAAATAAACGAAAAATATTCGACTTAGATTATTTTCATTATCACCAACACATATCATTATATTAAGAGTTAATTGTCAAATAAATCATGCAAACATTATAACAAAGTATCAATGTAATGAAGTATTATATTCTTACATTGTTTACACTTAATGAAGGATTATTTTTAAAATTTTATTTATAAAGTTTTAAAAATATTTTATCTAATCTAGAGTGTAAGATAGGTATTTAATTATAGTTTTAGAATAATTAAGATAGTATTTTTTGCTAAAGGAAAAAAAGATAGAGAAAGATAATAGAAATATTTTCACGAAACATTCCTATAAAATTCAAGATTTCTTGAGTTTATAATATTTGCTAGAAGAGTAATAAGAAACTCCAAATTCTTCATTAATCTTAAAAATCTTTTGATCATAAATAAAATTAACACAAATGGAAATGTTTATAAAAACTTAAAAATAGTAAGAAAGTTATGTTTTTATCTTAAATCTATTTAAAACTAATTACTGTCAACATCTTAACAACTATAGTAAGATTTAAAGATATTGTATAATTGATTACTATTTTTATTATATTTTAATATATGTTTATATATAATTATATTTTAATTTTTATTATATATATATATATATATATATATACTGTGATAATTAGTATGTATTAGTATGTATTTATTATATGCATGCATATATATATTAGGTTCAAACACTGAATGAGCAAAGAAATGATCAGAATTCTGGTTAAAATTCTGTGAAAGTCTCTTTTCTTCGAAGATATATATATAGTCTTGACAAGTGTTGATTAAATAAATTAAAAATTTCTTGTCTCAAAAATTTAAATATTTCAGTTTTAAATATAATAATTAATCACTATTAATGAATCTTATATAATAGTAACTTTATCATACTAAATGTAAATATTTAAATTTTTATTATTCACTTTTAATTTTTTTATTATTGAGTGCTTATATATTTTTATTTTATTTGCTTTAGGTTAAATTTAGACCCATTGAAGAATCCTTATATACCAAAGAAGAAACAGGAAATAATTCGGAAGCAAAATATGAGAATCATTGTGTATTGAAATTTGTAATCTATATCCTAAATATAGATTAGGAAGTGCCAGTTATACAAATTTAAATTACTGAAACGCTGCGAAATGTTTTACTGCTTGTAAAAGTTGTTTCTCATAAATGTGTTTATACTTACAAAACATTTTCTTATATTTTACTATAGGGAAGATTCTTTTTTATGCAAAATGTTCTGTATTTAAAAAAAAAAAAAAAAAAATAAAGGAAGGAAAAAATTGGGGTATATGCTATTAAAATATTAGGTGATTGCATTAATTCCCACTGTTTGACTATGGATGATTGTAATTGCGTATTGTGTGATTTCTGTGAATTGTAATCGTTATCTCTCACCTCTGTCATGTTTTTTCGCAGGCATACACATATCAGCAGCCAGCCCTGTGTATATACAAGTGCTTATTTAAAACAGAAACTGTTGACGCCTTGACGCCTTTCTTTCGATATATACTCACACACTATTGTCACTTGAAAAAAGTGCAGTTGAAGCTCATCGAATTCTTGAGAATACTTATGGTACTTTGCACCATCGGAAATAGTGTGTAGAAATTGGTTTCAAAGATTTAGGAACGGTGATTATGACATTCACGATAAACAATGTTTAGGTCAACCGAAAAAATTTGATGATGAACAACTCAAAGTTTTATTGAAAGAAAACTCAGCTCAAACAACAATCAAAAAATTGGCTGAACAATTTGAAATCGATAAATCGACATTCCCACGTCGTTTACGTATATACAATAGGCAAGATTCAAAAAGAAGGAAAATGGGTACCACATGAATTGACCAAAAATACCATTGCTAATCATTTAAAACATATAGATATCTTTGCTTGTATCACGACCAAAGTTATCTGTCTCTTCTGAGAAGGTTCCTGAAATAACACCCTGTATTATTCTCCAGATCTTGCACCGAGCGATTACCATTTTTTTCGGTCGATGCAACATGGTCTGGAAAATACCCATTTCCGAAATTACAAAGAAGTAAAAAGTTGGGTTGATGAGTGGATTGATTCAAAAAACAGACAATTCTTCCGAAGCGGAATTTTCTTGTCCCGAGAATTAAAAAAAAATATATTGTTCTTTTAATAATTGATGTGTTTTGCTGATATAATGATTTATATTTTAAGAGTCAATGTAAAGGCATCGAATTAATTTCTAATATAATCATTCGCATTTCACGGTCGATTAAGGTCCTTAATGTAGACGAGCGCTTTACGGTAAATTTGCCGTCGCGGTAATTTGCCACCGAGTTCAAGCGGTTTACATTACGTACATAATTGTATTTTTACATTTGTTTTCGCATCTAAAAAGTATTGCGTCCAAATTACTGTAAACCGCAGTTGCGGTGGCGAATTTGCCGCAAACCGCTCGTCTGTATCATTCCTGATGCCTTTTTGTGTTCCGTATTGAAGTTTTTAAAAAAAATAATACAAAGTGTATCAGAGAAAGAAAAAAAAAAAAAAAAAAGTAGAAATAAAAATAAATGTTTCCAAACATATTTTCTTGTAAATTTTTTATTATTATTTCTAGATGATGTAATTGAACTCATCTCGATATAGATTACGACATTGCAAAAATATGAATGGCAATATACAGTGATTATGTGAGTCACATAAAACAAGCATTTAAATATATCTTGATTGCTGTTGGAGATAGGGAAAAAAGATATTCACGCGCGGTTCGTTGATTTATTAAGATGCATTAAAATCAGACGAAGAACGTAATTTTATATGATACAGTGCATGTATTAGCAAAATATACTGCCACAGAGTGATGAACCATTCTTAGCTCAGAATATTAGCTCGGTGTCAATTTTAATATTGCTAAGCCAGTAATACTTTTTCTTCAACTTTTTGTTTATAGAGGGCAAAATTCATTAGTTAGTCATCTTTTTTCTACGATAAAACAAAATATAGGGAAATGTATTGCGGCGACATCAGGAAGATCTTCTGTGATAATTTTTGTATAGCAGTTCTTCAATATTTCTTCTGTGACAACCCTGTAGCTGTCATCATTTGCGACTCTTGAATTCATAAATATTAATAGAATAAGTTTTCAGAAATGATTAAGTGTTATTCCTTTAGAAGGCTGCTTACTACGTGTTGATTATCAAGTTCGTTCGACTTGAACGCAATGTTACTCTCATTGTCAGACTATATCTCATTGTAGACTCTACAATCCTGGACCAATGAAAAATTGTGGAAGACTGTCTCGTCTCCATCGGTCAATTTTGTTTAAATATTTTCAAGAATTCCGCCTGAAAGGATGTCAGGGGATATAACAATGAATGCTATTGGATACACTTCGGATAATCCGATTCTCCAGCTTTACTGAACCAGCAAAACATTAGTCTTCTTGCTGGATTTCTCTTCAAAAATAGCGTGAGATCTCGATCGTGCCATTGCATCAAACTAAAATTACATAATCACTATTCTTCTATACGTAGTTAATTTTTTTTATAAATGTTAGTAACTTTTTTTAAAAGTCAATTTCATATTTTAACGAAGACACATGTTCTCTATCTGTAATAACACTGTCGACATCAGCATGTGTGCGTTACGATAACAAATACTTTAGTTTCATTTTTTTTTTTTTTAGCATTAATGGCAACCGAAACATTTACATATTATGTGACTCATCCCTGTCATTATTATTGAAATGCTATTGAAGATTATCTCAAAAGAACTGTCATACTAGTAAAACAGTGATTTATAATATAGATTTAAGATATTATTATTAGCAATTTTAAATTATTTATATTTATTATTATTTAAAATTTATTATTTAAAATTCCAGTAGAATTATTTACATTGTACTGTATTCCACCATTCACAACGTTTCTTTACGTTGCTAAATGCTGTGCCCGAAGGACAAAGTGATGAAGTTTTCGACCAACCAGAGCAATCGTGGAAAACCTACAAATAAGGAATTATATGAAAATTATATAAATGTATAAGATGTTCAGCTCTACACTGATTTAAAAGTATAGAAAATATTCGTACATTCAATGAAAAATTGTCGATACCTCAAACTCTTACAACTTTGTGAAAACAAATTTTTCATAAAAATATTTAAATTTGAAAAATATTCGAAAAGAAAAATATTTTTAATTACTCTCGTTGAAATGACGAAAAATATTTTTGAACTTAATATTATAAACGTACTCAGATAGATTCTTATACGATAGGAATTTTTCACCGATTGTGTGAATACTATACCGAACAAAATTATTGTCGATATTTTAAACTTTAAACTATTATAGCTTCGTGAGAAAACTTGAATTTTATTATTCATTTTAAAGTATGACTTTAGTTTGACAATATTGAATTCATTTTTTCCCAAAGATATTTTTATATCATTTCAAAGAGAGTAAATAAAGATATTTTTTCTTTCGAAAATTTTTCAAATTCTTTTTCATAAAAATATGAAAAACTGTTTTTAATTGAACCAACTCATGCTCTTAAAGATTAAAGATGCACTTTACGTCAATACCGTCAATAAAAATTTGCGATCTTTTTTTCACGAAATTATAAGATGTTAAAATATTAACAATTTTTCATTGAATGATGAGCATTTTAAGCTGCATGGAAAATTGTTAAAAGGAAGAGCACGATAAAACGTGTGCTCACTTGACAGTTAGTTTCAACATCAGCAAACATGCCTCTTCTACCATTGCACATGAAACCAGTTTCTGGTATCCTGGTGAGATTCGTGTAGCGAGAAATTATATCGTCAGCGTTCAATTTTACATTTTGATACGATATTGCTTTTGGATTTATTTCAATGTCTTTCTGTAATTCCTGTTTTCGTATATAAGGAGAAAAATTTTGGCCCCTGTTTACAGGATAAGATTCGACGTGTCTCGAAGATCGTTCGTGAAACTTATTCAAAAATCCCTGATAATCAGCTATGATCTGCAAATAAATCAGATTTTTATATATTTTCATGATACAAATGTTGCGTTATGTTACCCATGTTAGTATCTTGAAGCAAATGATGAACACATAAATGATCGATTTGTAACTTTTTTTGTTCTTGGAAAATACAAAGATACATCTTTTGTCTAATGATTTATAATTTTAAGTATTTATTTTTAAATCTTACTTCGAGCAAATTAAATCTATTTTATATTCTTCAAAGAATTGTTGAGCATTATTCTTTTGTACGTAAATTTTTCAATATATGAAATAAATATTTATTTATATTAAATTTCTATATTCAATACGTGTATTTATATGAAATTTTATTTATATGAAAATCAACATAAAAATTGTTTATTTTCAATATATTAGAAATAATTTTTACTTTACTATATAATCATTGATGTGAACATAAGAAAAAATGTAATTTACATGTAGAGTGTTTTATTTTTATCCCGCCAAATGTGTTCTATGGTTAATATTTAAAAAAAATGTTATGTGAACATAGAGTTACAATTGCATTATTATAAAGTTATATAATAAAAGCACTAAAATTACAAATGATTGATTTTTCATTTAATTCTGCATGAAAATGTTGACAATATTTCATCAGAGAGATTGTGTTTATTATTAACGTCATTATATACCATTATTACTATACACATATTACTATACGTTACAAAATGTAATTAGTATCAATACTGATAGCTATCAATTAATCGAAAAAAAAAAAATGTATCTTTAATATTTTTAATAAAGCATTTGCATTTTTATGATTTTCTAATATTTACATTTTTTAATTGTGGATTATTATAATATAGATATTTTTTAATTATAAAATATTCCGACACTGTTCGACGTGATGAAAATGGAACACACTCTGTATGTATTAAATTTTCTGATCTGTAATTAAAATAAAAATGCATATATGTAGAATGAGTAGATATTTAAGCGTAACTGTGATATACTATGATGGAGAAAGTTACGTAAAGGAGAATTATACATATCGGAATAAGCAATACGTGAGTGAGAGTAACGTGACTTAACTGTTGCTGTGAAAGATGCTCACGAGATTCTTCGCGAGATGAAATCTGTTAAGAAAGGAAAAGGCGTAAATAGTGTGTTATTGGTGCTTCGCTTGTAATTTGCATACCGCAGGTGCAAGTGAGCGTGCAGTAGCGAATGTATTCCCGAGTACGGTTTCATTCGCGTTTCGAATCCAAGATGATTAGATGACCTATCTTCTTGCAGCAGGAAATCTTAGACAATTGCGGTTTGTTTTAACGAAGTAGGTAAACTGGAATCTCATGTGTCGATATATATTTTTTTTCCACAGATCGTGATATGATTTTTTTCTATCACACACACATACAAATCTTATATATAGATCAAATAATTATTGTTACTTTTACTCATTCATCGCACGATGATCAACTTTAACCCATCATTTTTTAACGTGAACTTAATCGTTTATTGAATCTCACAAGAAAATAATGTGAAACTTTTGTAAATTTGAATTTTTCAAAAATGTTTGACGCAGCATTTTTATTGCTCGCATAAAATGTGAAGATGTTAGCAAACTCTACATTAGATAATCACTATTATTTCTACTATTCATTGTACGTGTTTTAACTTATTATTTTTAACACGAACTTAATCGTTTATTGAATCATGCTAGAAAATAATATTTTCTATAAATTTGGACTTTTCAAAAATGTTTGACAACGGCAAGCATTTGTAATTCTACATGTCACCCATCTTTATTCACTACTTACAAATGTCTTTATGAATCATTTGCAAATAGAGTATACTACTAAATACTCGATTCGATATATTGAATATATACCTGATGAGAATTGAAAAGTGCTATATTGTCGACAATGTAATCATCGAATGGCTCATAAATTGAATCCCAATCGTAGCGGATGTTCCAGGTTGGTACAAAAGTTTCTTGTAATAAATTGACATTATCAGGAAATACTAAAGATGTTACGATAGGTTTGTAAATTCCAGGTTTCGACGGTGGTACTATTGGTATAAATTGTCTGAAATTCGTGTAGGTTTGTGATTTCGAGAAATCTTGATGCTTGTTAAAGTAATTGTTCTTGTGCTTATGACCATTGTATCGCGAATACGGTGCGCGAATGACATAAGTTGTGTCAATTGCTTTTGCACGATTGTAATGAAATCTGCCTTCGGGTGGAATATATCGTCCATCTGGCGTTAGGTACACCTTTAAAGGCAAAATAACGCAATTAATTTTCGCTTATGTTAATTATATAGTTAAATCAAACTGTTATCAAAAAGAATCAATGAAGTGGACAAATATGATATAGGTAATTAGGTAATAGATAAAAATATGTTGATACGGAAACAGAATGGATTTTTATTTAAGTTCATATCATAAATTCAAATTTGTTAATACAATTACTGCAATGTTTGTTCATAATTTGAAAAATACAATGCCTTTAAAGTATTTTCACCAATATATAACATACTTTGATTCTTCAATGTTTCTATTTCTTTATTATTTATGAAATATGAAATACATTTACTTTTACATGTGAGATTGTATGGAATAATCGATTTTTTTTTGCTTCAACCACAAAAATTTCTATCGATGCATTTTTGTTCATATTTGATCAACTAGATTGTGTTCAATGTTACATTAATCTTACATGAGTTATTATATTCATAATTAAATTATTGTATTTACAATAATTTTTATTATACAATATAAGAGAGAAAATTAATTGCAGTTAAAATAATATTATCTTTTATTGAAAATTAACTTTTAACATTTTTGGAAATCTTTAAAAGCAGCTTTAAAATATTTTTTAATCGAAATGAAACGAAAAATTTTGCGAATTTAGTGAAAAAAAATATCAATTGTAATTCATAAAAAAAAATGTACAATGACTTCAATTCGTATAATACTAGTAATATTAAAGGTTTAAAATGTAATAATGATATACTAGATATTTTACGTATGCAAAAAATATTCATGTTATTTAATATATCAATTATATTCAATATATCATTATTATCAGTTTATTTAATATATCAATTTAATATATTAAAAATTGTTTAACATATCGAAAATATTATTATAGTTATTTAGAAAATGTTTGATCTACTTTATTTTCTTATACATACCTGTATTACTTCTGGCATGTTTTGAACATGTTGAGTGTGTTTATGTACATTTCGAGCATCTAGGACTATCCCATCAGGTACTGTAATGCCTTCTTTGTTTAATCGATTTAACGCTAAACGATCAGTTTTAAAAGCTTCTTCTGGAATTTTACCTCCTAATGCTGGTAAAACTTGTTCTCTAAATATTTGTCGTTTTCGCTGTAATCATAAAAATTTGTCTGTTTTAATAGATATTAAAATGATAATTTTTAATTTTAAATAAATAATAAGAGGAGTTTGTGATTATTTAATGGAACAATACATCGCACACTTGCAACAAAAGTGACTTGAGAACGTAGTAACTCGAAAAAGTATGTTTTTTTAACAGAAAAAAAAAAAAAAATATTTGAACAAAATTAGAAATTATTTTGATAATCAGAAGAAACGACGCATAATTCAAAATAATATATTTTTCACTGTATCAGCACCTATTTGTTCATGACAATAATTAGAATAAAATTTATAAGAAGACTTATAGAATATAGCACGGTATCGCATGAATCAAAATGAACGACAAATAATAAAAATAAATGAATAATATTTTCGTAATTAGTCAAGAAGTTGTTTTTCAACATTCTCAATGATAATTTGAAAATCATATTTTTTAAGTTGCGTCGCAAGTGTGCGACAATATACGTTTTCAATATTTTGTAATTATTGATGTAATTATTTTTCTCTAATATCTAATATAAATATTAATGTTAATATATATTTGATTGTTAATTAATATATTAGTATTTGTTGCTGATTAATATTAGGGCTTGTAACAGAAAGTTAATCTTACATCACTGTATCTTACCTTTTCTGCGATAACGCATATCATTAAAAATACGATGATAAGTATTAAACGAAACCAATTTTCTTTTTCAATTATTGTCTTCATTCTAATGGAAATTTTTTGGTTGATTTTTCACATAATCAGAATTATCTTTTGAGTATATTCAATTTCCTAAAATATTTTTAAAGAGTATATTAGTTATAAAATTCTATTTATATCATTCATAACAATTATAGTTGAATTGTACTACAGTAAAAATAAAATGTTCCTTTTAATATTTTTAATATCTTAATATTTATATCTTTAATATCTTAATCTCTTATATATATGTTTTTATGATTTGTAAGAAATTACAATCTTTCCGAAACAGGCAAACTTTCATTTCAAATAATTTAGAAATTCTTTTATTATCAATATATTGTTATTTTGTTATTTTACAATGTTTTGTATAAAAAACAAAACATATTTTTTCATAAATATTTGCTATATTTATTGTTATTTGTTAGTATATATATAGTTTGTAGTATATATGTATATAATACTAATTTATAGTATATATCTATTATTTATAGTATATATATATATATATATATCACTAATTTATAGTATATATCTATGAATTGCTATATGTATTGCTATAATATGTACTACATTATTATTACATGTAAAATCTTCTTCATTAATATTGTGAATATGAAATATACAGTATATTATTAAATTTATTACAAACTTTATGATACATAAAAATAATAATCCCTATATTAAAAGATTATATATTTGTTGTCAATAGATAATGCTGATATTTATTATAAACTATGAAAAGATTAACGACATAATATAATATAATATAACAAATTCTTAAATTAATTTCTACAAAATAAAAATATGTTGATTTGTACAAACAAAAGAAAGGTACAAGAAACATGTACGTATATACTATAAGTTATTTTTTTTCCAAATGATAAATTATTCGTCTAAAAAAAAAAACATTACATTAAATCTTCAAATAATAAACAATATTTACAATGTGGTTTTCAATATTTCATCTCAAATTTAACTTTTTTAAATAAGCATATTTGTGTTAATAATCTTTTATTTAAAATTTTTTTATTGATTTTATTGTTAATAAAATTTTGATCCAAATATTTTAACTAAAAATATTGACAGCTTACCTCAGGTATTTAATTATTTATTCATTTAATTCCGCATTGTGTAACATATACATATAATAGGTATACTATAGAAATAACTAATTATACGCGTGTGTCAATTTTTATTTGCCATAAATATGCAAGAAATCGCCATAAATATTCTCCTATGTTTGTTTAGTACATATATAGTTTTCCAAATAACTAACGTACCGTTATAACGCGTGTGAAACATGTAACAAAACTCGCTCGTCTGCTTCGAGTCTTGTGTTATTCTATCCAGCAATCAACATCTTTCTATCTGGTACTTACTATGAGTACATCTGTGCTTTATGTAGTTTCATAGCCTTGTTCTAATTATGAAGAAAGATAAAAATATAAAATATGAAAATTAATCTTGCTCACCCATTCATTCAAAGAAGACTATTATTGGAGAACAGACAGAAGTAACTGTTTTAGCTACAAAAGAAAGTGATCCAGAAGAAAGTCAGGAAACTAAAATACTTTTGGTACTTTCCCTTATTCCTTGATTAGACTTGAAGAATCGTATTTTTATGCGTGGGAAGTAGATCAACTGAAACAAAAAAGGATGAAAGTTTCTTTTATAACGTATTCTTATCTTTTATCAATAATATCTTAAATAAAGTTAATACAGAAATATCTATTATATGTACCGATATATTTTATTAATGATGCATTTCATGTTTCTAATTAATTAATAGATATAATCCTTATAATCATGTCATGTGAAGCATGTAGACTATTATTTAACACTATAGATACTTTCTGATTTATCATTGGTTCTCCAGCTAATGTATTTACTGGCAAATCAAATAAACGATTACGATTACGAAACACAAAGTTCGAAAGCTTAAAGAAAGGTTTAAAATGTTAAAAAAATACCTAGTATTTAAATGAAAATAGAGTTGTGTCTTGAAATAAAAATTGGGTAATCAAAATAGAATGAAAAATTTCAAAGTTATAAAACAATGCACACTACTGATTATTGGTATTAATAATAAATCAGATATTATTCAATGGATTTCAATCGATGAAAATGATGATATTTTAAAAAAATAGAATTCTTTCTGTTTAGACATTGTTAAGTCTCATATTTTTTGAAACTTCAAAATTTGTATATGGAATGTAAAAATAGATTTAAAACCAATTAATTTCATGTTTGATTCTTTTTTGGTTGCTAGTTTGTACAAATTATCATTGTTTGTACAAATTATTATCATAGAAAATGTTACGATACGAATACTATTTAACAATACATACTAGAACCTCGATTATTAGAATGTTCTCCATTATCCGAACATTTTATCATCGGAATGTTCTATTCGATAGGATCTAAGCAATATAATTCTGTTGATTGAATTATGTAATTTAATTACATTGTGTTACATTAATATATTGAATTACATAACACAAACTTCTCAATTATTTCAATTGCTAATTATTATAATCGTGAGTAAAGTTGGATTGCTTTGTAATTGTAATTCATGGAGTAATTCAATTCTAATTTTATACAATTTCGCCGAACAATACATTTTGTATTTCGTGCATGTGTATGTGGCCTATATAGTACTTATTTCTTTAAATCACAATCATTGAAAGTAATCATTGAAATAACATCTTCTCACAATATTTTAGTGTAACATTTATGTTTTAAGCGATTGTAGGACTATAATAATATCATCAGAACAAAAACGGATAGTGTTATTTGAAATAAAATGTGAAACTATTGAGATGTGCAACAAACTTAGCACGAAAATAGGGCGTTGAAAAATCAACGATCAGTGCTATAAAAAATAAGGAACAAATAAATAAAAAATAACAAATAGTGGTATCTATACAATGACGAATTAGATAATGCGAAGTACAAAAGGAATTATCCGAAAATATTATTTGGAAATTCCATTATCCAAACAGATTTGTCTTCCAATTTTGACAAGGTCCTACTTGATGAATTTTCTTTATTCATTTGTAAATGTACCCATATTTCGTTAAGGTATATTCTATGCCTTATTTATAGAGAAAACGTTCAACTGGATGTATAATTTTTTATTTTCTGCTGAATTAGTGAAAGTTTTGCTTCAGTTTTGACGCTACTCAGATGGCGTAATCCTTTAATTAATTATGACATAGCTTCATTTATCAATGCTTGAAAGTAACTGTAACATGTATATGAATTGTTAAAGATATTCTCTTATTACAAGTACATCATAACAAGTACTTTCTATATTCTTAAATATTTTAGATATATTATTAACATTTATTATTATTATTATTATATTTCATTATAATTGAAGTTTTACTTTATTCATCAAAATCAAATAATGGATAATTTAATTATATCGAAAGAAGACATGAAAAGAAATATACAAAATACTATAATTAAATGAAAAATAAGTGCTTAAGAATGAGTTGGTATTTTGAATATTTGATAATGAAATAAATTTCAATCATAAGTGTTGTTTATTCTTCTTTTCATTTCTTTACGCTTCCTCGCGAAGTTAGCTTTGAAAAAACATTCTTCACTATAACTTTTTAATTATGCAAATTGGGAAAAAAATATTAAATTAATAAAATTTTCCATCTATGTTCTATTTAAAATTCTAAAATTTTTTACTTACTGAAGATTAATCGTTTCAAGCTACTAAATATATGAAGAATTCAAATCAAAAAATTTGCAATAGTTTTGGAGAAAATCACTTGTAACATCCTGTATATCTCATATTATTTGATAGTTTGTCTGTTGGATTTTTTAATGTTGATTTATCAAACATTTATAATTATAGCAAATACATATACATATTTATAATATTATTATTCACTCCTTTGTTTTATTACTTAATCGAAGAGATTATATTTAAATTTACGAAAATTGAGAAATAACATAATACTACATAGAATTCTCACTAAGTATATAATACAATATAAAAGGATAAAGGAAAACATGCTTTTATAAAACACAATTATTGATAAATGATATTAAATGTAACTGTAATTAAATATAACATGATATTAAAAAAAATTAAAATTTTGCCTTGAAAGTGAAGTAATCGATTCTAGAATTATAAATTAATTTAAATCATTTATTCATTCATTAGTATTAAAAAAAAAGAAAAAGTAATATTAGACAAATAAAAAAAAAAATTAATACGAACCATATATAAAACGGATCGGTATAATCTTAAAAATGCATTCACCGGGTATTTAATCTGATCTTTAAAGACTTTTCCACGAATACAGGAAACAGTTCTTTGAAAATTGAAAAAAATAATGTGCTTATTTAATCAGATATTATATTTTATAAACTATCTATTAAATAGACGCGTACACTATGACTTTTACAAACACTGCATCAGTTAAGACGAGGAAGCTGAATCGCGAAATCGAAGGGTTGTGAAGATGATACTGAACTCACTTCTAAGAGTTCACCTGATGATATACCTGAGAGAACTGAAACACGTGATTGGAGTTCAAAGTACTTTCACTACTAGACTATAATAGTTCTACAGCTTGTTTCTTTTCCTTCTCTTCTTCCTAATTCGCTTCTTTCTTATGCTCATGAATACAACAACCTGAAATGGGGATAATTGATGTTACGACGATGGATACCCTGGATCAATGATTGATCAATTAATTCTCCTCTTAAATAGATAATTTTAAAGCCAGTGCAGCAATAAGAGTAATTCACAATATACTAATTTCTACAATATTAAGCTAAATATAAATAGTATAATGTAAAAAGTTATATTATAATAGCAATATAATATTATTATAATATTGTTATATAATAAATAAATATAATACGATAGTTATAATAACATAACGATAGATTATTAAAGTAACTTGCTTATTTCTTCGAGAAAATATATAACAAATACATGAGAGAATACAAAATATAGAAAATGAACTACCAATACAAATATAAATATTTTATCATATTTTGATTAAATATAAATTTAGTAAATATGTTAAGTTCTATCTAATACTTGAAGCAAGTATTCATTATCTAATTATTCTAAAAATAATTATTACGACAATTTTTGTCATTGATTCATCATTAAAAGCATTAAAACAAAGCCATATTTATTTTTACACATCGCATGCCATAAATAAACAATGTTAAAGAAGGATGTGTATCATTGCATACTTATTCTCCTCTTACTTTGCTTTTCCCACGGTGTGACGACTTTTCTGTGAAAGGTATTCGCGGAAACTGATAGACAAATTTGATTTCATAATAATCGGTAATCATAAAGTAAGAAAGCAATTATTCAGAAAATCTGATTCAATTCATGTATGTAAATTTTATATATACTAGTGCCTTCATTAATTATTCTAAAACGATTTTTATAATAAATATTGAGCAAGCAATCGCACACTCAGAGATTAGTGATTTGTTATTGTTCTTCTGATCATGACTATTTAGTCATCGTATATATAAGTCATAAACGTGCAAATACGAACATTTTTTAAAATAAGAAGATTATTGTATCTATGTATATGTAGTAATACATGAAATAATTTCATATATGGAAATTTCATTCACATTGTAAAAAGAAACCGAAATTTTTTTGATTGTAAAACTTTAACATAATAACTTTAACATCTAATAACATCTTTGATATACTAGAAAAGTAACACTTGTCTTGAAATCGTGACCGTAATCCAAGCGACTTGTGATCTCTCAAACGTGAGATAGAATGTTATGAAATTCGATCATCTACAGTTTTTTTCTTTGAATTATTATGCTATCATATGTTTAGGTTTAAAATTTATTTTATGTTTCATATAAAAGTGATCTACTTACAAAAATTAACTTTTTCATTATTATTTTCATTATTCTTGTTGATATTTTAAAAAATATTAATTTCTTTATAATTATTTCCTATTTATAAATATACAGAAAATTATATTCAACTTAATTTGTTATTTTAAAATTAATTATACTTATATTTAATATTAATTATAAATAAAAAAGAATATAAAATACATATTCCTAAATACAAGTGTATAGATCTTCATGTATAATACTAATAATATATAACTTTCCTCATAGTCTGTAATTATATTGTAAAATCAGATAATAGATAAGTGGAGAAATGTTATTAAGGTGATTTGTACATTATTAACCACTTATTTGTCTACTTACAAATCGATTAACTCCACAAAATAATAAAACAAATAATAGGTAACAATACATTCTTTTTTGAATTTTTTTTTAAACTGAAACACATATATTACATATAAAAACACATATAATGTACAGGATGTTTCGAATTCAAGTATTACAATTCTAGGAACTTCTGTAAGACTGATAAATTAAGAAAAAATATCTTTCAGAAATTTGCTTGTTTTTGCCCTATTTTGGAGAAAATTGTGAAAACGAAACAAGAATGAGTATATCTTTAAAAAATTTTTTTTAGTTTATCTGTTCTCTATATATTCTCAAAATTTTTATATTTAAATTTAGGACACCGCAATTATACATATGTATTATACATGTTATACATATTATATGTCTAACAATATAGAAAATGTATAAAGTATATCCTTGAAATAATTACATTGGTTTCTGAAACAAATTATTTATTATTATACGGTCAAAATGATTTTTAATTTCACTTAATGTAAAATATTAATAGTCTAATTAATTACCACTTAATGAAGCCTAATTATTAAGGAAATTTATTTTAAATATATAAAAAGTTAAGCATTCAAATGCAGTAGTACTAAAATTTTAAGAAAATAAAAAGAAATATATTTAATTACTTTACTCTGTGAACGATTCACATATATATTGTCACATATATCATCACAATTAATAGATTGTAAAATGAGCGATTTTCGTTATCAATATCAGTAATGTTTTTATTTTATATAATTCAAGCAATGAATATATCTACAATTTCTCGCAACGGAATTAATCAAATATTGAAAACAATTTTAATACAAATATTGAAATATTATATATTTAAATATTGAATATTTTTCAACTTTTTTTCTTCTTAGAAGAAGAGAATGTTTGATGTATAATTATACACAATAAAAAATTTAAATAAATAATTTTAATGACTAAATAAAGTTATAACCAATGTATTGCAACTTAAAAATTTGGTCATTTTTAATGGTAATTTTATGAAGTTAACAAATAAAAAATAAGATGATTAAGAGTACATTAAGAGTATAATAGGAAAATATTCAAATTAAGTTATAGAGGAAAGAATTAACTTAAGTTAATAAAAAAGTGAATAAAAAATTTTGTTATCTATAAGTTTCATTTTTTAAATAATTATTGTAATTTATCATTACATAGAATTACACAAATTATGAAACAAGTTTGTTCGAGATTGAAATAAGCTTAATTTATGTTTTGGGAATATAAAAATATCCTAATAAGAATTGTGTATTATATTAAATCGCATCATAATGAAACTAGAAAGAAAACGAGCAATCAGCTGGAATATTGTAAACAATAAAATAGTCTTATGTAAAAAGACTTATGTTTGTATTCAAATTTTCATTAATTTATTATTATAACATGAAATTATTAAAAAAATGAATATTTGTGTAAAATGGTTAATTATCTTTGTTAAAGGAATAAAATATATTATTATTTATACATATAGCAAGTAGAATTTCCCAGTTACATTTGCAATATTTATAATTGATAGATTTATTACAATTTCATTTAATTATACTCTTAAAGTATCGAAATTTTCTAGATTTTCATTACAATATACTTTTCTTTATTTATAATTTTTGATTGTAGCTAGAGTGTAATGATTTTAGTCGCGTATTTAAGCACGTCTTACGCAAATAAAAGAAGAGCCAGAGTCTGATTTCTCATTCGTAGATTTCTCTTCCCTTCTCTAGCATATCAAGTTCATTCACCTACGTATGATCTCATTTTAAATCTGCACAGATTTTATAGTTTGATTTCTGACATATTTTCAAGGCCTGATAAAATATAAAGTATTAAGCAACAAACAATAAAAAAATTTTTAATATACTAATCCCTATTTTTTACCGGTTTCCACTGGTATTTTTAAAGATTAAGTATATTATTTTTTTTTATATTATAATGTTAATATATTGGAATAAAATCCCGAAAATCCTCGATCAACATGAAATTTTGAAGGAAAAAAGGAAGAACGCCAAATATGAAATTTTAGCTTTGATACTTATTAGTTCTTACGATACTAATAAACTCTTTCGGTAACACATTGAATTTTACCTATATACAAGTGTTATTGATACAATACACGTATTAAAACGATTACACCAATTATCGGCTAATTGCCAACCAATTGCCGGTGATTAGATCGTTGACAACTACTAGATTAAATAGAATATATGTATTTATGTTAGTCGCATCAGTCAATGAATTTTCGAAGAAAACGCGAACGACTCGTTCGCACCGCAACAAATGAAATATATTGAATTAAATATGGTTGCCAACTTTCTGGCAGATCAGACATCTACTAAGAAATTATAATGAATTTTGATCGTTGAGTTTGATTGTCAAAGTTGGTCGCCGGATTTTGGTTTCTCGTTGATTAAGTCGTCGGCAAGTTGACAATGTGTGAATCAGCATTGTACAATCATCATCAGTTGTCACTGTAGTAGTCATCGCCGTTAATTATCGAATGGTTGATAATGTAATTAATAACAATGTCATCAATATATTGAGTATTCATCCCTTTGAAATTTCGTTTTATTATCACCATGCTTAATAATTATAATTTATTTACATGTTTGCTTTCCGTTTTTGGATTGCGATTTAAATTTTGCTCTTCATGAGAAATTTGACAAATAATAATGAGATAATAAAATTCTATCAAAAAATGTAATTTCGATATATATTTAAATATATAGTATTGTTTTTAAATATATTTTTAACATATTTATTTTTGAAAAGATAAAATAGTTTAAAAGATATTTAAAAATTTTTTTAAAAGATAAAATAGTAACAGAAGCTTCAAGTGAAAATATCTTGCATATATTTTGGCAAAAGTTGAATATAAATTAATTTTGTCAGCACGAAGAGAAACAAAATTAAAAAATGCAAACAGAAATTAAATTAGTTATTACTTTTATTAATTATTCCCATGTTTTTGCTTAAATTTAATAACTGATTTATAAATTTGACAAGTTCTGACATCGAAGTGTTAGTTTTAGACATTGGTGATTTAAATAAGCATAAATCTTGACAGTATCATTGCTAAAGTTGGTGAAGTAAATACATATTGAATGCTTCCTTATTATGATGATGTATTATAACGCATTTTAATTATAATTTTAGTTCAATATACTTGTAAATAATGCGGATAGGGGTGATTCCAACGAGCATTATAAAAGAATATTGACATATCTGTCGACAAAGAAATGTTTGACTTGAATGTATTTTCATCAATGACTTTATCTAAATTGATAGAAAAATATTTTTTCATGATGAATCCAGGTTATAATTACTTCTAATATTGTTAGTGTCATAATATCAGCATATTCTCCTATATATTGCAAATAAATTTGTATTAAATGTAACATATTAACTGTAAATATTATCATTAATTTATTTATTCACATATGTAAATATTAATAAATGAATATTTGTTATACACAGGGTTGTTATAAAATTCTTGGTTCAGAAAAAATTAGATGGAAATGTAACAATTATAATGTTATGTTCAAAACCAATATATACTAATTTTTTAACAAAAGTATTCATAAGCAAAGTGGTAGATAAGAAGTATAATGTAATTTATTAATATTTATAATTATGTTTCACATATCTCTATTTTACACATATATGATGAAAATGTGAAGAAAGATACAAAAAATAAAATGAATGTGCTACACTGATGAGAACTGGAATAACAAGCAAATTTTTTGAGGTATTTTGTATCTTATCCAAATATTGGATTATAGTGTATTTGGATACTTTATAAAACTACAGATACTTTACAAAATTATTTTATATTTTAGGATAACAAACTTTATGCTTCAATTAGGAAATAATAGAACAATTATCCAAAGGAAAAAATGAATATTTTTTTTATACCACAGTATATAGTTATAATATATTTATAGTATTCTCATGCATTTACACTCATTATGGATTAAAAATAATATTATATTTCATTTTTTGCAAGTATATTACCTCTTTCATCTTATTTTTATTAAAAATCAATATTTATGATTAAAATTATTAACTAATTTTATAAAATCTATATGTGAAAAAAAAGAACAACATGAACATAAGATGCAGCTAATTATAAAATTAGTTGAAGATATTGATGAATACAAAGAAAAACAAAAGACTAATTTGCAAAGAACTGAAAGTATTAGAAGCATTAGCATTACTATTAGTTCGAAGTTTAAAAATATATCTAAGAAATGTAACTTCTATTATATGTTGAGTGTAAAATAGATCTTTCCTTTAAATTCATTCCTTAAAGGTTAATATTTTAATAAAAACTATCTTAAAAAAAAAATATTTTAAGAAAAACTATCTCAACACCTACCAATACAGTTGGAACATCGAAACAATCACTAACAATAAGTATAAAATTAACTCATAACTCAAAATCTAACAGAGTATCTTTCACATAAAGAAAATTTAATAATATTTGGTGATATTATTGTAATGAACAATTAATACATCAGATGAAAATTTAGAATGGAAATTTGATAAAAAAAACTCTTAGTAGGGATACTTTTCCATTTCCTTTCTTCTCCATTTTTCATAAAGATTATTTTATCATTTTTCCTTTTTCTTTTATAGTAAATACAATATTTTTATCAATTCAAAATTGTTGGTGAAAGCATTCATCTTTGGATTATAAGAACTACAGAAGCACTATTATACAATTAAAGAAAAAAAAAATTGTTATATACATAAAATTGTCACCAAAGCTTTTATATTTTAATATTTAGATTAGTACTACATGAAAGATGTTAATGCAATTGCAGCACCAATAATTAAAAGTACATCAAAAAATCAATAGGAAAAAATATATTACAATATACATTGTATAATGTACAAATTTACTTATAATATTCTTACACTTACTATAGATTAAATTATATATTTTTTGCAAGTATATCATCCCTATACTTTTTCCCTCTCATTATTGCTTCTTTAAATAATTTACAATACAATTCTATACTACAAACTGTATCATCATTTCCAGGAATAGGATAGGTTATAAGTCTGGGATCGCAATTTGTATCTACAATACCAATTGTTGGGATACACATTTTAGCTGCATGATTCACTGCCATATGTTGGTCAACAACAGAATTCATAGTATTCAAAAATATACACAAATCTGGCAATCTAGTAATACTTCCAAATTCGTGCGTGGCATCTGTGAATGTTCCATGTCTCCACCGTCTTGTATGAGCATATTCTTGACATTCTTTTGCAGTGGTTTCCACAAGATAAGAAATTTGAGGATTTTTTGCTATAAACAAAATTACTCCATTTCTGAAAGCTATATGAGCTGTGAAATTTAATGCTTGCCGTAATAATTCAGCGGTTTGATCTAAATCGAATATTAAGTGTCCTAGTCTAGATCCAAATAGAAAAGGTTTCATATATTCATTTAAAGAACCTTCCTTATGACCAAAATGTACTCTCGCATCAAATAGATCTTTGACAGTAAACATATCATAAACATGAAAAAAGTCTGGATGACTCAATGGATCTATATCTCTTAGATTATCTATGTTTGAAGCTGAAATATTGTAAATTTATATTTATTCAATAAGAAAATAAAAAGAGTACATAATATATAAAAATATTTACCTTCTTTAACTTCTTGTCGCAACTCAGCTTTTGTGAATAATTTACGCTTCCGGGAATATGTGGACAATGGTAGCAGAATACTGAAGTCTTTAGATACTACAATAGACAACATTATTATTGCTTTATATTATATTACATTATTATTGTTTGCAATAATATATTTTAGTAAATATCGGTAAAAAAAACGAATAGAATATTTACATTTAGATGAAAACGTTCGTGCGATGATAGAAACCATTATAAATACTTTTAGTTTTCTATATAATCGATAGATAATTTATTGTAACTAAAAACAATCTTATTTGAATTGCTTTTATATAATAGGTTAGGTTTACTGCCGTTAAAATTAGGTATAGCTTGTTGGTTAGAATAGGAATATCAAACTAGCGACGCGGCGACTAACGGTGGCGCTTCGTGATTAAGAGCCAACCGTATCTCTCATCGTCCCACCTATTTTATTCTTTCTTCTTTCTTCACTGTATGGTGTACGTTGAACGAGTCCTGCTATTACACAACTCATATATAAGGTGTCCCTATTTTTTCCGACATAACTTTTGCCAGTGAATGAAAACCGTGAGTAAAAATAAAAAGAAAAAAATGTCATATAAATATATGTTCAAAACTTTCATTAAGGAACTATAACGAAAATTCAAAATAGCAGTATAATAAGTTTTTCCTTGGATACAAAATCGATCTGTAATATTTATTTAATTTGTTTATATAATAATATTATAACTAAACTGTTTCATTGACTGAATGTCAGTTTTCACAATGAAAGAATTTACGACACAAATCATTTTTAATGGAAAATGATTTATACTGATTAGCTTCTGAATCCTCATATGCAACTCAGTTGTGTTTGACATTATCATCCATGCAAATTATATTTATTTCATTTTTATTAATGTAAGTATTGTGACTGCATAACATTGTTGAAAATGGATTGTATATTCATTAATATTTTTGTAGTTATATCTGTATCTGGAAGTGATTGATCAACACGGGAAATGATGGCCAGATTTTTTTAAAAAGAGTTATTTTATCTAAAGTATCATCAATATCTAAATATATATTTGTGAAAGTATATAATCATAGATTTGCGAAACAAAAGAAATATGTAAAAGGTCACCTCACAGATTGTCTGGGTCAAATGGCCCAGGTAAAATAGATATTGGCCCAAAAATACATATTTTGAGTTCAATTTTTAGTTTATTATTCAATTTTAGGTCTGTCTCATCCATATTAAATATATTTCTCGTTTTGTTTAAGAGATATTCTCGTAAAGTTTGCCCAAACATTTACATATGTATATGAAAATGTAGGTCAACTTCTACCCTATTTATACTTTGGCACCGAAAAAAAGAAATACCTTCTGATTTTCGAACACTGAAATCTGGATGCCGTTTCAAAAACATATTTAGCCAATCATATCCAGCATATCCTTTTTCCTTATTAAATTCATGATTTATTTCCAAATTTTCAGTCAAATTAGCTTTTAATTAACCCCATTATTATTGTTTAATGTATTATTGACATTTTTTATTGGTTTTGCTAACATTGCACTCATTGATCGAGGTTCTTATAATCTTTCATTGATTTTTGCCAAAAGATTTTAGTAACTAGTCGTTTCTTCACATATATGTACATACATATATACATATCGTTGAATCGTGCATTCCTTTACTTGCTTTTCACTATTCCCACGCCTTGTCGACACTAATAAGGTATTCCCACACTACCGGATCTCTATTTACTCAGATACTCAAACTTGTGCAATATATATCAGGCCATAACAACATGAACTTATTGTTCATAAATTAATATTGTTAATGTTAGAGTGTAATAACTCTGTTACACTCAGGACTACTTTATTTTACCAAACTTTGCGAGAAATTATTGAAAATATTATGTATGTAAGTCTGTTTGAACTATTCTAATTTTTGTATTAAATAATATATTTTCAAAATTTCTTTTGTTTTATATTTCATTTCTTTCATTTAATCGAAAAAGTTGAGGGAAATAATATTACTACTTCTTTTCCGGGCTGAAAAAAATTACTCTTGATAAAAAGATTTCTTCCAACTGCTTTGTATCTGCTCTTGTTTTTTTTTTGTGTTAATTTAACTAAATGACTTGCTATATCATAATTTTTACATTGTATGCTGTTCATGATTTATCTCACATGTAATAACATGTATGAATATCTATTTTCTTTGATGGTATATGCCACAGTTGAAAATCCATCCTTGGTAACATTGCTTCCTTTAATAGTATAGCGTTACATCTTTCATTCTTTTCTATTAATCTTTTTATTATTTGAATCATATCGATATAATCTACACTCGGTCATTATTGTGTTTTTTTTCGAAAAGTTTCATCAAAGTAGCAATCTGTGTCATTTTGTCAAAATCTAAATCTTTAAATCTTTTGTTTTTAAAAAATATGTTTGTGCATGTTTTGTTTATCAATTGGTTTCTCAAAGCCGTCTTCAAATAATTTTCAAAATTTTATATATTTTCACCTTTCGCTTGTTTCTGTAAGTGAAAATGGTAATTTTCTACAGTTTCTAAAAGCAGGTTCAGGTACAAGCGTGTAAGTTTCAAATTTGCAGTAAGATCTACATATGTTTTTATAGGATCAGTTGAAGACTATTTGTCACAAATCCAATATAATTCTAATAATTCTAATATTTTAAAAATTATTATTGAATCTTCGAAATATTTCAGCCATTTTTTCTAATACGCAATAATCACAGATGAACGTTTCAATGCTAAACGTAACTATCTTACAACACTACTTCTGGCATTGGACTTTAATATTTCTCATAATAGAAAATGTATATGGAACATAAAACGGATACGGACGCTTGGAACCTTTAGTCCTTGTATCTAAGCTTGCCTGCGTTCACTTCTCATGCGTTTACGGTAAATACCAGAAACACTGTATCTATGTACACTGTACTTTCTTCAATAACTTTCCTCGTCATCAAATTGTTATGTATGAGAGAGCAATGCAATGCAATACTAGAATGCAACTGAGGCATTTTAGAATCAGCTTTATTTCTAATATGGTCAAAATGATAGTGACTGTTCGACAATCATCGCGGAAGAGTTCCTACTTTCGTTTCTTCCTTGTCTTTTATTCCTTTTTGTACACATACTTTCTCTCTAAAGGCGAATGCTATAGTTGAAAATTGCGTATAAGAAAAAACGGAAACATGTACCAATATAGTTGAAACACGTGCGTTTGATGTTTATAGGAAATTTCACTTTAATACAACGCGTGTCTATGCAACGCGATCGAGGTCAAAAATATATATTAGAATACATCAGATAACGATATTGAGTTTGTTAACGCTCGTGGCGGAAGATGTTTCCTTCGACTCTTGCATTGATTACACATATGCTGGCTAAGTTTCGATTATCAGTTACGATTTAGTTTTTAAGATTTAGAGACTATATTAAACTAAAAAAAAATATGCCTTGCAAATTCTTTTACTGATGTTTGATCATACAAGAATACTCCAGAGAATCTTTGCAGAAAAATTGAATTAAGACATGCAGATTGGTTCAAAGAATCGAATTGACAAGAGTGGTGACTGATTTTTCTATTACAATTAGTTTCTTAAGCAGTATAGCTATCAAATTAATAGTTACTTGTTATATAGCGATAGTTCTTTGCAGGGAAGTATATACGTGAAAAGTCCACGTGAATAATAATCATAACAGGCCTTAAACTTATATTATTTGTTTTGATCCTAATCATACTAACAAAGGAAATAGGAAAATAACGAAAATATGTGCATTAAAGAAGAAAGTTGTGTTGTTCATAAGTGTATTGATGCTATGGAACGGTTTAAACTTGTTTAATGCTCTTTCAATTCTACGGAAGGCGTCAACAGAGTTTCAATATCTTTTTCTTTTCAAGCAATCCTAGAACCTAAAATTTGTTTAGGAAGATCTAAAGAGATTCTGCAGATTATAAGTTAAACACTTCGAAAAATATATCTTTACTTTAAATGAATTTTATATAAGATTCTATATACTTAATAAAAAAAATTCCGTATTTTCGGTATTCACTTAATTTATATCCCCATCAATATATGTATCAAATTTCAAACCGAATCAAACATAAATTTAATGTAATATGATTATATAAAGAATCATTGTTGTAAAAAAAGATTATGTTTTACAAAATAGTATTTCTGATGTACTATTTAACAAAAACTTTTATTTTCTATATGTTACGAGAAATTATAAAAAACTTACACATTTTACAAATTATCGTACATTCCTTTCCGAGTCGTTCTTACTATTTTTAAGACTGCTATTTAAAATCACAAATCTAGAACAAAAGACATTAAACTTCCGGAGGATTTTTCTGTCTGAAAATAAATTTTTTTTAAAAATAATTTTTGTATTTTAAATATTAGAATCTCAATATTTTTCTTTAAATAATTTTTGTATTTTAAATATTAAAATCTCAATATTGCACGTTATCACAAGTGCGTGATGCGATAACTCACTCAACGTGTATTCGTGTTTTAAATCGTCTTAAATCGCTTCTATAGAGTGTGACTACTGAAAAACTGAAGGATTTGAAAAAGTCATAACTTGTTCATTTTCAATCTTTTTTATTTTCTTTCTTTGTAAGTTGTAGAGCATCCCTTGGAGGGATTTGATCAATCTAAGAAATAAAATATAAATAAAATTCTCCATGTAAATTAGAAATAGTATAGTATAGTATAGTATAGTATAGTATAGTATAGTATAGTATAGTACAGTATAGTATACATCTTTAATTTTATATAGGAATTTACTCATTATAATGTGTAATTATAAAAATATTAAAATAGTAAAATAAAAGAAAATGAATCACAGCAAACAATCGTATTTTATCAGTTTGGTATAGATTCTTCGAACATGGGAGGTGACAAATGACATTACACAGTATCAGCTATTGTTTTTCAGCATTATATTTTATTTCATATCCTCGAGTTTTATATAACAAATTATCTAGCTTTGTTATTCTGCATATAGTATGTTTATTTATAAATATACTTATAAAATTAAATTGATGACAAAATTGATTATTATTTAATTACTTAATACTATTTAATTACTTCATTAACCTTCATTTTTTAAAAATGAAGACATCTTCTCATTTTTATTATTTTATTTATTTTATTGAGATATTTTTTTATTTCATTATAAAATGTACATAGTTTTACATATATGAGAAAGAAAAAAATCGTTTTTTATAAATTAAAAATTATAATCAATTGCGAAGAAAAGTCGAAATATCAGCTCAAGGTATTCTTCGGGAAATTCGCAAAATCGATATATCGGTATGAAAACACGGTATATCAATACTAAAAGAGTTAAGAGCAATCCCCGAATCTGAGATCCATTTCGGAAAAAGAGCTAAGAAACAGACGAGATATTTGTCATACGATTAAGAGGAATAAAATTAAGTGTTTATATAATCAAGAATTTTATGATACATTCTGAAAACACGGTTTCCATGTACAATATGCAACACGGTGCAAAAATTGTGTCCTTTGGTAACATTCTAACAACACGGTTTCCTGATAGCACAATTTAATAAACTTGGACAATCTTTATATAATACGAATTTTTTTCGTATTTTAAGTTTCGTTTAGCACGATTTCGATGCAACACGGAACGAATAAACCATGTTATAGGCAGGTTGACTGAGATATTTTATTTTCAAACGCGTATTGCGATATTTGTATCTGAAAGAGCCCTCGTGAAGCAAAATGTGTATAATCATCAGTGCATCATTATGTATGTCGATATCAAAATATCGTTCGATTATGGATGAAGCTAATTGCAATGCTCAATTTTTATTAAAAAGCTTACACATCTTGACCTCAGTACTATGTGACTTGGAATTTTTAAATTAAAACAGTATTAAGGATTCTGGTTGTAAAAATCTATAAATTCTTAACTTAATTTTCATGCATTTTTATTCCTTTTATTGCTTTAAATTTTGTGAGGAAGATACGAAATACTTTAAGATAAATTATAATTAATAAAAAGTAAAAAGTGATGAAGTAAAATTAATGTATACTAAGGATTATGCTACATAAAAATTTTCTAGTAAATAAGGTTATTTTTAAATCTAATTGAATCATTAGCTTTATAACCATTAGTAGAAAGTAATGATACTTCAAGATTTTTATTATTCTGGGTAGTTGTATACATATGCTAAAAAGACAGTGTGCGTTGATAATGAATTTTAAATATCGAATATTAAATACGATCATCTATACATATTAATTTTGAAAATGATATACTCATAGAAAATCACAAAAAGTATTTATTTACAAAGTTCAATGTGACCACCGTATCAATACGTCATTGCAGTACGCTTTGCACTAGAAAGGATTTGGTTCGCTGATGCGTGACGGTGCATTGGTATAAGTAAATCACGATGTCACGATTTTAATGTAAATGTCAGTGATCATGACTAAAAAGTATTAGTGATAAAAGATCATTGACGTAATAAGTTGCTATGAGGCAACCAAAGAAGCAGTTTGGGAAAAGTTTCAAGCAGTACAAGCAATGTAAGAGTTTCTAATATTCATATTTTAAGAAATATACAATAATAAAGAGTCATCAAAAATAATAGTAAAAATTATTTTCAGTTACTCATATTTATTTTTAAATACTCTACAGAATTATAAATTTTAATAATTAATTTACGAAACGAGGAAAAATATTATGCAGTTGATAATTTAATTTTTATACAAGATAGAGAATCATGAATATAGATATATTTATTTTTTAAAATAATAATTAACGTTAAATAAATGAAACTAGTTTTCAAATAGCTGGTTATATATATTTTATAATTTTGGTATCGATATGCTAGAAATTAAACCATTTTCCACACAAAATATTATTTTCCGATTAATTCATTAAATTATTAAATAATATTAATTTTAATAAATATTAAATTTTCGCTATAAGTTGTCGGTTTCTGAATTGTTTGTACTTATGGAAGAAATCGTTATGGGTTTATTTTGAAAAACAAAGTCGTTTCATTGTAATCGAAATTCTATTTTTATCTCTCTGAATTCATTTTTTTTTTTTTAATATTACTTGCAAACAAGGTAAAAATGTGTTTCTTATCTTGAAAATAAAATCTTATATAAAATCTTATATTTGATCAATTTTTATTGACGCTCATATATTATCATAAATTTAAAGATTTTAAAACCTTATAGCAGCTTTTTAAAAATTATGTGTGTGTTTTTTTTGTTATTTTATTACTTTTTCAATAAAAAATATATAGCCGTTATTATAATAATAATTTTGTGTATGTGTATAAATACACAAATTAAATATCCATTTGTGTTTAAATAACATGTTGAAACAATATAAATTTGAATCTGTAAATTTCTTGTAACACAATATTTTTCATTTAAAATGTGATAAAACAATGATAAAAAAACCATGCAAAACTGAAGTCGATAAAAAGATGCAGTTCCAATCTTTATATGCATAATGCTTTAATTTGCAAAAGAATTTTATCAAACTATTATCATTACATAGAAATATTTAATTTTATAAAATTTTTAAGAAAAAATCCATCTTTCTGCACTTTCTTAATGCATTTTTTTTATATATTTATGCATTTCTGAAGACAATAACCTTAAATGAAATGAGAGCAAAGGCTTCAAAATGAATCTATTTTAAAGATCGATGACTTTCTTCCATTAATTTTGCTACCGAGTATATGTAAGCAATAAAATATATATAAGAAAAAAATAATTTGAAAAGATAAAACGCACGTTCTTTATCTATTTATATTTAATCTTTCTATTCACGTTATAAATTTTGAATGTAAGTGATCAGGCATGTAATGTCATAATAAACAGAAATGTCAGTGAAAAATAAAGACATTGAGAATTATGAATTAATTTTTTTGTACATCAATTTTGAATTTTAAAAGGAAGGAATTAATTATTGCAATTAATATTACATTCAATTATAAAATGCTCTTATAAAAATAAGTTGTGGTACAATAAGTTGATTATTTCTTCTTGTTATTTGTTGATATGTTGCTTTATACATGTCGCTATTTAATTCATAATATTATATTTCATTTATACCTAATTAATCGATATAATTTTTATATCTTTATAAATTTTTTCAAAATTGTTCCATCAGTTTTCTTTTTAACTATGCGTGCACCTGCAAGAAAAAAAAAAGATATTACATAATTTTATGATTTTAAAACATCGCGATCATGTAATATATAAATAGAATACTAAAACATCAATTTTGGATCAATTTGGATAAAAATTGAAAATTATATATATTATATAATATATATAATCAAATTTAAAAATTTATCAAGTAGACTTGAAATTAATTAATTTTAAATATGATAGAATAATTAATAGAAAATTATTTTACATGCAGAAATAAATAAAAAATGTAGAATAAAATTCTTTTGTAAGATTTTTATTAACCTCTTGTTCTTTTCTATTACGTGTAAAATTAAAATTATAAATTCAAACATACTTGATAAATCTTCGAAATCGATTTTCTCTAAAAGTAAGTCTTAAATCAAACAATTTTATTTTATGTATTTTTCTTATTTCTTTATCAGGAATCATCTTCTGTTCGCTTGTATATGTTATTTCGGCGCATACGGTATATAGATACACACATTATATTACGAGAAGGTTATTTGTTATATATATAAATGTGGAAATACGCACACAGATACGCATGTAAAATTGCAAATATGTATGTAAATACGTTGTATTAATTTACAACTTTTTATTATACTTTTATTACATTTAAAATTTAAAATAACATAAAATATTTAAATAATTATCGATTCTGGAAAAAAAAGGAATTCGTTACCTTTTCATAATCCTCATCCTTCGAATGTTTTCCAGTCGTCTTTTATTCCTACTGGCGTTAGCTTTCGCTTCGTTAGCAGCGGCAGTTGCTTTGACAGCTGCTCGATTTGTATTAGCGAGGTCTTGTTTTGCAACTCTCAACTGACTTAACAATTCCTCGACCCGACGTTTTGCTGCTTCTACCAATTCCTCTTTTTCCCGTAAAGCTTTTTGAGCTCCAGTTGCAGCTGTCTGAGCATTAGCTGCATTTGCCTTAGCTGTTTGGACTGCGTGTGTCAATGTTTTTAACTGTAACCAAAGGAAAAGACTTTTTTCGATTGCAAATTGCATTCTTATTTATACGACATTGAAAGTATTTTTTAGTCACTCCTGATTAACAATAAATGCGTCTCTGTTGCTACCAGTAATAATAAATTGAATCATGAAATATGTACGAGCAAGCAATTAACAAGTGAATGGCTTCAGTGAATATATATGTATATATACATATATACAGACATGCATGTAATTATATATGCACACGTAAAGCATGTTGCTAAACTCGCGTCCACATTATAACATTGTATGCGTCATATCATTTGCAATCCTTATATTTTATAATATTTACAAAAACAACAGTAGCTAAAATTATCAAGCAGAAATTGTTGATTAAATAAATTGTTTGTTCAAATTAAATTATAAAGAAGCATTTTTTTCTATAAATACGTACGTACATTACATTTGACGTACGATTTACTGCATTGTAATGTAGTTACAAAACATATTTGCATTCTATGTCCCTTTCTTCTATCCCGATTAAGGCTTTTTTCAATATAAATGCCTTTTCCAAATCAATTTTCTTTTATAATCACAAATATTAAAAATAAAGAATAATTTAATTATATTACATAGAAAAATTAATAAGACAATAAAAACTATACGTATCTAGTTCCACTCAAAGACAAAGCTACATATACTTCAATTTATCAATATATTTGTCAATAACTAAATTTAAATATATCACCTGATCTTGAGATTGGCGCGCCGCTTGTAAAGCAGCATTAACATTAGCTTGTTCTCGTTCCAAAGATGAAGATTCTTCTTGGACAACTGATTGCGCTTCCCTTACTTCTTCCTGTAACTGATCTACTATAACTTTCTTTCCTGCGAGTGCTTCTTCCGCTGCTCTGGCAGCTTGTACTGCTTTCTCAGCAAGTTGTGCTTTTACCTGTATATTGAAGCGTATTTATACATAGCCATTTAGTTTGAAAGTGGCATATGTCACTTTACAGTAACGAAGAATGGCGATTTGTTGTCTGTGCGAAATTATTTATACTGAGAAAAATACAAATATCTGAGATAACAAATACAAATAAATCTTCTCGAAAGTTAGCATCAATTTTTCCAGGAACGATTGAAACGCAAACCCTTAAATATCTCGATTTATAAATGAAGTGACTTATGTAGAACACGTTAAATAATTTCATGTACATATGTACATTAGAATTCTAACAAATAATGAGGCTACAGCATCGAAGTCGCATTATTTTTAAATTGATTCTTAATCTCAAAGTAATACATGCTTAGTGAAACGTATAAAGTATAACATAATTACTTTCACGAGTAATATTTTTAGTTATTATGTGAGAATTAAGGTTCAGCGATTTCATAGAAAATGTGAGTTCACTTATAGTAGATATATTTTCGTAAACAACGAATAATTTTCGCATTACTCCCACACGTGAGAAACAAATCTTATGTGATTGGATTCATTGTATTAGATACGAGCTTTGACGTAATATAGATCTTTTATTTATCATAGCGTCTAATGAATTGCTATTTTATGAAATATGATAAATGTACTATAAATTTAATAAATAAATAATGTTTACTTTCTGAATGAAAACAAATATTATTATAAGCTACTGTAAGCTATAAAAAGGATAAATTATTTACTTATGCTATCATAATCGAATGTTAATATTAAATAAAACGTTTTGAAAAAAAACTAAGTACTTGACGGGCGGCTTGCTGACCAGCAATATTTTGTGCTTCTGAAGCAGCTTTAGCTTCCTGTGCAGCTTTCTGTGCAATGTTACTATTTCTTTCTGCAGATTTCTTTGAGTTATTTGAATTTGATGAACTTAAATAATTTGATTCATCCGCATAATGTATTTCCCTTTGATTCTATTAGAAAAATGTGAATAAAATTAATCATCAGCAATTAATAATGTTGGTTATACGTTTGTAAAAATGAATCCTCTCTCTAGATATAATTCATTTACTAGAAGATATGTTTATTATAATGTTACTTCTGTATCATATTTTACAGTAAGTAATAAATTTACATTATTTATAAATTATATTATAAATAAATTCAGGAAATATATAGCCTGAATTTTATGAAAAGTTACTAAATAATTTTTCGCTAAGATATAACGTGTAGAAGAATAGCAAATGTGTAAATGATCATATCAATAAAAAATATTATTAGGTTTACTAAATTAACTGGAATCTTATGCACCCTTCCACAGTCAAAATATTCGAACGTCAGCAGCACTAAAATATTATATTTATTTGGTTAGAAAATGAAAATTAGGCATTTCTTTTTTTTTTTTAATGTACTTACCAATGTAAAGAACATAAAAGATATACATTCTGAAAACAGCAAATTTAGATAAATGTCGGATTGTAGTTCATATAAATCATCATATACCAGAGTATAAAATTATTTCTAATTAGTATGATGTGTGAAAATACGTTGACGAGAGAAACGAATGAAATGCGATTGTATCGAATTTATATATCGAAGAAGAGTGAACACCTATACGATATAATGAATAATACCTATACGTTATTAAATATTGCTTATTATATGCATATTATCAAAAATTGCTTTTTTATATTTTTGCTATATTAATTATATATTTTTATAATGTGTATTGCAATAATGTATATTGCGATAAACATGTATAACTTTACGCCTGTATGAATAAATAGAATATTATAATATTCCTATTGTGCAAAATAAAACTATTACATTTATTGAAAGTAATGCGTTATATATAGAAAGTTTGAATTGTGAATCAAATCGCATTTGAATAAAGATTCATTATCAAAGTTGGGTAAATATTTTAGCTTTGTTTATGTGTCAAATATCTTTTCAGGTTTTTAATTAACAAATTTAAATTTATATTTTATTATGTGATTAATAAGATGGTAACTGAGATTTTTTTCTTTAACGATATTATAAATATGTAAAGTTACTTGTTTTTTTTTTTTAAGCAGTTATAAATTCCATTGTCTGAAATTTGCATTAAACAATATAAAATGTATAAATGATATGAATATTTTATTTGTTTTATGATAATTGATCTCAAAAAAGCAGTTTATTATAAATTTGAGTTCAGTATTTCTTTTTTCTAAGAAATATTTATTGTGTGTTGTTATTCTCACTATCCTGAACCCCTTCCGTAACTACCATATTACCATATTACCATTAGTTCTTGGTACATGCTTATAGAACCTATAAGAGCTACGATAACCAGGTAAGTGGTATCAGTTATTTCTTCGAGCTGGAACAACACAGATTCGTTAAACGATTGACTAGTAAGTACTGAACTTCGCTTTGAACTTTGTAAATAATGAAAGTTTTTTGAAAATTTATTTCTAATTCCCGAAACTAAGAAAGAAAGTTTCCAAAAGTTGCACGCTTTAAATACTTTATTTGCTAAAAACTAATTAATTGGATAAATTTAGTAACTGTTAAAATCTTAATTTTTTCAAACTTGAATTTGATATATTTTAAAGATACCTGCTTAAAAAATAATATATTTGATTTAAAAATAAAAGTTTTCTAATTTTTTAAGATATAATTATATTCAAAGTAAATTATTTTAATACAATGTCTAATATGAATAAAAAATTAAAATAAAAAAAGATATAAAATATAATAATAGAAATTGAACAATTAAAAAATAAAAGAAATTATTTCGTAAATAAAAATCCTTAATAGATAAATATACGTCATCGTATATTTCTTCTTTTTATATAATCTATAGAATATAAAAATATTAATCAATTGCATTATATATGAATTTTCTTTTTTTTCTTCTTATATCAATCAGTTTTATTATTCCTTCTAAGAGAAAAAAAAATATTTACAACAAGTGAATTGTCAAAAAAATTGTTTTATTAAAAACAGGTATTAAAATCCATTAAAAACCTATTGGAAATATTTATGTCAACATACAACTGCAAAACTTATATTACATATATGATGTAATTTTTATTCATATTATAATTTTCCATGATTGTTATTTAAAAGTATTATACAAAATAACACTACGTATCTTTTGTACGTAGTATGTTCATATATTATTATATATATAATACTATTTAATTTAGTTATTACTAAAAATATTAAATTTTTTATAGCACGGCTTTAAACAGTTCGTTATAAACAGTTACACTGAACTCAAGAAAATAAATATTAAGATATATCAGAAGTGCCTAAATATTAAATTTCTGTGATCTATTTAAATAAAATAAATATCAGTTTTCATAAATAATGAAAATAAGGATAAAATATACAACTTTATCCTTAGTAATGTAGGAAATTATAAATAAACTTTATTTCAATGATAGTAAAATTGATCAATTGATATCAATATTGTTATATTCAAGACATATTTCAAATGTCTTCCTTGACATGATTTCACAATTTTAAGACATTCTTAATAGAATTATTCTCACGGCCATAAATGAGTGGTGCAATAAGTGTAACAGTTTACATTAATTACTTCTTTATTCTTAGATAAAGTATACTATTTGACTGTATATATTGAATTTAAATACTTTTATTGAGGTAATATAATAGGTAATATTATATTATGGTATTTGGTATAGTATGATATTATGGTATAAATATTTTCTTATGCAGTAAGAATCTTCGTTTTTAAAGGAATTATGTTTATAAATATTTATCTTTTTTATTAATTAATTAATTAATATCTTATTAATTTATAATGACTTTCTTGTATATTATTTATATTATATAACTTTTATTAATTTATTCACGAAATTTATTTTCAAAACTGAATCATTATATTTGGAGTAATTAATTATATTATTTGATTAAATCATTATATAAAGTTTGTAATTTTATTCGTGGAATTGAATAATCAATAAATAAAACCAATGTACTAATTTATTTAAAAATAATTTCTTGTAGATATATAATAGGCGTTACTATTTTTTATAGAATTAAAACTGTGAATATTTTCGTTGTAAATGTTTAAGTGTTGAAATTTTTCTGGTTAAACGAACGTCATTACATACGTGTTTACCTTCACATATAGATAAGATCTCTCATCGATTTAATTATGCATTTACATACGTACACGCATTGGTTTTCAGAGCGTAACGGAACTAGGTATTCGGTTTTGAACCGTCATGACTTGCAACAGATTTGCTCCGAAATAACAGAATATGCGTCAGGAATAATTTACATTAATTTTAAATTTCATAAAAGCATTAATAGCTCTCAAAAATTATATTTTAAATAATTACATTATGTAATTCGTCCTTAATTAAATTATCTTTATTATCTTTATTATTAAATACATTTTATTATCAAATGAAATTTTACTTCGATATAATTCGTATACCTATGTGCATTAGTTTAATCATTTAACTATACAATAATGATTAATGAAAGCATTAATTATATAATATTTATACAGATTTACAAGACTTGATTAACAAGACTTTTATAAATTTCATTGATTCAGTAAAAGAAACATTACTACAGTAAAGTCCTGCCAATCTTCTATGACTAATACGGATTGAAATGTGAAAGGCACAAAGGTTTCGAATGGGAGCGTCCAAAAAAAGATACGGACGTAAGCATGTATAGTACGTAGCTTTAAACTTGCAGTAAATGCATTAGTTTATAAGTAAGTTAATGCTACAGTGAAATTACTTTTGGACGAAAAATTATTTGTATTAATTATATTTTGTTTCTAACGAATTATTTCATATACCGATTATATTATATAAAGAAGCCAATAAAAAATATAATATTAAAATAAAAAATAAATTTTTTCAAATATCATTTAAAAAAATGAAAATCATGTTAATCCAACACATATCAAAAAAAAAAAAAATACGTAAAAATAAAATACGTAAAAATAAATAATAAACAATAAAGAAACAATATATAAATTGAAAGAAAAGAAAAAAATAAAAATTGATTTTGTTATTCTCGTTTAATTAAGTCAAAATGAAATTTCAATGAAACAATTAAGCAAACGTAATCAACGAAAATGGAATTTCAATGAAACAATTAATTTAATAAAAATGATTACATTATATTTAATAAAATATTATTAAAATATAAAAAATATTTAAATATTTGAATTTATGAATGGAGTATTTATGAATGGAGTATTTTAGAATATGAAAAGAAGATACCTGGAGGAATAGAAACATGAAAAATAAATAAAGAGAATAATAAGAATAAATATTTACTTATATTAAGCAAAATTGTACGATATTTTTTGATTTCATAATTGTTGATAATATAATAACTATTAATACTTGTAACTTGTAATTTTCGAAATTATACATTTTGACTTTATTAGATATATTCGGTAATATTATATCAATATAATTATAATTACGTACATTAATTTTCAGACACTAAATATTTAAACTGTTACAATTTCATAAAATAAAATGTACAATAATAACCTGCATTCATTTTAAAGCTTGAAGTCTCTACTTTCAAAATATGTCATTCATTTTGTTTGTAAAATGTTTTTACATCACATAGCAAGTGAGAAAATAAAAATATTTTCCCTCGAAAACATTATAAATTGTCATTTAAAAAAAAATTGTTTTCATGACTGAATCTACAACAGCTCTGAAGATCGAATCATCTTTATAATGATATCTTAAAACTTGATGTACACATTTTTTCCGTCATTTTATTGAATTTTTACAATTTCTTAAACTTTCATCGTCTAAATCTAACATTCAGTAAAATCATACATCAAGTTTTAAATGGTCATTTTAAGAAAGGAAGAAGCTTTAATATTCAAAACTATTGTAGATTCAGTCATTAAAAAAATTTTTCAATATTTTTATGCTAGTATGATAATTCATAATATTTTTAAGAAGAAAAATACTTTCACTTTCTCATCTGCTATATCTTGGAAAAAATGAATGAATGACGTATTTTGAAAGTAGAGCTATCAAGTATTGAAATAAATCGAGGCTTATTCTACAATTTTATTTTATATAAATTGTAACAGTTTAAATATTTAGTAGCATTGATATGAGTAATGATATGTATATTTGAACTAAAAATGACAAATGACAGGAAGGTGTTATTATTTTCATTTAATTCCTAAATGAAACATGTAAACATAATCTTTTGATTCTTCTGAATGTCAAAAATTTCTATATTTTTTGTGTTTATAGTATCTGTTTTGTACAATGTATTATTAAGTATTGTCAAGTTTTGTTATATTTATAAACTACTGTAGGAATATCATGTTCCACGTGGGTTACCAATGAAAAATTTTATAAGGCTCTATTCAAGAGAATAAAATTTTCTTGTTGCAGATTGAAACTACTGAATTAAAGATGAAGGAACTCTTTCTATTATTGGCATATGTTTGTTTGGCACAATGTGCTCTAGCAAAAAAGCAAACTCGCGATCAACAAGCTGCAGGTTATGAATACGAATACGTTCAAGAACCGGCGTTGTCAGAACCTTTATTAGCTTCAGTTCCGCTTGCTCATGGTCGTGAACCTCCTCAACCAGGTTTTAGCGTTGGTGGTCCTTTAGCTAGTATCGCGAAAGGCGCGGCAGAACAGGCTCATACGCAACTAGGTAATCAAGAATCTGCGGCTGGACAAGCTGCATATGTCGCGAAGAATACTTTAGCGCAAGCTGCTGCGCAATCGGCAGCTACCGCGGCTGCGGCCCTTGCTGGCAAACAGATCGTAGTTCAAGGACTGGAGCAACAATCGAGAGATGCTCATGTAGCGGTAGATGGTGAAAAGTTACAATTGCAGCAAGCTGAACGTGCCGCGAATGCAGCAAGGACCACTGCTAAACAAGCTATCCATCAGTTGCAAGTAGCTACAGCAGCTTTAAACGCAGCTCAGACGACGGCTGAACGTGCGGCGCAAGCTGCCGCGGAAGCTGCAGCCGAGCTGGCAGCGCAAACAACTATGCTCGGTCAAGCAAAAGCGAAAGCAGAATCAGTCGACGAACAGCTTTCTGCCGCCCGTCTCGACTATGAAACCACTCAAACAGCCGCTGAGAAAGCTGCTACTGCAGCCGCGGCCGCACAAAACAATGCCGCCGCCGCCGCCGCACACGTTGCCGATACTGCTGCTGCTTCTGCACTTTTAACTCACGAACCAGTCAGTCCTTCGCCACTCCCGAAACTTCCTTCTCAGCATAGTGCCCCGCGAGAACCCGCTGTTCTCGAACCTGCAGCTTACCAAGAACCAAGTGCTCTTCTTCTCTCTGGTGCACTTCATCAATCAGCTGCTCTTCGTCCGTCTAGTACGCTTCTTCGTATTCCCTCCAGATTCCATGAAGCTGCCGCACTTCATGAAGCCGAAGCTCTTCGTATACCCGCTGCTCCTCACGATGCTGTCTCTCTTCGCGCATCCGGATTGCTCCACGAAACTGGTCCTGCACTTCAATCTCCAAACGGTCTTCATCGTTCAGAGCTACTTAGCTTAGCCAACGCTTTACCGTCTGATAGTTATGATATTAAAAGTTATCGATACTAGATTCCTTTGAATTGGACATTTTAGTGGAATCTAATACTTGTTGCTGTCTTTATTCAGGAATATCAAAAACACTATGTTCCGTATGTCAGACTGTACAATAAAATATTGTTGAAATCTCATATATATTTTCTGTCTAACCTCTTTATTCTATTCTTTCTGAGTTTCTATCTAGCCCGAACGTGGTTTCTTTGTTTTTTCATCAACCTCGTACGAGAATACATATAAATGTTACTAAAATTATTAATAATTTATTGAAAATTTAATGCGATAACATATTAATTGTTAATAATTAAAATATTATCGCATTAAATAATTGGTTTTTTTTCTAATAAAACATCTCATAGTTTTAAAAATTTTAGGAAAATAACGTTCTTTATTATCTCATTTTTAATCTTAAAGATGTATAAAACTAAAAATAAAGAATTAATTTAAAATAAAATTGATCTTTTCATACGCGTCTAGTAAATTATATAACGTTTTCTTCGTCCCTTTTTGATTTATTATTACATAAATATTAGTAATTTTATCCATTTTCTTTGTTTTCATTTTTATTAACAATGTTGAAGATAATACAATATTATAACATGAAAATTGGTATAAAATTAAAAAATCACATTTCTTTTTCTCATATCATTATAAATTTATTTGTATAATTTTATTTTTGTATGATTGAAGAATTATTTGTATCGAAAATAATTAAAAAGAAAAGTGCAAAAATAATTTAGAAATGTGTATCTTACATATTTAACAATTATTTTAGCGGTTCAACAGTTAAGTGTATACCTCCTTTCGCCATCAATACAAGAGATCCTTCTTCATATTCTAAAGTAGATGACATATTCGGTGCAAGTGTGAATTTATTTTTCAATAAAGAACTTATTACAGCATATTTTGTTTGTACAAGGCCAAATCTCATTCCTGAAAAAACCAAATAACGTATTTAATACTGCAGTTTATTTTTGAATAGGTTATTTTAATATTATTATTTATTTGTTAATCAGAATGTTGATATTAAAGCATGTCATTTATCGTATGTTATGTACTGTGATTTCAAATATATTAGAAAATAAAGTTAGAAAAATAAGCAAATGGAAATTATTAACCATGATTTCGATAAAACAAATTTTAATTTATATAAGGTGTTCCACTATCGGACGTATAACCGAGAAGAGAGATTTTATATCAAAAAAAGAACGAAACGAAATGAAAGAATAAAATTTTTTCATTAAAAATTTCGTTTTCGAGAAAATTAAAATTAAAAATATTATCAATAATATTTAAATTTAGCTAATTCCAGACTGGCTAGGAATCAATAATGGATCAATATCTACTAGAATCAATAATGTACAAAAATATTGTACAATACAATTTTTTCATAAGATGCTCCATTTTTAAGAAAATTTATTACAATACAAAATTTTGCGTTCAAACATTATTTTTTCATATTTCTAAAATATCTCATTATAATTGTAAGTACGATGAAGTAGAACTTTATCAATTCATATTTCTTAAAAAATGCTTGTCAGGATATGTTTTAGACGAAAATAGAATTCGAATGGAACACAATTTAACGTTACTAGTTTTTTTTACAGCTTTAATTTTTTTTTTTCTCTGTAGCAGAATCATAGATTTTAATGGCTTAATGCAACTTGTTATTCCAAAGGTATTAATCAGTTTATATCAAATAAATTTATGAGATACTGAAAAATTATTATTATTTTAAAATAATGAATATCTCCTAAGTAGTTTAATATCTTTTTTATGAATTAATGAGGTTCAAAAAGAATGTAATTGAATCTGCCGCAGAAAAACTAACAGTAAGTTTTTCAACAAATCTCTACTGATCTAAAGAGCGTAATATGTAATATTATAGTTGCGAAATTATTGAGTTAAACACGCATAATATATATTATATATTGTGATCTTTTTGTGCATATAGAAATAAATACATAAATAATAATGAAGAAATAAAACAAAGAATAACTAATAATAAAAATAGCACAAACAGTTTAAAAATAGATTCAAAAGATTTCGATCTCTATAATATAAGAATACATATAATTATACTTTTAAACATACAAAAAATCCTCTTTGTAAGTACTATAAGTAAGTACTATTTATCAAATATAAATCTATTATTAAATAAATCTATAAATTTTGTACTGATTAATATTTTGCAATATTCTGTTTTTTAAGTAATGATATTTACAAATAATATGAAGGAGAAAATCAAAAAATATTTGTAAAAATGGAACTGTTTTAATTTGTTGAGATATAATTTCTTGTCGTTATTATATATTAAGTAGTATACTTATTTAAGGAATTATTTAGAAAAGCATACATACCAATGCATATTCTTGGTCCTTCGCCAAATGGTAGATATGTATAAGAATGCCTAGTTTTTATATTTTCTTCAGAGAATCGTTCTGGATCAAATTTATTCGGATCAGGAAATACGTCAGAATTTCGGTGAATACCGAAAACGGGTATTACCACATTAGTTCCCTTAGGTATGACAAAGTCTGTTCCGTTTAATTTTGTTTCCTTTGTACAAATACGGTTTAGTACAACAACCGGTGGATATTTCCGCAAAGTTTCTGAAATAAATTGGGTTTTCCAAAAATTAAGTATCTTAAATATCTCAATAGCATGCATTCGCATCTTAGAGCTCTGATTCATTTGCTAAAATATGTTTTATGAACAAAGTTATAACAATATAAAAGACTATAGTTGATTGCTACAATTTGGTATTCTTATAAATTACATTATAAAACGTTTTAACATATGAAAGAACAGCAAACATCCTATTGTTGCTATTATAAGTTTTTTATTATAAAAAATTATTAATATATATTTTAAAATTATTACTAATAATAATTTTTTAAATATATTAATTAAAAGTTTTTTATTATAAAAAATTTAATTATAAAAAATGGCCGAATGATTGTAAATATTGTTTCTAAAGAACTTTCGTTTTAATTATAGTCATTAATTTTCCTTTCTAATTTTGTTTAAATACAGAATATACATTATACTCAGTCTCGGTTCAGCCGTCATACCGTACGGACGTCCGATATAGTCTCGCTTATGAGTTCCAATAAAAATTATTATAGCGTCAGTATTAGTGGAATTGTAATTGGCCACTTACAAATTACAACGGAGTCCCACAAGGATCAGTATTGAGCACCACATTATTTTTAATAGGAATCAACGACATCACCATCAATCTCAAGCCATCAATAAAAACTCTAAAAGCTATTTGCGGATGACATAACCATCACATGTAGCGGGATCAAATATAAGCTCCATCAACGAACATTTACAAACAGCCATCAATACCCTTCGAGACTGGTCAAAAACAATGGGCTTAAAATTTTCTCCCAAAAAAACCCAAGGCATCCTATTCACCAGGAAAACCAAACTTAATCCCCTACCTAAACTATACCTAAGTAATCTTGAAATAAAGTTCACAGATACCATTAAAATATTAGACTTTATTTTCGACAAAAAATTATCTTGGGCGCCATACTTAAAAACCTTAAAAGAGTCTTGTATAAAAAGATTTAACATCATAAAAACCCTTTCCAATAATAACTGGGAAGCGGATAAAGACACTCTTCTTGAAACATACAAAGCGTTAATCAGATCCAAACTAGATTACGGCTCTACCGTTTATAACTCAGCCAAAAGCTCCACCAAAAAAAATAATAGATCCAATCTCCCACACAGCTCTTAGACTAGCCACAAGTGCATACCGAATATGCCCCATTAACAGCCTACTATTCGAAACCAAAGAAATAGCACTTGAATCCAGAAGGAAGTTCCTAACTCTTAAATACGCACTAAAAGTCTCATCCATTCCAAATAATCCTTCCTACAACAACATCTTCTCCAATAGATACAAAGCTTTCTACATCAACAAACCCAAAATTCCCTCCCCCTTCCATGTCAGACTTACCAAAATCCTTCAATCAACTTTCAAAATCCACCCTACCATTGAACGTAAACCATCACAAATCCCTCCATGGACAATAAAGCATTCCCAACAAATACCAGTCTTGCCGAACTCTCCAAAAAAATCCTCAGTCCAACTGACCACAGGACTCGATTCCTGAAACTAAATAACAACTACTCCCAACACAGCAAAATTTACACTGCTGGGTCAAAAACGGACACTGGTGCTGGATACTCCATTATCACAAAAAAAGCTAAAATCTTCCTTCTTCATCATCCATTTCACAGCCGAAACTTATGCCATCCTGGAAGCTATTAAATATGGACACTCAAATAATGAAGCCCAGATCGTCATATACACCGACTCCATGAGCGTTACAAAATCCATAACGAAATCGTATGATCAAGAAAACCAACTAATGTCCACCATCCAAGAACTAAACCACAACCAACCTAACACAAACGCCACAGTCATCTGAATTCTAGCTCATCAAGGAATAGAAGGAAATGAAAAAGCCGACGCAGCAGCCAAAGAAGCCACTGTTCCCTCATTTACTAACAATCGCAATCATCTTCCAATCCCTTGCGATGATCAAATAATCCACTGCAAAAAAGTAGCAAAAAATGAATGGAACAATACATGGAAAACAACTAAAAGCACCCAACTACACAAAAGTATCCAAGACTCACCAGCAAACACCAAATCTTAACAACAGGAAAGAAGGAATATTTATCACACGCCTAAGAACCGGTCATACTAAGCTGATACATGAACACAAAATCAAAAAAACTCACCTGCACTCATTGTAATCATCCACTAACAAAAGCTCACTGCACGAATGCCACATCACAGAAATCCAAAAACGGAAATACAGAATCAACGCAAACATAAACCTGACTTCTCAAAATGACATACAAAGAGTATTAAAATATCTCAAAAAAACATATACTACTACATATAACATATACATATACTACTACACACATATCTAATGACACCATCGTCGCTAATGACCTCACTGTCGATGCGACATTAAAGAAAAATAGAAGAAGAAGACATATTCATTTGCCACAATATCATAAAAATAAATTGTCAATAAAAATTTTCGAAAAATGAAATTATGATCACAGGTTTAATCACTTATATGATCACATACAAGATTAAATTATTATTTGAAAATACAAATTATTATATTTCTTTCGTTACAAATTATAAAACATCTCAGAAATCTTTTTTTTTCAATTAGCTCAATCTCGTTTTAATCTTACAAATAGTTATAATATAGTTGTATACATACCGGAGATTACTTTATGAAGATAAGTCATATCATTTACAGCATCATATGTCAAATCACCATGTTTCTCAATTTGTGTTTGAATTTCTTTACGTACTTTATTTTGTATATCTTGATGTTGCGCTAATTCATATAAACAGAATGTAGCTGTAGTTGAAGATGTTTCAAAACCAGCTAAGTAAAAAACATAAGCTTGTGCCGCAGCCTCCGTCATCGTTAATTTATTTTCTAATTGTATATAAAAAGTAATAATTTTGTATTATCATTTATTCTTAATATCAAAACATTTAATTAAAAATGAAAAAGTAATTACTTGCAACATTTGAGCTATTTGAGCTATTTGAATTATCATCTACTTCCACATATCCATTTCTCATTAATTGCATCAGTAAATTCAAAAAATCTTTTCTTTCGATATTATTTGCTTCTCTATATTCTACAGTTTCTTTAAATGTTTTCAAGAAAAAGTTTGTAATATCTTTTTCAGTAAATGGTATCGAAAAAAGATTAAAGATTTGTGGAGCCCATATAACAAGAGCATTCCACAAAGGTCTCGGATCAAATATTTTTTTTCCCCAGTAACGAAATTCATTATCTGGGTTTTTAAAGCTGTTACACGATATTCCAAATGCCGCTGACATAATAATATCGACAGAATATCTGAAAAAAATAACAATATTGAATTATGAAAGATTTAAAAATATACAAAACACATAACCATGTAACCGAATCTCTTTAATTTAATATTATATTCTAAACTATTATTATTATAACTAATTATTGTAACTAAATTATTATATCAATGTTTAAAATATTTATAACAAGAATGTTTCAAAGGATTGCTAAAAATATTCTTTTTTGTAACATTTTATTCATATCAAAATTATTTAATTTCAGATATGTATTCTGAAATTTGTAGCATTTATAATATTGTTTGTTATCAATGTTATTATTTGTTACCAAGTTTTAAAATATTGTTATAAATAAAAGTCCAAAGGACTTAAATTAAACAAGCGTTATTTTTATAAAATTATTTATAGTGTTTATCAATCAAATATATAATTCCAGATACGAATACGTATCGATGTAATTGAGTAATATAGTAGTCCACACGTAGCTGACTGAGTCAGGTCCGTGCTGGTCAGTTAAGCCTGGAGGTGTATTCCAGGAATTGGCATCGAAAGAAAGAGTGGGAATGAGCTGTTTCACCGATACCAAGCACCCAATATCGGTATCATATACTACATTGCTTGTTTTGTGTGTCAAGTGTTTCACACGGTCGCACGTGGGATAGCGTAGAGTGGGGATAGTCCAAATTCCAAGAATTGGTGGGGATAAGCGCTGGTCAGTTACGCGTGACAAAGTGTGGTCAGTTACGTGTGGATTACTCTATCTCAACAGGCTTATAATTTATAGATAATATTAATTGTAAAAATTTATAATAATTAGTCTTATATAAGTGTTTCCTCATATTTGAAAATTATTTTTCACGTTACAACTTAATTTTTGTAAGTATTATTGACAAGAGGTTAATATTAGTTTATTATTACATTTGTAAAAGCGTTTATATATAAATAAGATTACTATACTATAATAACAACACCTATATAGAGATTTTTTCATAAACTTTTTAGATTTGACTATAAACATTTGTGAAGAATTTTCAATTTTTGATATAATCTATTTCGTACTAATTAGGTTTCAGTTAATTTTTCTTGATTATTTAAATAATTTAAAAATCTGTTCTTCAATTCAAATAGCTTGAATATCTCTTTTATCTTATATTAATTTTCTTAGATAAGTATATATCATTATATACTGTTTCTGTAATTGTAAATCAACGATAAGTCTATTTTTAGAAAGACTTTGACTTCTTTCAATAAAAATGTTAAGCTTCTGTATAAATTTTTTATTTATATATCATTTATAAGCGAAGTAATTGATTATTTAATATTAAACTGATCTAATAATCTATTATTCTGATAATCTATTTAACAATCATATAAACAAAGAAATGATTTTTAGATCCGCTAATTCGTTTTTATTTGATTTATTTTTGTTTTACTATATTATTTACTCTTAACAAGTAAAATTGACAACAGTATTAGTAATACATATTGCATAAATTTGTAATACGTATTACGTACTGTGTGTTATGTGTGCTTATAATACTGTGTAATTATTATTCTTATTTTTGTATTCTTTTTTTTTCATCAGAAAAAGCATTTATTACAGAATGCAATATTACAAAGAAGTGTCTTCAAATATTATATTTTATTATTATATATTTATATTAATTATATTATATTAATTCGTTTCTCTTATCTATTATATATATAGAGAAACGAATAATGCAAAAATAAAAACGAATTGGTCGATCTAAAATCATTAGATAGATGTCATGAAAATGAAATAACTTATTAGTTTTTTGTCAGATTTTAATCGATTTCAATTTGAAAAATTTATATTATAATTAATATTATAATTTATAATTTTGCTGAATTTATAATAACATTTTATTATATGATACAATTCTGAATAATATGAACAAAAAAAAAGAGAATTTTCTCTAAAAATATTTTGAATAAACAAAAAAAATCTTGTTTAAAAATATTTGTTAAAATAATTAAACTATGTAATGTTTCCTTTTACATGTATTAATATACGAATCTTATGTAACTTTTATTAACTAATTAAACTGTATTATTAAATAACAGGGAATATTTTTTATAAAAATTGTATTTTTTTGTACTATTAATAGATTCATTTCTTGTTAAATCATTGATTGATGAATAATATTGAAAAAACACTTACTTTGCAAATATATCTTTTACGTCAACAACTGATTTTGTCTCTGCCTTTTCTGCTAGATATGCCGACAAAGTATTTCCGGAGTCTTTCATAATTGGGAAGATTTGTTTAATCTTTCCTGAAGTAAAAGTTGGTGTTAATTTCACTCTCAAATTTCTCCACTTTTTCCCAGGTAATTGAAATAGATGACCAGATAGTGGATCAATTTCTTCATTACAAAATAATCCACGATCGTGAAAACTTGTAAATTCTTTTGTTAGTACATCTCGGATTAAATCAGGATCATTCACAATTAAAAATGGTTTATGAAGCATATATATGCCAATAAGAGGATGATTTTTATGTTGTTCATAAATATCTCTGAAAAACTCGGCTGCAAAATAAAATTTTATGAGTGATAGATATGTCAGTAGAAAAACAATCATTGGAAATATCATATTTCATTCGATTATTGTTAAATTGTTAAGTTAGTTGATATATTTAATTATTCTAAAGTTTACAGATATTAAGTTTATTAAGATTTAGAATCGTTGAAGGATAAGTCTTATTACAATTTTATTATTGCTATTTTAAAGATAAAAAAACAAATGTTCTCTTTGTTTAAATATATCTTTTAGAAGTATTTCTCAAAATAATTCTTAAAAGCTTCACTTGAGTCGCGGTAAGTTCAAAAGATAGAAAACAATTTTCCTTTAATTATAAAATTAGGTAAATTTCTAATTTAGCAGGTTTTATTTTTAAAATAGTAACTTTGGCTATTTTTATAATTATAAATTTTTAATACAAGAGTTTTTTAAGAAACAAAACTATATAACTTCTTCGACTTCTCCCGATTGATTTCTTGCTTTAGTGATAAAATGAACCTTTTATTTAAAACGACAGTGAAATAACCAAAATTGAGAAAAACCATTAAACTAGAAATTTCCCTAAAGTTAATCGACTATCAAAATACAATTTATCTGTAAAATTAATCGATTGTGATTGTTTTTCTAAATAATTTTTTGTTTCAGTATAATTCGATATTAGTAAAATGTCAATAGATTTCTACAAAACTAGTGATTTTTAAATAAATTCAATTTTTTAATGATATAATCAAAATTTAAAACTTTACACTTTAAAATGTAAATTTAAAATGTAAAAAATATAAAAAAGATAGAATAATAAAATAATAAATAAATAATTTTTCTTAAATTACTATGTTAGGTAGAACGACTGATATCATTTTTATATTCATTATATTTACTATTATGTTTATTTACCTTGTGATATTTTACCGGTTACAAATGGCATTATATTCCCAGTGGGAAATGTAGGTTCGAGATAAAATATTCCTTTTTTTTTCCAAAATTTAGAGATATGAAATTTATAATAAACATAGAATCCGACAATTATAAGACTTGATACAGCCAAAATATCTGATATTAACCACGTGGCTAACAACATTGTGGTTGCAGTTTATAAAACTGAAACACATTTTATTCTAATTAATCATCAGTTCTATCTAGAGTTATGAATTAAAATCGTTATTTAAATACTTTATAAACGTATAATATATTATTATAAATATGTTATATTCTTTTCCAAAAGTTATTTAATTTCATTTATTAAACAAATTGAATTTATAAATAAATAGATATTCACATTACATGATAAGAAATACATTTTCCAAATTGATTTGTTTATTACAATTTATATACTATAATAATTTATACTATAAAAATTTTCAGAATTCAAAAATATTTTGACTAATATTAATAATATTAGTATTATTAAATATCATAAGTATATTAATAATATTAATTTTTTCATTCTGGCAGAACACAGATAAAACAATAATTAATTAAACAATTTTTCACATCAATAAATAAATAACAATTATAACACATAACTTCAAATAACAATACACATTACTAATAATATATATTTTTCAGATCTGAAAATATGAACATAAAAACAATATTTTAAAAAATGAATAACCTTCCGTTATTTTTAATGAAAAATCACTTTATAATCGTAATGTTAACGTTCGTTTCAACACTAAATATACGAACGTGTCTCAAGAAGAGATCTATGTTCCTTGTTATATACCATTTCTTGCATAAGATGATTTTGTACTTTTGCTATTATGTCGATAACATGAATAATTTAATAATATAGAGGAAACGTAAATGCATGTTGTACATATTACATAAATTGCAGTATGATTCAACAATTTTTAATTTTTTAAGGTTCTAAGAATTACCTCTATCATTAACCTAATGCTCCTAAGCATATTTTCTACAATTCTCTAAAAAAAATTCCTTCAAAAAATTTACAATTTGCATTTATATAGCAACAATAACAATTTCCAATAACGTAATCATTTTTGTTTTTTATGATTTTATAAATTTAATGAATTTTGAACAATAGTTCATTTAGACAATTATATTTATGAGAGTTACATTTATTTCTATTTACTAATATACACTTATTAGACAATAAAAATATAATTTTTAAATTTGATTTCAAACAAAGGAACATGCGCAAATTAATAAAAGGAATAAAGATTAGAGAAGATGGATGAATTTCAGTTGAATCATTACATCCAGTGAGTAGCACCCTCTAGGTTTCTCAATTGTAACATTGCTATGATATAAATTCCTTAGACAAAGTGTATATATGTTATTTATATATAGGTTGATTTATTTTTAACACATGTACGTATTTCGTGCATATATAATTAATATCGAATATATGTACGTATTATGTGCGTAAAATAATTGATCTATTTTACAAAGTAATTGAAATGATTGATTTTACAGTTATTGAAGAAAGCATTGAATAATTCATTAAGAATATAATGCAAATATTCTAAAACTAGTTGTACAAATTTTTAAATTATTATACAATATCTGTTCGATTCATCATAACGAAGTTTCTTATCATAGTGTCATGTAGTATGAGATCAATAAGTTGAAAAGGTTTCGTCAGAGTATGAGATCGAGTTGATCGGGAAAGTTTTTAATCTGTTGTGGGTTTTTTTTAAATCAGTGTCAAAATATATTGTTTTGTACATGGATAATGCTACGTCTATAAAAATGATAATGAAACCTGTAATAATTTGAGAAATTCGTAAATTAATGAATACGCAAATATATGCTATTATTCGTATCACATTAGTGAAAATGTCAGATATGTATATGAACGATTAGAATATCTTATTAATTTAATACTTCAATAGCCAGAAATAAATAAAAGTTGTTCGTACGTTTTTTTGCAAGTAACGCACTTTTTAATTTCTATAATTTCGTTAAAAAAAAATGATGTGTCATATCCAAGACGTAGGTAAATAATTATAAGTTGGAAACATTGTGAGAATCATTTGAAGAAACAATTTAATAAAAAAATGAGTTCCGTCTGGAAACGATTGCAACGAGTAAACAAGAGAGCCGCAAAATTTCAATTTACTGTATCATATCATGAAGTCACTTTAGAAACGACAACAAAATGGTGAGTAATTATGTTTTTTTTTTAAACATTATTTATATGGATCAATATTTATTATGAATAATTCTTATTATTTTGTGTACAACATATAATAAAGTATATGCAAATATATAATAACGTATATGCGAAACATTACATTTTTTTTTACCTGAATTACTATATTATTGCATAAAATACTATTAATATATTATTATTCAAAATTATATGTATATATATATATATATATACATATTCCCAAATCTATATGAGGAGGAATTATTTTAGTACATTAAAATATAACCTGTGCAAAAGAAATAACATTTTGCTATTAATTTTAAACAAACATCATACATGCTTATTAACAAAATGACATGAAGTATTTTATTGTAATTGGTATAATCAGTTTGAGATATTAAATATCTATTATAAATAATTATTTATTAAATAAATCATTAAATAACTCTTAATATCAAAATTCATAATAAACAAGAATGTGAAAGAATAATTTATAATGTTTATTATTAATTATTGTCATTATAGTTTTATATCATATTTATATAATATATTTTAGCTATTATGTATATAAAATATGAAATATACACAAACATTACTAAATACTATTTAATGTTATATATATTATATATAACATGTATATTAGACACATTATTTTAACATCATATAGGAAACCAAACAAACTGAGTATTGTATGGACAAGACGTAGTAGAAGAGTTAGTTCAGAACCAATAGATTGGGAACCTAACTTAAGTGACCCATTAAAAGGTGTCATTAGTTGGGCAGTTCCTGATAATCATACAGTTTCTGTAACTTTATTTAAAGATCCAAGGACCCATGAATTAGAAGATAAAGATTGGACATTTGTCATTGAAGATGTAAAAAATAATAAATAATATTTATATTGTAAATATTTTGTTAAATATAAATTAATAAATTAACATGTAATACCTTAACTAGGTTTCTCCCACTGGTAAAAGACGACATGTAGCTGCTGCAAATATAAATATGAAAAAATATGCAACATTAGAATCTACTCAACAACAGCTTAAATTAGATTTAAAACCTACATCAAAAAAGATTGTTAGCGCTACATTGGAATGTACTTTATCTTGTGTCTTCTTAAGAGAAGGCAAAGCAACGTAAGAAAATTTTTGAAGCATTGATTTATAATTAATTAAATTTATTATATATTATATTTTTTAATCAGGGATGAAGATATGCAGAGTATGGCTAGTTTGATGTCAGTTAACAATAATAGTGATATTGCACCATTAGATGACTTTGATAATGAAGATATACCAGAAGATGTTGAAGAAGTATCTGGAAAAAATCTTGATGAAATTTTAGATATCTCTGCTCAACTTGATTTAATGACAAGCAGTCTTACCGAAAGTGAACTACCTAGTACTCCAATAAGTGGTATGGACTAAATATACATAAACATATAGTTATATTATTAATGTGTATTTTATACATAATATACATTCCACAGTGGCAAGTTTATCAAAAGATGATACTACTCCTGTAAATGATAGTGATCACATCATATATGATGTTAGTCTTACAGGTATTAATGATTCTTTTAAGGAAAAATCACCATTAAAGGATTCTATTGCTGTTGAGAACAAGTATGTAAATTAGAATCAATTGTTCCATAATTTGGTATTTTCAATAAATGTTTTACTATTATTTTAGTAAAAATATTGAACATAATACACTATTGAGATTACCATTACAACCACTAGAACTAAAAAAGAATGATGCCAATATTCCTAGATTAAAAGAAATTACTCCAGGGCAGGATTTATTGGAATGGTGCAAAGAAGTAACTAAAGATTATTCTGGTGTAAAAGTTACTAATCTTACAACATCTTGGAGGAATGGAATGGCATTTTGTGCAATAATACATCATTTTAGGCCAGATCTTATGTATGTATAAAAAATATATATTAAAATGTTTCAAGAATTATATTTATATTGTTAAAGATTAATAGAGTAATTTTTTTATAAACAAATAGTTTGAAATTATGTTTTACTTTAACTATTATTTAATAATTATAACACTTTTTAACTATTATTTAAATGATAATTTTCAGAGACATAGATTCATTATTACCACATGATGTAAAGGGTAACTGTAAAAAAGCATTTGATGCTGGAGAAGCTCTTGGTATACCTAGAGTAATAGAACCAGCAGATATGGATATATTAACTGTACCTGATAAATTAGCTGTAATGACTTATTTATATCAACTGAGAGCACATTTTACTGGTCATGAATTAGAGGTATGTAACAAATTTTATAGATTTATTTTTCTATATTCACAATTAATTCTTTTAATTATATTAAAAAGACATCCAAATTGTGAATAAAAATGAAATCTGTAACATGAATTATTTTTAGAAGTTTATATAAAATAAAAAATAAATAACAATGAAATAGATATCAATTAAAAATTTTTATATTATTCGAAAGTAATTTATTATTTACACTGGATTTTTATATTTGAAATCTTTTATTTTTTCTTTTCTTACATAAACATATGTTCTCTTTTCTTACATGATTTTTCAGAAGTACTATCGACACAGACACCCGTATACGTCGTCGTTAAGTGCACACGTACTTGGAGAACAATCAAAGCTAATTTTCTCGAAAACAAAGCATCAAACAAAAAAATTTTATTCTTTATTTTCGACTTATTTTTTTATATAGAATCACTTCCTCTTCGCTTGTACTACCGACGCAGGAACATACATTGTATATACACTTGTATACATACATTTTCTTATAATGTAAACATTTTCATATAAAATGAGAAAAAAAACATTTACTTCATTTATAAATTCATACTTAACGATTTAATATTTTCCAGAATTAATTAAAAATACTGGTTTATTTTAATAATTGTTTATTAATTAGAAATTTATTTTACAATAAAGTTGTATATACAATGCTTATTGGCATAATACTACTTCATATAGATTATTTTATAAAAAATATTGCGAACTTGATTTTATAATTTTATTCTAATTAATATTTTCTTTATATTACATGTTATTTATAATACAGTTCAACTTACTAATATATAATATAAATGCTTTTAATAGAATGAATATTAAATATTAAATATATAAATTTATATTATGTATATTAAGTGTGTTAAAAAATAACATGAAGATATATCATAATACAACAAAAAAAACATCTTTAAAAAAAATATTAAAAAAATTTTTTTGAAAAGTATTACAAAATAGACTATTACGATAGATTTATAATTTTTACCATTATTTTTATTATTTCAATATTTTTATATTGTACAATATACATTCATGAATATTTACTCAAATTGAAATTAATATTATACAAGTATAACAAAGTATATATAAAATATAATATAATATATAATTATATTATAAAATATAATAATTATATAATATATAATATTATAGTGTATATAAAATATGCAAAGTATATTATATGTTCGTGATTGAATTACATGTATTAATTACATATATCAATTAAATATTTAGAGAGTGATACATGGATGTAATCACTTTTTTATATAAAAAATTACTTCATATTTTCAGGTACATCAGATAGGTAAAACTACAGATGAATCATCTTATATGATTGGAAGATTTAATACAGACAATAATTCAGATGTAAGTGTGCAATTATTTGGTCAAGAAATAATTAATTTACGTAAGAAAGATCAAATGGAACATAAAAATAATAAAACTGATAACAATAGACGGTATGTTTTTATTATACTATTAATATTTTTAATTACTTTTGACTTATTTTAATACAAAAAGATAATAAAAATACATTTTTTTTAGATCAAATCCATTTGATAACAAAAAAGAAGATGTTAATATTGATTCTTTAAAAAATAAATTACATTTAAGTTTAAATATGGAAAATCAAGATCATGATCAATGCAATAAGGATAAATCGCCATCAAGTGTTAAGGATGTTAAAGATATTATACTAGCTAGTTCAAAGAGTATTCTGGAGAAAGTACTGTCACCAACTAAAGAAAAATATTCATCTAGGGAAAAGGTATGTAAATCAATTTATAATAGATAAATAATCTTATTCATATTGTATTTATAATAACACGATTGTAATTAACCATTTTAAATGAATGATAGGAAGGTATTGATTGACATTATTTTATTATTAATTACATACACAGAGTAAATCTCCACCAAGAATATCACAAACACAACAACGTCCTATATTAATGACTCGACGACAATTAACAGATCCTTTTGGGTCTGATGAAGAAGAGGAAAATATTCAAATAATTGATGAAAAGTGGTCTCAATCAATTTCAATTAACAAATCAGAAACGCCAATTCATAATGTCAGTATGTTTGAATGTTTAAGTATTTCAATTTTATATAGTTTTATCTGCTTTATAAATCATATTAGCAATACACCTTAATTTTTTTGTATACTTTGCCATAAAATTAAAGGATTAGTAAATTATGATTGAAAAATGGTTGATAGTTGACCTACTATACTTCGTGAAAAATTGTGAAAAGAAAAATATCATATCTACTTAGGCTTATTTTGGAGGATGATGCCTTTACTTTTATATTTTTGATTTTAATTCTTTTTTAAATATACTAATATATTATATAATTTGAAAGATTAATAATATATATTATAATATTATGATAATTATAATTATTTAAAACTTAAGAAACAAATAATTTGACACGATATTAAAATGTCTTGCTTAGTATTATCATTTTATGTGTAAAACTAAAATTAATGTATCTTTTAAACCAATAATATTTAGGTTCAGAAGCATATATCTTTTTTTTTTTTTTTATAAAGAACTACTATTACCATAATTAGTATATAAAAAGATATAGAGTTTCACATACTAAAATGAGTTGGCTTTTTTCATATCATTTCATTTCGTTTAATTTTGTTTTCATTCTATTTTTACTCATTTTAAATCTGCTAAAAATTAGCAATCGCTTTAAATAGTACTAATAAATAATACTAAATTTAAATTTAAATAATACTAATAATTCTATTTAATGATATGTATTTTAATACTCTATATATGGGCAAATTTTATCTATACGATAATGCACGGATATTTTTTTAACAATATTATATTGATTTGTTTGACATGCCTTATACTTTTATTAATAATCTCAATAATCTTAAATTTTAATTTTTATTATCAGGATATCATTTTCTTTATTTTACACTGTCACTTACTGGTGATCGACCCAGTGTTTAACATGTTCAAAAAATCACAATTCAAATGTTTTAATCACAGTTAAACATTTAATCACAATTAAATCACAATTAAAAATTTGCAATGATTAATTAATGTTATATGTTCTATTCGCTCGTATTTTATATTTCTGCTAAATTATACTTAATTATATAAAATTATGAAAAATGTCTGCACTTTAAAATATATTTGTTAAAATTACGCTTTGATATGCTATTTAACATATTTTATGCTTACATACATTTATATTCATATTTTGCATGCGGATATATTCAGATGCATGTGAATAAAAAAATATATAAATTTATATAAATTATATAAAAATATATATGTACATGCTATAAATTACATGTATTGTATTCTTTATTTATTTATTATGTATATTTTTATTTACAATAGTACTTTAATTATTATGATAATTTTTCAGTAAATTAATAAATTTACTAATTTTAATAACTGCATCTTTTTACAGGATTCGGTAAATGTTTGTGAAAAAGGAAATCGTACTGAATATCAAAGTGTATCATCACCGCAAGGAGAACAACGTTCTCAGCATGTAATTATTTTTTTTTATATATGCCAATTCTTTTTTTTTTTTTTGTAGTGCCATAACTAATTTACCATTTTTCTTTTTTTTTTTCTTTTTTTTATATTAGCCATTAGTCAGTCGTCATGACGAATTAAGAAAACGCGCCAGGCAACTATTAGAACAGGCTAGGAATCATACAAAGTCAACTGGCCTTATTTCTACTGCTGCATATCCTATTGAGGTTTTATTTTTTTTTCAGTGTTATAATTTTGTGTACATTCATTTAATCTCATGTTTTACAATATTTTTGTTCTGTAAAACAAGATTCTTCTCTGAAGTTAAGAATACGTTATTTAATAATTTATAGAGTCAAAATGATGACGAAAGACAGCAACAATTACGTGAAAGAGCAAGACGTTTAATAGCGGAAGTAAAAATGGGTGTTACTTCAAATCAAATTAATGATGACAATAATAGTGAGAGACGATCGATAGATGATCAAAATAACAGTCCAAGACGTAGTATTACACCATCTACTCCGGGTGACAAATTTAACACAAAGGTTAGTAACGTTAAATTTTTTTACAAATTTAATGTTTCTGTTTTTAAAATTTTAAAAATTTATATATTTCACATAATTGAAATAAAAAAATGTACATTTATATATATTTTATATATTCTCTATATTCAAATTTTCAAAAATAGCGTATTAAATCTTATGCTTATATCTTAAATATAAACATAGAAATAAAATAAACATAGTAAAATGTAAAATTTATGCGAAATATAAATATAGTAAAAATAAAAATAAATATAGAAAATACTAAAATATGCCAGTCTTAATGAGACAAAATGGTATGACAATAATAAAATATTACAATTGCGCCAAGAAAATATATTAATCTTTATCTGGTAAGTTGGATTTATTATTTTTAATAATGGATTCGTGGTTGGTAATTGTTATCTTCAAAAAAATAAATTATATTTATAAATATAGTGGAATATAATGAAGTTATATACATAGTGAATATAATACAATTCCAATTTTATTCGGTATATTTTTATTTGGTAAGATATTAAAACTTTGTTACGCATGGTTCCTTTTTGATCAAATATCCCTAATATATAATATTATCCCTAAAATATAATAAAATTATTTAACCCATAGCCGTTCTTGGCTTAAGGGTTAAATAATACATTTAATATTTAGTGAGACTCCATTTGTTTTATAGCATCTATCAATCGACTTGAAATTGTTTTATGTAATTTTTGTACTAGTTTTTGATTTAAGACATTCCAATTTTGAATAATATTATTTTTTAATTTATTTATATTACTAAATTTTTATATTACTAAATTATTAACATTTCTTAATAAAAATGCCCAAATATTTTCAATAATATTTAAATGAAATGAGCACATGAATTAACTGAACTTCAAAACTGTTACGTTTTTTGAAAGAAAAAATTGTTTTATAATTTTCGCGCTATATAAATTGTAGCATTGTTATGCCGAAAAATATAACTATTGCCTGCAATATGAATTGTATACTTATTTAATTATTAATTGCCAATTGTTAATTTTAATTGTTCAGTAATTTTATATACATATATGTCACTGTTTACAGAATCTAGTAAATATTTTATTTCAGTCTCGCGGTAGTATCCGATGTAATTCTGAAGGAAATACCCAGTATATAGTCTATAAAATGTATATTTTCTCATTTTTATCGTTAAATATATAAATAGATTGTTCTATCATTTTCATTATTTATCTCCGACCATATATACATATGTGTCAATTATTTATCAATTATTTAAATTCACATCTCAAGAATAGCTTATGTAAAAGATACAACTAGTTTTTGTTTCGAAAATATTTTGATGCAAAGTATAGGTCAAAATTTAAAAATCTGAAATAGATTTTTGTAAGAATTTTCAGAATTATAGCAAGATCAAATATAGATATCAACATAATTTGTTTCTTTAATATTCTATAACTTTTGCATCTGAAATATTTATCTATTTTTTATATTTTTCAACATAATTTATCTGGAAAAATTAATAACATTAATGTTTTAAATGATTAAACATTAATATTTTCAATTATATTGCAAAATATTTCAAATAAAAATTAAATGATTTCAAGGGGAGCTTAATTTTGTTATTAACACGTTTATTAAACGTCAAGACGGCTGCGTGTGATGTGTCAGCTGTTTACAAAAGATAAGCTAACGAAAAACAAGACCGAACGGTGCAGAGATGACTAGCGAATCTTCATTTACGCACAAGGCATAGTTCAGTTTCTTTTATTGAAGTAGATCTACCAAATTTGTTATTGGATATAAATTCAAAGTTTTTTATTGCCCTGAAAATGCTGCCAGAATCTTAGGCATTTTTATTAAGAAATGATTGATGCATCCAGCGATTTAATTTTGCCGAACCTTTGTTTGTATTGTTTTAATAAATTACATTAATTTTTATTAAAATATTCCTTTCCTGAAAGCTCTGATTGAACAAAAATCAATGTTGTCTATACGAAATATATATTTAGTCTCACAATCGCAAGGATCGACGCGCGCGGCGGTGTAGCCGTGTTACAGTTTTTATAAATTAACGCATTTGAAATTTATTATTGTCCCTGATTCTACTTATATTGACGAATATCAAAAGCTAATGACGACTAAGTTTTTATTACTGCTTTCATGATTATTATTGAGAGATTCCGATCGTTAGTTGTATGGAGTCCTTAAATTTTACAATAAACAATAATCTTATTAAATTAATATTAATATTAATTAATTTACTAAGAATATTAATTAATTAATATTCTTATTAAATATAGAACAACAAACAAATAATCTTTATTTGAATAGATAAAAAAAAGTAATTCAAAAGTTTCATTATTTAAACATTCTTAGTTTCCTAATTACGTATGAAAGCGAAATGCTTATATTGTACTCATCTATACAACAAAAATGCTATATTGTACTGTACTCATCAATATAACAAAAAATATAAAATTTTTTATTTTTATTACATAAGGAAAATTTAAGCGATGTTCTGTTTTAATTTTTCTCAGAGTATACTTATGTGAATAGTATATTGTGCTTAAAAATTAATAATAACTTAAAACTTTCTTTATTTTATAATTTCTTAGTTTTAAATGCAGCTAAGCGAAAGTTCAAGGAGAAAGTTGTTTTTTACTTCTGATACTAAATGATTTAAATTTTTATGCTATTATTCTTAATGAATACAAATTTGTATCCTTTATATCAGTTATTTATATTCTATTTAATATAGAATACAACTTTTAAAATTTAATATAAAATATAAATTTCTATGTAATAAATATTTCAGGCTGAATACAATGGAAACACTCTAGGAACTTCAAATGTAATAGATGCAGAGAAGAAGACAGGTTCTCCCTTATTCTCATTTTCTAAGATAATAGAAAGAATTTCACCAGATAAAGCTAGTCCTGATGGCACTTCATATACACTCAGAGAGGTATGATTAATTGATTGATTTGAAACTAAATTATAATTTAATTAATTATTATCATTATTAAATCTTTTATCTAGTTGGGAAAAGATATGACATCATATATTCAAAATGAATTAGAAGCATTAGAAAGAGAACAAACTCAAATAGATATTCAAGCTGGTAAACTTGAGAAACAACTTCGAACTGCAATGGAAAGTGATAATGAAGATGAAACAGAAAGACTAATGTCTCTTTGGTTCACGCTTGTTAATAAGAAAAATGCATTGTTGAGAAGACAAATGCAGTTGAATATATTGTAAGTAATTATGTGTTTAATATTTTATTAATCATCTCGAATACTGTTTCTTTTTATTAAATACTTTTTCTATTGTTCCTTCGTCAATTTCAATATATTTTAGGGAAAAAGAAGATGATCTAGAACGACGTTTTGAATTATTAAATCGTGAATTAAGAAGCATATTAGCGGTAGAAGAATGGAGGAAAACTCCTGAACAAAAAATGCGAGAAAATTTACTTTTAGAAGAACTAGTTTCAATAGTAAATAAAAGAGATGAATTAGTTCATCATCTTGATACACAAGAAAGAGCGTAAGTGTAAAATGTTAATTTACATTAAAACTAAGTTATTATTTATATTAATCTATATAATGCTAATTAGAAATTAATATTGAAAATGATAAGAATGTAATTTATTTTTTTCTAAAAAATTAAAAATTTTTGTACTTTTTTGTGAATGTTATGTTACATTACTTAGTTAATTAATATTTTATTGCAGTATTGAAGATGATGACGAGATAGAACGTAACTTATCTAGAGCTGGCTTGGCTCAGCGAAATAAAAATTGCATGATACAATGAAAGTATAGTTTTATTTTTGTTGATACGACGAAAGTGACAAGTAAGTATTCTAAATGAATCTTAAATATTACAGAGATTTTTAAATTTAAAAATTGATAATATAAAATTCAATTCCTTTCGTAGACAAAAAATAGTAAATAATTTTTAACTTAGGATAATTGTAGGCGCGATTCATTTTGCTGTGGTGTTGCCAAAGAAAACATACTAAAATTGTTCTCAAAGATAAAATCAAGAACTTTATAATCTGTAAAACAGTAATAGTTAGGAACTTATTTTGTACTATGAGCTATATACAAATTGTACAATCCGTGTTTTATATTTATACAAATTCATTAAGTACAGCATCAACAAAATACTACTTCTTATAATAGATCTAAGTTCAAAATGAAAACCGGTCCGTCGAAGAAATACACAGAAATAATGGAAGTCTATTATGAGGTTGTAGTAGTTGTAAAAAGAATATGTTGTTAGAAAGAATGAATTTTGATTATAGTTCAATACATTTACTTATAATATCTCATTATAAAAGCAATAGTAGAAAAATATAAAGAAAAAGGTTACATACGAAATTCCTAATTTAAATAAGGTGCTCGAATCTCAATTAATGACAAGAAATTAGACATTAAACATTAAATAAATCACTTACGTAATACGGAAATGAGGTAAACATTAAAAATTACATAAAGATTACATAGATTATTTATGGAAGAGGAAATTAATTATTATAAAATAATTTAAAAAAAGTTTTAACGACTTATGTTCATGTTGTGCCATATATATAACCTAATTTTTTACGAGTAATTGTTTGTTTATAACATATTTGTTATTTTAGTAATATGTAATATGCAATTATACATAGAAAATATCTTATTATTTTATTCATTTTTAATATCTGAGTTTGATATTAATTTGATATATTCATGAATATATAAAATATTATTGTATATTTCTGCTTCTCAAAAATAATGAAATGAAATTATATGATATTTGTTGTAAGAATTGATTTTTATTTAAATATCTTTGAATTTATTGATATTTTAATTATTTCTGAGAATAACAATAGATAAAATTACAATAAAATAACAATAAAATAATCCAGAATTAAATTGTTAAAAATTAATAATTCATAGAAATGTAGAGCAATTAATATGCATATTGCATTTATTTATATCTTTGATTATGTAAAGTATTTGTTTAATTTTAGCAATGTATTTTATGTGTATATGCAGGGTCATATCTTACATAACTGAGATTAACTATATCGTTAAAATAAAAATATATATTGTAAAGTAAAATTAAATGCTTTATTGCGCACTATAAATATTTCTATATTGTTTATAAATTAGTCTACTCGAAAAGTGCTCTTTAAAAAATGGGATTTTGTTCAGGAATTTTTCAAGAAAATATTACCACAGTAAAAGTTGATAATACATGAAACATCCGGAGACATGCGTTGAAAAAAAAAAAAAATGTTCAGTAAGTAGTAATAATTTTAATAATGGTTGATATTGATTTAAAGATAAAAATTGAGTTTACAAATTCAATCAGTGACATGTCAAAGTAAACTAGTTCTATAATATTTTGATTTATGTTCTGAAACTATTAGTTCCAAAATTATTTTAATTTTAAGATTATTGCATATTTTTGTGTATCAATATATTATTAGTATAGAAAACAACTCGATTATCTTATCAAACGTTTTATGAAATATTTTATAATATTAGTAATTAATTCATGTCTATAAATGAAATAATGGTGTAGTTAATACTACATAATGTATATCTGATTGTAACTCTGATTTATATATATATATATGTATATAATTGCACTTTTCAGGTATACAGACATATAGGAGTACATGTATAAAAATACATGTATGGTATTTTTTTAGTGCCATTTCTTTTTTTTCAAAATCTCTATTCAACTGATTATTGTTCATTTCAATTATGCACGTGACAGCTTATCTCAATTGTATATTCATTTAAACAGAATTAAATAGAAAATACTGCATATAAGTAGAACATATAGTAATGATCAGAAACATTATATTAGATTGTTGCATATGATTGCAACATATGAATTTTATAAGCGTATAAAATCCTTTAGAATTTTGTGATTAAATATTTATCAAAGATTGGTTTGATTTGAAACTTCAATGTAATTGATGTTTTGCTATTTGTTTTATTATAAAAAAATTATGTCAAAACGAATCATAAATAATTATTTCAGTGAGTTTTGTATAAACTTTGATTCATTGAAACTAATTTTGAACGTAATATTAATACATGCTATTGAAAAACTTAATTAGGTAATTCATACATGTTATTCATGAAAAAAAGTTAAGATTAGAAAATATCAATATGATCAATGAACTACAAAATTTTCAACAATAATCGACTAAAGATTTCAATAATAATAACATAAAATTAACAAAATTATATATTTTATATAAAATATATAAAATAATATAAAATTGTTTTATAATGGATGAAATATATGGATGAATATAAAAAATTGAAATTTGATTTAATGTTATTCTTATAAAAATTATTCACAATGAAATATATTATAAATTTCGCTATTTAATTTGCAACAATCTAATATTATAGATCGATAGAAGATGGTTTTTTACACAAAAACTTTTAAATTATGTATAAAATTTTAAATACATACATAATTACACAGAGAATTTATACAGAAACAATACAGGAATGAATTTTATGACAAGCTATGTATTTGCATAATGCATAATGGATTTTAAAAATTGATTTTCTTGAAAACAAGTAAATCTGGGATAAAAAGATTTTAACTCACATTTCTCACCCATTTTACATAAAAAAATCACCTTCCATTTATTTATATAATTCTTTCGGCTGTGCCCTATATATACATATAAACAAAATGGACTTATTTAGTTAATTTTATAAAAAAAAATTTCTTTAATTTTTCTGTACTATCATTAATATAGTACTCTCATTAACGGTTAAAGAACAGTTATATCAGAAAATAGGAAAAGAATATGTATACAATGTTCATGTAATATAATTCGTTTTTTGCGCGTAAAAAATAAAAGTTATTTTTATTTACAAATTATATGAGATACATATATAAAATTAATACTCGAAAAGCATTAAGCAACAGTTGCTTTATCAAATAAAAAAGCTAAGCTAAATAAAACTTAGTTAACATGTAATGGGATTGGTGCAGGCATATCATACTGAATGTAACTGCCATAATCAATCAGTAAATATATAGAGAACAATGCTTCTACGAAATATGCATACATAAGTAGAAAGTGCTTCATATTTCATAAATTCAGTTTAAAAGTGAATAAATATTGAATTTTTCTTTCGACGTTGATGTATATTTATTAGGTAAATTTAATTTCAATAATAACACATGAAAGATAATTTAAAAAAGTTTAAATAAGCTAAGAATCGGTTTTTGTTAATTTTCTTGTATTTTTAATCTTTACATAATAATGAATGTTATTGTACATAATAAAGCTTTACATTAATTGAAATTTTTCAATGTTTTTGGTAATTTAGATCGAGTATAACATAAAATGTATCGAAAAATATCAAGTTGCAAAATTAAAGTACGATTGTGCTAAATTTTGTTTGTTCTGCTGTAGCTATTCTAGTGTATTTATAGTAATATATGGTCTTTCTATTGTAATAGAAATTGTTCGATTTCTATGACTAATTTAGCAATAATTTATTATTTTAATGTCTATAAATATTTATAGACATTATCTGTAGGTGAGAACGCTGTACAGAGCTAACAATTATAAGACGTGTATGTGTCACAGATTTATATATATGCAGTGTATCTCATAATAATCATTTGATCAACCTGAAATTAATAGTTCAATAAATAACATATTTTTAAGGCGATATATAATTAAATGAAAATAAAATATATGTTTATTTTAAAATAAAAAAACTGGAATAATGGAAATATATTTAAAAAACGAGGTTATTACGTTATAAAATTGTTTTTTGTACTTAAATTAAGTACGCTAATTAAATTTATTATATTCGTTGCGTAATTTCGAGATATTTGGTATACATATTTCAGTACAAAAAACGCTCTCATATGCGTGTTGTTATATGTATGTATAATATTATGCTAAAATATCTTGAATTTATTTAGTTTGTTACTATTAAAAATATTCATTACGGTATATCGAAGTTATAAAAGCAATGACAATTCTTGCCAATTTAATATTAAAAGAATGAATTAACTTGTAAATTATTTCTTGTGAAAATTGTCAAGTGTGTAATATGTCAAAACACAGTAGTTATTAATAATAGAAGGAAATAAAGCACTACAGAAAAATATAAGAAAGCATTTTTATTAATATTTATTAAAACCTTTCCGTAATAGATAAACATATATAATATTGTTTATATGATAATTATTAATTTATATGATATTTATTTGTAGAAAAATTTTCAAAAAAATCTTCAATTTAAGAAAATTCGTATAATTTTTTCTATTTGTTCCATTCTTTTATTTTTCCTTTTTCCTCTCTTTCCTTTAATTAATATATTTATCTATGGGTTTCCCATCAAAAATGTTTTACTCTCTGTAAAAAGAACGGTCTTTGTCTTACTAGAATTGAGAACAAACTGTATATATATCTATACATTCATACACGCTATATTCATACTTATCTGCTATTCGTAAATTGTTTGCCTACGTTTATTAACCCGGGATTACCCACCTGGGGGTCTAGCGCAGGTACATCCCGGCGACTAGACCCTCACGTGGGTAATCCCGGGTTAACAATATGGATACTTCAAGGAATAGTAAGCAACAGATTTGTAATTATCCGTAGACTGTTAGGAAGTTCTTCGGGAACTTTAATTATTTCTGTTAATAAGCTGTTCATAAAACAAATATATCATAATGGATAAAAGTACAAAAATAATTACTGCTAAGCATAAATTTTTCTTTGGTATGATAATAAGAAATATGAAAACATGTTAACTAAATAATTGAGTACACTAAGTTATATATAAATGAACGGAATATATAAATGAATTAAGTTATATATACGAACGAACGAAAAAGTGTTAAAATTCATCAGTAAATGAAAGACTGTATTTAACTGTTATCGACTTGTTATATTATACTCTTTACTGTTACACTTTACAGATATTTTAAATCTTTTGTTGCAATAAAAATTAATTGTGACATTAGATTCATTTGATCCACGCATCTTTAGAGCATTAGATGATTTTCATTTTGTTAATTGTTATAAATTATGTATTTTATAACTATAATTTATAATTAATAATTTATAATTTATAATTAATATTTGGCAGTTTTCATCGTAGAATGTATTATAAATAAAAATAATGAAAAATTTTAACAATAAAAAATTAATTCTCCCTTAAAATAAATTTCATTTGATTGTGTAAATAATTACTCTACTTTAATTATATTTTAATTTTGTAAAATACTATGATTATTTTAAAAATATACACGCTTCATATCTTGACAACGTAATTTGATGGAAACAATCCTGTTTTTCCTGTGAGTCTCCCGTACCACCAACCACCTTCGTCTGAAAGAAGATATTTTATTCCAAGTTTTCTGCTATATCATAAAATATCATGCTATATCATGAAAATTCTATATCATAAAAACTAAAAAGTGAAATAAAATATAGATACGTTCAACTATTAATTGGACTAATTCTAACAAAAGTTAAATAAAAAAATTGTTACGTAAAATCAATTAAAATAAATAATCATCATTCATTTAATAATAACGAATATTAAGATACAAAAATTTCATGATAAATATACATTTTGATGCCTTTTCCGAATTTTGTTTATTTTGATTCAATTTGTTTTCTTAAACGTGTTATTATATTACTAAAACAAAAAATCAGTTTGGAGAGACAGAGAAAATATATTTTTATTATTAAAAAAAAAAAGAATATATAATAGGTTCTTATATCTTTGACAGAAGAACATGTTATAGTCTTTAGTTTAAAAAATGATAAAACTACATTACCTTTTCAATTGATTGATTTCTCGTTTAGTAATAAATAAAGCGAAATTAGTGAATTTACAGAAACAATTGTACAGAAATTATTAAATGTATTAAAATGCACGTTTAGTAAATTTATTAATGTAATTATTCTATGATTTATTTTTGAAACGATAATTATTATAAATTGTTTAAACTTACGTTCTTTAAGTATTTCAACGATGTCACCTTCTTTAAGTCCTATTTCATCGTGATCTTGAGGATTGTAATCGTATAAAGCTTTAGCTTTAGGTAATTGAGGTACTGCTGGTTTTTGCGGACGTGGCTTATTACCCGGAATAACACGAGACTTATTATCTTCAGTTTTATTTACTATTTGTCCAGCTTGCATTTCTTTATGATACTTTACGTTTTTGTTATTAATAGGATTACTACTATCAATAGGCGGAAGTTTAAAGCCTGGATGACTGATTGATGTTTGTGGTGGCGGTGGTTCCGAAGGAGGCGGTGGAAATTTGATTAAGCCTGTTTAATTGTAAATATTAATTTAGTTAAGTCGTAAAAAATCGAATTACATAACTGTAAAATATTTAAAATTAAAACATGAAAGTTATAAGAAATTGAATAACGCATTGAGAACATTTGCAATAATTATTTTATTACCGAGCTTGTTAGTATTTATCATTAAAATATTGGAAATTAGAAGAAAGGAAAGCACAGAAAGCATTGAACTAATAATTAACTCACCACGGGGAACATCTTTTACATTAGTGAACATACCCATTAAAGGCACACCATTATTTTCTATCTTTCTCGGCTGTTTTGTTACTTGCTTCTTCTCTCTTGTTTGCGTAGACGTATGTAAAGTATTTGAAGAATTAAATTTTTCTATAAGTGGTTGAAAAGTAGGCCTTTCGGGTATGTTCATATTAGAAGATATCATATGATTAATTTTGTGATCTAAAATTTGATTTTGTTCTGTAATTGCAGGTTGAATAGTTTTCTGAATTGATCTGTTTGGATTTGACTGCAAAGTAGATGATAAAAGTGGATGACTGTTCTTCACCATATTATATTGTTGTTTCATCGACGTTGTTGCTTTATTAATATTTGGATCTAAAATGATAAGTAAATGCATTGATGAGCGCCTGATATAAAACTAGATTAGGTATGTGAGTAATCTTTTAAATATGAACAATGTCTTTAAAATTAAAAAACATCTTAGAAAGTAATCATTATGGATCGTTATTGGTTAATTCGATATTGATTAAGACCGACTGAAAATTGAAACATAGGATGTATGACTAAAAAAAGAGAAATGTATATTTGCCACATATAATGAATCGTACAATATGAGGGATACGTTCCACGTTATACATAGAAAATCGCGTTATATAACACATGCATTATTAGACAAATTTATGAATATAAAATATCAAGTATAATGTCCAATGTCCAATCTTTATTAAACTTGTATAGAGTTGCTCGTGAAAAATCGAAAAATATGTCAAAATTTATTTTATGTGTGTTATATGGGACTGTATGAGTCGCAATTTTTACAAATACTAGTAACTTTATAAGTTACAAATTGTATGAATAATAGTCGTAATTTTTTTTGTCGCATTATATGGAAATTCACTGTACGTACAAGTATGTATAACATACAGGCTGATTCATTTAAATAATGCCGCCTAAATATTTTTGAATTGTGATGATGCAAGAAATATCTTTTACCTAACATAAATGGAAAGGCCAGAAATAATAGAACGTCTTCTATGCCGTTCATTCACTTCAGACAAACTCAAAATAATGTTTACAAATCTTAGAGATTTCAGCTGAGTTTAAGACCATTTGTAGTAAGGATAATATCGAAATTTTAACTGTATCAACTTCCAGAATCCAGAATATACGAAAGCACTAAAAGCCCGGGCCTCAATTCCACACACTGTGTTGAAATTCCGTCACACTAAGTATCCTAAATACACAGTGATGATGTCACTTTCGTGCTCGGGACCACACTTGCCCAAATCAACCAGGTTAGATTTGTTGAGAACATCAAGATATATTGGGAAAAATATAAATCCCATAAAGCAATCATCCAGTATTTGTCAAATGCACGGTCACGCATCATCCAATTGTAATAAGAAAGCAGTGTGTGTCAATGTGTACAGCATGATACCAGGTCCTGCAGCAAAACCTCAGAAACTTCTCCAATATGCACCAACTATAAAAGCATTCACCCGGCTAACTATTCCAAATGTTCTGTTCTATTAGCTTTTCTGGCCAAAAAGACCGCTAACAAAGAAAGAATTCAACACGCTCAGTAATTTTTCTCAAACACACACCTCCCAGTACAAAGCTTCCCGCACCTTATTCCTAACAAAATCCCTACCACCTTCCCTCTCACTCAAACAAATCAGAGAATAAAGCAAGGAATATCGTAAGATGATAGCGGTATTACTTCAGCCATTCTCACAACTTTAACAAATTGAACACTCGATCAACACAAATCTCTCCGACCAAATAGACGATATTAAATCAGCAAATCTGAACCAGTTCCTGAGAATCATAGTGCTCGTACAAAAACATTACACGAAATGTACCAATAATCTAGAAAGAATTCGAGCAACCATCTTAATAATGAAAAAACTTGACAATGGACAGCTATAAAAACTTAATATTATCTTATGAAACCAGCAGCGTTAAAAAGAAGGTATCTGAACTTCACAAATTTCTAATGGACCACAACACAGAAATTGCAATCATCACAGAATCCTGACTCACCCCAAAAGACATCTTCAAAATTCCTAATTATAAAATATACAGACAAGACGGACCACGAACCATTAAGAATAAACCAAGAGGCGGAGTACTAATAGCTTTACATAAGAATGTTCCTACAGAAGACATGCCACAACCCGTTACCTGTACTATTTGCCATCAAGACTAAAACCACTCCCAACCTAACGATTGGAGCAGCACAGTCTTTTCCAAGTTAAAATAAACCCATCTGTCATCGTATTGCCTCAAGGATCTGGATTTTACATAATCGACGGTGACTTCAATGTCAAGAAATAATATCAAACTTATGGAATAATATCAAAAGAAATGTGAACCGATTCCATCCTCAAGAACCATTTCGAGCTACATAACTATTAAATCATCCATAGCTCATTTGGTTAAACTGCAGTCCCACCAACATTGATATCTTTCTGTCAAATGTCCCCTTCTCACACAATTACCACAAGTTATCATCAAATTATCTTCCGGTTGTCCTCTCACTTTCAACTCGAAACAACGCAGACGACAATACCCAACTATACAAACCGATTGGAACACATTCACCAAAAACCGCAGCAAATTCAAAATAAATCAGTAACTACTAATCACAGTTGACACTGACAACGAAATTAAAATCTTCACCTGACTCATTCAAAGATCCTTTCGAAACGCAACGCACAAAATTCCAAACCTACTTCTGTACACTCCAGGACTTCATAAAAGAGAGAGACAAAAAAGTAGACGAAAATTCCAAAAACCTGGTAACCTTTTCTACAAGCTACACAGAAACTTGCTCTCATCCGCAAACATTAAGAAGATCACTGGACCCGGATACTAATACAGAATTCTGCATGCCACATCCTCTACTACACAGACGAAGAAAAAGCTGAAAGCTTGGCTGAAAACTTCGAAAAAATTTACAATTCTGCACGGAACACAAACTGTTTCATCGAACACAAAATTGAATGACTCGCAACTCTACTACTCAGGAACCTTCCCAAAAAACAATCTTGTTCGAGTTCGTTAGAGTGATACAGTCTCTCATAGATGAATTGACCTACAGTCGAGCCGTCTATTCAATAGAATATTCCGATAGTCATTCTTCCATTCATTATTCTTCCCTAAAAAGAGATAACAATGCACTAAGCACAAACAATGATGAAAACAAATTCAAACAAATCCTAAAGGAAGCAAAACGAATTCAACGAGAAGACAATAACAAATTCATGGCAACACGAAAAGAGGAAACAAGAACCATAACCACTAAGAAGGAATCATCATCACTCATAAACTCAGAGTTAATAACAATTACAACTGCAGGTACAGAGTACATAAAACCAAACTAAAAGTAGATTTGGCATCTTTGCAGAATGCCTAATACACGATACGCAATAAATAGACACGACAAGAAATGATAATACAGAAACACAAACGACCGACAATACGATGCTTCCGTGTCAGGTATACGGTCATTCATCAACAAACTGCAATAAAAAGGCAGTTTGTGTGAAATGTGCCGGCCACATGACACTAGAGATTGCACTAAAACAGTGTACTTCTCACATGCATTAACTGTAAAGAAAATCGTTCCGCAAATTACTTAAAATGTCCGGCGTTTCTTACATTTCTGGCAAAGTCATTATCTGCCATGACCACGCTTTTCTGACACTAACCAGAAGAACGACAACAAACCACACAGCTAGTACGCACTAGAGGTGTGCGAGTACCCGAAATTTCGGGTTCGGGTCGGACTCACACAAAGTTGGGCGAACTCGGGCGGGTAGCCCGTTGATTTCAGGTAGCCCGATGATTTCGGATCGAGTTGGAAAAAGTTCAAAGGGGATAGGATCAGAGGTAGGCATTATTCGAATAACATTTCGAATAAATTCTTCGAATAACATTTTATTCGAAATATTTACTGAAATAATGTAAAGAAAAAAAGTCAGGAGTCCTTTCTTCAGAATTTTATTTAATTTTATTTAATAAATTTGTCTTTAGTACAATTTTCAGAAGTTTATTTAATAAATTTGTCTTTAGTACAATTTTTTATTCGAACATTTTGTTAGTTAATCTGTTTGCTTTAGGCGAGTTTGTTATCGTTGCGAATGAAAACAAACGCTCTACTGGAGCAGAAGATGGCGAAGGAGTGTTATATTAAATTATGTAATATATTTTTAATTATGGGATATGCGTTCAGAGATATATAATCATTTCTATTATCTGTAAAATGTTGTAGAGAACAACAAGAATTTCTACGTTATCATTTGTTTGTAGATGTTGGTCGGTTGAAGTAGATTCCGCTTTATTAAATGTTAAAAGCAAAGCAAATTTATTAAATAAACCAAAATTGAAAAAAAAAAGTACTCCTGACTCTTTTTCTTTACATTATTTCAGTAAATATTTTGAATAAAATTCGAATAATGCCCAACTGTGTGTTCGAATAATTTTTCTTCGAATGAAATCGTTATTCGTAAGCAACGAATAATTTTTCCTCTAATAAAATCGTTATTTACGAATAAATACAGAATTTTATTCGTTATTCGTTCGAATAAAATATGCCTAACTCTGGATAGAATAGGGATTATATTGCGTTATCGAAGTCAATTATTCATAATATTTAATAAACATATATATATTTTTTTTTTCTTCAAATGTAATAATATTTATTGTAACTACAAGTGAAAGACTATTTTTCTTATCCGGAAATATAATAATACCAACTCGAGCGAAATTAATATCATAAAATGTTGAGCAATTATCTTTTTTACATTATCATTTAGAGTAAATATTATTACATTTGAAGAAAAAAAAATATATGTATATTAAATATTATGAATAATTGATTTCGATAACGCAATGTAATCCCTATCATATCTCATTTGAACTTTTTCCAACTTGATCCGAAATAGACGGACTACCCGAAATCGTCGGGCTACCCGCCCGAGCCGGCCCAACTTTGTGTAAACCCGACCCGAACCCGAAATTTTGGGTACCCGCACACCCCTACCTGCAACACAAGATCTCCACTGAAAGATAAAATAAGCAGACCCAATATATACAACATAATAAAGAAACTCTTAAGCGCTAGGCTTGTAATAGTAAGTGAGGTCTAAAAGTTGTCTATGAATATTTGAAAACTGGGACATTACTATAATAGTTATAGTCTCGAAAATACATCTTGGGAACATCGGAACATTGAAACAAAAATAGGAACAAATCCCGAAAAATCGAGACATCTGTTCATTTTAATCAAGTAAACTGCATATAGATATTGTCATATTATCGTTCAATTAATCGACAAACACGACGAAGCAAATTCTATTGGTCATGTTCAAATTAACAACGCGTAGAATGCGACAACATTATTTGCAACAACTTTAATTAAAAGTCCATTTTTATAATCATTGAATAGTATTTACTACAAATATTGAGAACTTTTTAATATTGATCAACAAATTATCTGTTCGTCCGACAGAAAAGTTTTTATTTTTATATTTTACAAGTTTTATTCTGCCTGAAACCTCTATTTTTAAGAACATTTATTTATCTGTTCTCATTGGAATATAAGAACATTTTTCGAAAAAGTTCTACGATCCATATTTCAAATATAAGTTCCTTAACTTTTTGGATCTGTGTGCTAAACTCGTGTGGCTTGCTGAAAGGAAGAAGTTCGACAGACCTATTCTAATTGTAAGATTTAGACATGAGACAGCTGCAACTGTTAAATGTTTTCTTTTTTAATTAAAAACTACATATACGGATGATAAATTGATAAATATCTACTTAATTAATTGAAAAAATATCTACATTTCGAAATCTTGTCTACTTTTTTATGATTCTAATTCCACTCTAATTTTATTATAAATTCTAATAATTTTATTTTTGATATCACTTACTAGTAGTACATGGTAATCCTGGTCCGATCCAAACGTTCAGAATTTTTCCACTCGGCTTTAAAGTTTCCTTATTGCCGTATTCCATTTGTATAAAATGTATTTGTCTTGTACCTCCACTTCCCCATCCTTCCTTCTTAACTTTAAATTCTAAACTGTAAAAATTAAAGGGACAACAAGATAATTATATGGTAATCAATTTGTTACATTGTTATTTGACGTTTGTTGCATTAAAGGTCTTACTTGTTACTAAATTTTATGTTTAGAATATGACCGGTTTCTTCGACGTATCGTTTGCTAATATTAATTAAGAATTCTGTTTTAAATATTAATTCTAGTAAGCTATCATAATCTTCTTTTACATGAATAATAAGAAAACCATCCTGTAATAAAATGTTCATAGATAAAAATAATTATCTGATAATTAAACAATCTGTAATAATCATTTGATAATTAAACAATCAATTTGATGGTAATATTAATAGAAACAGCAATATCAAAATCGATACGACTACACATGTTGCACCTTTACGAAGAAATTGACACAACTCGAACAAGTATATTTTTCAGAAAAAGCGAGAAATTGATTATGAACGGAATTATATTAAATCGCGAGCAACTCGCTAGCAGTTCCAGACTTTTTCGCTTGACGTTTGCCGGCTTAGAGTGATCATAGAATTCAGAATGATCGCACAATGTTACAAAACAAAATCATTAATGCGTCCTTGATGTACTATTTAGACTTCATCCAGATTGTTGTTCACGAATAATCTGATAATCGCGTTTTTTTTTTTTTTTAAATTGTCACTTTCTTCGCAAGAATGCGATAAATATGCAAAATAATAAAAATGTATGATGACTAACAATAAGATACAAGATGATTAATTGATGAATATGAAGAAACGTATGTGAGTTCTGTGATGTTATAATATCAACTATTTTTGCATATGATGAGTATCAGTAGAAACAGCGACAAGTAAAGGAACAAAGATTCATGATCATCAAATGTGAATAAATTATAGTAATATAGATGATTAAAGCAAAATTTTAAAATTTTCATTAGAAAAATTAAAATAAAAAATAGGAAAACTTTACAATTATTTGCATACCAGCTTCTATATAGTTCAATTTCTAAAAATATATTGTTTTATATGTATAAAATATCTAACAAAAATTATAAATTGATCACTTTGGTAGTTCTAGTATTAAGAAAATATTGATATAAGACAAAACAACAACATATAAGAAATACAATTATTACAGAGTAGAATTCTATATTTTCTAAAATATGTAGTAAGAAAATATTTTCATACACTAACTACATACAGTAAGAATAAGTAAAAAAAGTATATTTTCCTAAAATACAAACACTCGACCATGTAATTTCGTCTTAATGTATTAAACAATAAAATAATAATGTACGCAAAGGAGACTATAATGACCTGAGTTACGAATGAGATTTACTAAAATTCATGGAATTGTTTGATTTTGCAGAATTTTCTTTTTTTTATGTAAAAACATTTTTATGGGAAATTAACAAATTGAAAATAGAGACTATCATTTTGCAAAATGAGTCTAATTGCTATTTGATTATTGTTAAAACACAAAGATCAATAATTGAAAATTTAGTAATTTTTAATTTACAATACATTTATATTTAAATAAATTAATGTTAGTTTTTAAATTAAATATATCTACTATGATCTGATATATAAATATCTATAAATATAAATTGATATAAATATAAAAGTCATTATTTAAAATACTGAAACTCCTGAAAAATGTAGTAACACTAAATTTATACTTTATTACGTATGAAAGATATAAAATAAAATAGTTTCTGTGTAAGTCAATAAAAAAGTTTATAAATATAGTTTACGAGTAAGAAATGTAAACAAAGATATAATTTTTAAATTGGATAATTATAAGAATTATTTTTATGTATGATTATTATTCTATAAATAATCATTTAAATCATTTCGTAAAAAAAAGTAATTAAAGAAAGTCTACGATAACTTGTATGAAAGACTTAATTTACCAATACCATCTTTTCTTTATTGTGATGATGATGATTATCATGAAAGTAATTGAAATAACACAGCAGATGTAACGATAAATATAATTACTTACCTGAAGCTTACTTAATGACACATAACTAATTTGACTAAATGATAATTTCCGTTTTATTACTTCTACCAGTTTTCCTTTCTCTGGGCCTTTTTTGATTTGCTCTCGACCAATGAGATATAAATATTTGTTAGTTAGAATTAACTCCTTTCTACTGATCTGCAACATTAATTTCTTACGTGTCAATATGTCAAAAATATTATATAATTTTTACAAATTTTTGTAATGTTTATAAATACCTTGAATCTTCTGTCATATTTCTTCACAACTTCGGCGAAGAAAACTTTTTCTCTCCTTCCGATTAAATTTAATATTTGAGGTTTGTCTTCTAATCCAATGTAATCACCTATGAAGTGTCTATTTAAACTAGCTCGTCTACGTTCTTTGCGGCCAAACAACAAATCAGCTGCTTCCTGCTTTTCTTGTTCTTGCCTCTTTCGAGCAAAATATTTCTTGAACGCTTTTTGAATTACTCTAGCGTACATATTGTATTTTCGATCTCTTGCTTCTTCTAACGTGAACAGCTATTACAATAATTACGTTGTCAATACGAAATATTTCCATATGTTTTATAAACAAACTAACAACCATAACTTTGTGCATAGATAAATCTTGTTGATTATCATCATCAAAAAATTTAAAAATCTATTAATCAATGAGAAATATTTCAATTTCGTACAAAGATATAGCTTATGAAATAATAACTCAAATATTAGTATAATTAATAACGTAATATACTAGACTAGTATAAAATTAATATAAAAAGTTAATACAAAACACACACATTATATAAATACATGCATGCAGAATGTTCCATCTAAGTTTACCATCTCAAATAACTCCATTGTTTTTGAAGATATAAAAAATTTTATAACGAAATAACGAATAAAATTTTATAACGAATGAAAGTTATTCGGTACAGAGGGAATCATAATATGGCAGCATGATTTTTTTATAATTGGAGAAACTTCAAAGATTTCAAGTCATCTTCACTTCTTTAAACAAAATGTCCTTTTATGGATTGGTATGTTGAAAAATTATTAGTTTAGGACGTATTTTAATTTTAATTATGTAAAATCTGTGTATGAAAAACAAGGATAGTTATGAATGAAAGGATGCCACTATCTTTCCTCCTTATTCATACGATAAATTTTACATAATTAAAGTTAAAATATGTCCTAAATTAACAATTTTTCGACATACATAGATTAATACTTTTTAATAAAGAATATCAAGTTGCATCGATTAATGGATGAAAAGAAATTTAAAAAAGAATATAAATGAAAAGAATTTAAAAAAGTGGAAGTTGTATAGATGAAGGATTTCTCCGAAATATGTATATATGTATATAAAAATTATTACACCCATTGTGATTTCCTCTGTACTGATTGTAACTTCCGTTAATAAAATTTTTTAGTAAACTTAGGTGGAATATCCTGAATGCATGTATTATATAATATAACGCAAATGTTTTGTGACTTTTTATTAATTTTATATTAGCTTTTAGATAGATTTTTTACTAACTTTATATTAGTCTATTAACTAACTAGTCTAGTGTACTATACTAATTTTAGTATATAATTATTTAATTATTTTATAAGTTATATCTTTATGCGAGATTGAATACTTCTTATTGATCAATTTAAGGATTCAATGGATCTCTTTGATAAGATTACAGGTGGGACAACCCATATATGAATCAACAGTAAAATCAATTGACAGTATTATTTTTTACAAACATCAACAAAGAAATTACTATAATACAACTGTTATATTTTTAGAAATAATTAAATAATAATTAAAATTATTGAATTTTTCTAATTAATAATTAAATTAATTAAGAAAAATCGAAACTTACACTTTCGGGAGCTTTTATGAATAATTTTGTTTTTCCAAGCTGATAATTTGATCGATCAATATTAAGACTTCCTAATATCCACTCGACTCCCTGTTTTTCGTTGCCGGTCCAACGTGGCCAAGTTTCTTTTGTGAGAATTCCATATCTTTGTAAAAATTTGGCGAATGGCCTTCTATACGCAAAACCAGCTCTACGTACTCTAATATTTTCTTTTAATCCTAAATATTCTACCTAAATCGTATGACAGATGAAAACATTAATTTGCTAATATGTAATTATACGTACTTTGTATTATTTGAAAATGTTCCATTAATATTTGGAAATTAAGTATTGAAACTATTCTAATTTTGTAAAAAAAAAAAAAAAATCGTACAATAATGAACTTCGGCTCATTTTAAAACTTGTAGTCTCTACTTTTAAACTGTATCAGTCATTTTATTCTAAAATGTTTTTATGTAAAATTGTGTAATAGATGACAAAGTGAAGTCACTTTCTTTCTGAAAAAATGTTATAAATGCTTCTACATTTTATTTCCCCATATAATCTTCTTAAATAATTTTCTGCCGATTATTCACTTCTGTCCATTAATTGCTAGAATTTAATTGCTTAATTTAATTCAAGTATATTTAAGAAATATTCAAACTTGATTTTCGAAGCATCCTATGAAAAATTTTTATTCTATATTTTCAATTTACTTTTGCATTTAGAATCACCTTCATGGTACATCCTGAATATTGAAATATAAATAAAATTATATTTATAATTATCGAATTAATATTATTAATCTAGAATTAAAAATTCATTATTAATTTTTAAAATTTAGATAAAAAGGTTACTATAAATATTTCGATTTCTTTTTTTTAACAGCAATATGTATGTAAATATTCCTTGAATCTTGATATTGTTAAATCAAACATCCTCAAAAAACAGAAGCAAATACTTTTTTAATGCAAAGAAGACATACTTGATGTTTTACTCTAACCGAATCCCAGTCACGTGGTTTCTTTGTCTCATTTGGTTTGATGCACCTAATATAATGCGGTGTACATTTCATCAATTGATTCATCAATTGACTTGCTTGATTTCTGATCTTGTTACCAGCAGTAGTAGGTCTGGATCTAAGCGTTTTTGTTTTATTCGCTTGAAATTCTGGTGGATAGAGTTTCTGGATCAAAGAACTGCAAATTCATGTTCATTCCAGTAAAAATGAAAATTATATTCTATTGTATAATATATTCGAATAATAGTATATAATATAATAGTAATATAATATATTCTCCTAAATATTGTGTTTATACAATTCACTTGAACAATACACATTAGTTTTAACTCTTTTATAACAATATCACTGATGATCATTGCATTTAATCACAAATATATATGTAATAAACGTAACTATGCAATAAACACGAATATTATTAAACTTATCAATGTTTTATCTTTCTCGATTTCTAGAACACTTCATATTTTATATACAAATTGAACAATGGAAGTTTTTCATTCTCCAGATGAAGAAATATCTATGCTTACGTAGGAGGAGCATAACAGAAGATAACAATAAAACTTACTTAGTGCTTGTTTGCATTAGTTCCACGAGGTCTAAGAAAAGTACATCGCGATTTTTATCACAGAATCCATCAACCGAATAAGAAACAACACCGGCATAATGTACAAGAGCAAATCCGTCTTGTGTGCTTTGAAAGTGTTCATGTTTGTTTGATGCAACTCCAAGTTTCTGTAATTAATATTATTAATGACATTATTAATATACTGATTATTAATTATTATTAGTGAAAATTACGTAATTATTACGTGAAAATTGTGAATAACATATAAAAAAAATTAATTAACATGATGGTAGTATTTATTGTAAATTAAATTATGAAACATGTTATGTTAATGTCATTTTGATATACCATATTTATATTATAATAAGTCATATAATTCTCAACCGATATCTCTGTTCATATTATGATTCATTGTTACCAATTTTTCAATTAGTAATATTATCGTAAACATCATTGCATATGTACTTCTCCTTGTTTCGTAATTAGAATAGCCAAAAATCAAAATAATTAAATAATAACATGAAATTCTTTATTTAAAATTTACATAACAAGTTTCGTAATATTTATCTATTTCAATGAATTAATGTAATGAAAAATTATAAAGAGAAGAAGAAAAATAGAATTATTTTAATAAAGATAAAGATGGTATTATAGTACCTTACTAGTAATTTAATCTTCTTATGATTTTCATATTTGTAATAAAAATATTTAGGGTAAATAATGTTATATTCTCTCTTTACTAACTATAAATACAGAAAAAATGTATTTATTGTATTATGTATTATACATATGTATTAAATGTATTTACATATTACATATTATAAAGTTGATGTTAATAATAGGTATAAATTAATCTGTCAAACAAAGTTTTTTGTCTTCTTTAAAAAGAAATATTTCTTGTAATTTGAGGAAGTTAAAGGTTGCGTGTTGAAACATATATAAAAAGCTTATAGCATCAATATTTATCAGCAAGATTTAATTTTTTAAAAATGATTATTGTATAAAATTAGGAATTATGCTGCCAGAGTAAAAACGGTTTGCGAATTAGTATATTAGAACATACGTATAATGTATGCATGCATAAACTTATTTATTTTTTACCTTTTGCAAGTCTGCATCCGCACCCGTACTTCCACTGTGAAGCGTAGCACATACATCGTCAAGTATTAAAAAGATTCCTGGTGGACGTTTACCTTCCAAAAGCTCTACAACAACCGCATTATTGAAATATTCTATCGGAGTCCATTTTATATTTTCCGATATATATTCCTCCTGAAATTCATAAGCAATTTTGATTATTTACAAAATCAGTCATTCTTCAGCTACTTTATAGTAAATTTTCACAACTCAATCAAATTTTCGTAACGTTTGATCAAAAATTTCATAATTCAAGCAGTTGTTCATCTTCAACATGGCACTCTTTGTCTCTTTCATGAAATTTCTTCTAAAAAAATTCTATATGAAAAAATGTGATACGAAATTCTTTCATCCAAGTTCTCGTTTTGAGAAGATTTTTGAAAAATGGACCGAATGTGCAAACAACTAATTGAGCTGTTTATTTTGAAAGTGACATAAGTCACTTTACAGTAAAGAAAAAACGATGATTTGTCACTGTCTGTGCGAGATTATTTATATCCGAAATAACAAGTAAATCAGAGGATCAAGAACGAAAATTAGCATCAATTTTTCTAGGCACGTTAAAACGCAAAACCTTTAAATATCTCGATTCACAAAAAAATAAAATGACTTGTCACTTTCAAAATAAACAGTTCAATTAGATGTTTGCACATCCGGTCCATTTTTGAAGTAAATGGCTCATTTATAAGTACAACTTGTCCATTGTGTTTTTTCCTTACACACTGTTCCAATTCGAACTATTAGTTTATAACAATTATAACTCGTCGGAGGACAAATGTTGTTTATGAATACGTACTTTCAGTATAATTCATTGCGTAACAAGCTAATATGTTCAATTAAGGAATCAATATATCAATAATCAATATAACAAATCAATATATCTAATTATTCAATTTAATTTATTTCTAGTTTAATTAAGTTATTTTATTGTTTTTAATTATTGAAAAAAAATATCTTAATCTCAGTTTATCTTCTTCTTCTTCTTCTTCTTCTATTTTTTTTTAAAGTCGTATCGACAGCAACGTCATTAGCGACGACGGTGCCATTAGATATATGTGTAGTAGTTTATGTTTTTGAGATATTTTAATACTCTTTGTATGTCATTCGGAGGAGTCAGGTTTACGTTTGCGTTGATTCCGTATTTCTGTCTTTGGGTTTCTGTGGTGTAACATTCGTGCAGTATGTGTGTTATTGTTAATGGATGGTATTGCAGGTGGGTGGTGTAGTTTTTTTGATTTTGTGTTCATGTGGCAACTTCGTATGACCGGTTTTTAGGCGTGTGATAGTTATTCCTTCTTTCCTGTTGTTAAAGTTTGGTGTTTGCTGGTGAAAGTTTTGGATACTTTTGTGTAGTTGGGAGCTTTTAGTTGTTTTCCATGTATTGTTCCATTTATTTTTTGTTATTTTTTCACAATGGATTATTTGGTCGTCGCAGGGGATTGGAAGATGGTTGCGATTGTTAGTAAGTGAGGGAACTGTGGCTCCTTTCGGCTTTTTCATTTCCTTCTATTCCTTGATGAGCTGGAATTCAGATGACTGTGGCGTTTGTGTTAAGTTAGTGGTTTAGTTCTTGGATGGTGGATATTAGTTGGTTTTATTGATCATATGATTTCTTTAGGGATTTTGTAACGTTCAAGGAGTCAGTGTATGTGTACGATCTGGGCTTCGTTATTTGAGTGTGCATATTTAATGGCTTTCAGGATGGCATAAGATGGCTATGAAGATGGATGATGAAGAAGGAAGATTTTGTGTTTTTTTTTTTTGGCTTTTTTTTGTGATAATGGCGTATCTAGCTCCAGCGTTTTTGACCCATCAGTGTAAATCTTGCTGTGTTGGGAGTAGTTGTTATTTAGTTCTAGGAATCGAGTCCTGTGGTCAGTTGGACTGAGGAGTTTTTTGGGGAGTTCGGCAAGACTGGTATTTATTGGAAATGTTTCTATTGTCCATGGAGGAATTTGTGGTGGTTTACGTTCAGGTGGGGTGGATTTTGAAAGTGATGGATTGAAGGATTTTGATAAGTTTGATATAGAAAGGGGAGGAAATTTTGGATTTATTGATATAGAAAGCTTTGTATCTATTGGAGAAGATGTTGTTGTAGGAATGAGACTTTTAATGCATATTTAAGAGTTAGGAACTTCCTTCTGGTGCCATTTCTTTGGCTTCGAATAGTAGGCTGTTTATGGGGCATGTTCGGTATGTACCTGTGGCTAGTCTAAGAGCTGTGTGGGAGATTGGATCTATTATTTTTTTTGGCTGAGTTATAAACGTAGAGCCGTAATCTAGTTTGGATCTAATTAACGCTCTGTATGTTTCTAGAAGAGTGTCTTTATCCGCTCCCCAGTTATTATTGGAAAGAGTTTCCAATTCTTGAAACAAAAAATTCTTCTTACAAAATAAAATCAGCACTTCAAGTCTGAGAGTTTCGAATTTCGAAATCTTTGGACAAAATTTTAGATTCGAGTTCCGAAAATTTAAAAATTAATAACCCCCAAAATAACTATATAATAATGTTAAGTACAAAATCATGCAATTGCTATAAATAAAAGATTAGTGTTTAATTAATGTTAAAATTAATGTAAAAACTAACGGGTAGCGTAGTTGAAATTTCGCTTGCAGATAGTCGATACTGCGTCGAATATATTGTATAGATTCTAGATCAATTGAGTTGAAAATGAGACAATTATATCGCAAATTTGAAGAAAGCGTTCTATTATCTTAAAAGTATAATGCTATTTTAAAGATATCTTAATATTAAAAGATGCTTCAAATTAAGTATTTAATGAGTCATTTTAACCCATTTTCTTAGCTTTGAATAACAGGATTTCCTGTGACATCTTTTGCACCGTTGAAAATAAAACCGTTCCGTCATTATAATGCAACTGTATACTTCTACTAAGAGATTTTCATGGATAAGGAAACCGTTAGTCTCCTCATTTTAAAAGTGATGAAATCTAATTTGAATCATTTCGTGTAAAAAAGCTCTGATATAAGTGACTTAATATATGTATGTATATTGCATAGAGGTTTATATTGTATAATCGCGCATGTCATTATATTGTCAATATATAGTTTTGTAACGATATGACAAAAATTGAAAATTGTTGAAAAAATTCATTATTTTACTTATAACTGCAATAAGTTGAGTTTTATGAAGGAGAATTACAAATTATATAATAAATAGGAAAAAACAGACATAAATTAATGATCTATTACTCGTAATCTTTTGAAATATTATAAAGCGGGTTCATCTTAAAATTTTAAAAATTGTGTCCATTAATAATTACTTTAACAATACATAAATTTCAAAACTAATTTTTTATTTTCGAATATTATAATGTAAACGACGGAAATATTATAATGTAATTATATGTAATGTTTCTTGTAACTGAAAATCGAAATTACAGATATTCAAAATATAAAAATAATTTAATTATTTTTATATTTGTATACTTATAGGGTACATATGTACATATATACATATGTACATATATGACAATGATATTTTCTGATGAGGTAAATAAACAATCAGTAATATAATATACAGATTATACGATAGCAAAATATATTTCATTGATAAAAGTCATTTTATCTCATCAGAATAATGAAAATTGATGATATAAAAATTTAATATCATTTATATGTCATATTCGATTACAAGAATACATTTTTGTTGCAAATTACCATGACATATATATGACACATCACGTAATATGCTGTATTAATATAAAAGTTCAAATATATATAATTTTGTTCAAAAATTTTTTTAAAAGTTTTTATTTTTAACTCTCCAAACTGAATTGTTAACGACATCAGTAAAATTTCATCCGTGAATTTTTTAAAACAAATTTTTGTTCTTCTTGAGAAACCTTTTAAAAATTTGATTTAAAAACTAATTGTATAGTATAACAAAAGCTTTATTACGTAATCTAAAATTTTTTTACACTTTTTGGAAGCTTAGAAGTGTAAAGAAATGTCTCTTATCACTAATGTGCTTCAATATTTATTGTAGATGAAGTTTTTCAATTGCGCATCCAATTCATGGGAATAAAGGAAATTATAATTTACATTCGTGCCTACGTTAATTCCAAACTAATAACATTCGAAAATTAAGTTAATTATATATTCTTGCTAAAAAATCTTTTATAATTAATATCCCTTTTATAATTGATAATAAAATTTTTTAACTTCACGTTGATGTATAAACACTTGACAGATTCTTTCATGTATCGTATAAAATATCATCTTATTTAATATAATTTTTATATATAAGTGGATAATATAATTTTTCAATTTTCAATTCTTCTAATTTTGAAACAAATGTGACACTTGTACTACAAGATTTTTGAACGGAAGTGTTTATAAAGTTTATATAAATACAAATATGTGATTAAATAAGATTTCTGATACTGCTCGATATTAATATATATGTTGCATATTCAAACAACTGAGAAAATTATGTTTGAGTAAAATAACACTGTTCAATCATTTTAGATAATAAAATCAACATCATGATGTACCAAAATGTGGAAATTTTACGCAGAACATAGTAATATGGTATCAAATATAACAACTGTAGTAAAAATAAGAAAAGACATATGCAAAAAGAAGAAGAAAGCAAAGGAAAAAGTAAAGAATAGAATGAAAAAGAGGTAGAGGGGAAAGAGAAAGAGAGGAACAACGTTTCACTTAGCTATTTCATTACCTTCACTCGATACTTGGCCGCAGTGCAAACAGAGCCATCACCTGTATAACACGTGCTCAATTGTTTTGAAATTCACGTGCAAATGATGATCGATAAATTATTTGATAGATCTAGTATGCTAGAAAATGTGCGATCCAGTGACATTTAGTTATCACGAGTGATAATCAATTATTTCGTTAATATAGTTTCAATTTACAACGAAACAACGTTGATGTCGATCACTGTATCTCGGAGTAACGTGCACCAGTTTTTAGATAGCTGCAAACAACCGCAGCTATACCTACAAGATTGAGTGATCCACGTAGATCGTATTCGCATTAACCTATTTCACTATTCTACTTCAGGTACGCATAAAATACTTTGGCTAATAATATCATTCTTATCAATTTCATTAGTAGTTGGATTTTTTTTCTAAATTTCGCTTTATTATTTGTGCCTATTTACAAAATAATTACAAATAGTTATACCATATTTAATAACATTTGACTTCTGTTTCTTTAAACGGCAAGTACTACAGAAACGCGAGTGACATATACATGATGTGTTATAATTGCAATAATAATTAGATGTGACTGAAAAAATAAGATATACTGAAATTAGATATTACTGAAAATTTTATTAACAATCTTTTGTGAATGTAAAGACTTCTATAATATTTAAAGCCTACATGTAAAATAATAAGTAATTTTGTTTCATTTGCAATATGACCGGTAAGTAACTGACGAGATAAATTCTAGATCGGATTCGCTGGCAAATCAAATTTTGTTTTTAATTAGTCCCCCAATTCTTAGCTAATTAAAATATTTCATCACACAAATAAAAACGTTAATATTAGTAATAAATTTCATTATAATTTGTTATAATTTGTTTGTTAAATATTATTGGTTAAATATTGTTTTTATTTGTGTAATAAAATGTTTTAATCAGCTAGGAATTGGGGATTAATTGAAGGCAAAATTTTTATTTGCCAACGAGTCCGATTTGGAATTCATCACGTCAGTTATTTACCGGTTATATTAATCAAATCGTAATCAAATAGTAATAATTAATCAAATAATATTTTTATTAAATTTATGGAATATTATAATTTTTTATTTAAATATATAAATAATGAAATATTTAAAAGAAATGGAACAATGAAAACAAAATTTACAATTTGGACTCAATATAACAATTTTTCTAACTTCTTTCTTATTATTCAGTGATTTTATATAGCTTCAGATTGCAGTTTAACAGAATGTCACTTGATCATTTGTATAGATATATATTTGATATTAAAACTATTTATTATATTATTATTGAATAATATTCAAAACTATTATTATTCAATATTATTCATTAACGACTATGCCGAAAATTGTATGACTGTAGTAATACAAAGCTTTTTTTTTTCGAATGGTTTCTTTGAACCACCTGAGTTTCATAGTATCTTAATTCCCTATCCGAGTAAGATCACTATTAATACGAAATGAGTATGAACTCTACAAATTAAATAGATAGTTAACCTGCGAATAAAACTGTGATAACGGTTCAGTTTATAATGTATAATAGCAGATAATATGACTAGAGATGAAGAAAGAGAAATTATTTAAAAAATTGATGTCAGCATGTGATAATAAAAGCATCAGTCCTATGAGGGTAGAGCTGCCATTTATAAACACAAATCTGGGACAGCATTAAAAACGTAGCATTAAAAAAGGAGATTTTTTTTCGTTTGAAAGATATTTTTAAGCATATTGCATGATGTGACAGCTTATTTGAACTTCATTGCGTTCGCATCTGCATAGACTGTTTCCAATGCGTTTGATATGAACGTAATACTTAAAAATTGCTATTGTATCAGTATAGATGCGTCTGACATATGCCAGACCATCGAACGCAATGCACACATAGCATGGAAGAATACGAATGATTGGTGATGACTGAATTAACGATCACAGAATAAGCAAACCGGCATCGGGAAACTTGAATCACTACAGATAATCCGAATTCCGAAAAATCTGCTCGGAAGTAAAGTTGGGCAAAATGTAATCTGATTTAATAAATAATCGAAATCATTGTAATCAAAGGTGATGATTGATAATCATTAATCGTAAAACGATCACACTTTTAATTATGATTAAATCAGTAGTTTACATCTATTAACAACACTGTGTACATTTTGTAGAAACTATGTAATTATTATTTGCATTATTTTGTATGGCCTTACAATTTTAAAGTTTAATTCAAGAAGTTCTTCATCAATTGTAATCGAAAGTCTCATGTGTATAATTCTTGAGTCGTTATTGGCACAATTTTTCATACGATAAGCATGGATCTTAATGACGAAACTTGTCGAATGATCGAAATTTTGAGATTTCTCGTTATGACACATTGATTCTTACATCAAAAATATATCATAGAATTATTAACTTTGACAAATTGTTATAAATTCAATTATGCAACAAAGACATCAACGTGTAGATATTCTTTTTAATCTTAGTTTTCTACTGAGTTTATTACTCAAACTGCAAGCAATTTCTAATAATAACATTTTAATTATATTGAACTAACGTGTTACAGATCGTAATAAAATAATAATTAATCACGTTATTATTAAAAAATTAGTAATTAATGATTATAAATCACAAAAGTTAATCAAGATTACCGTTTTATTTTAACAATAATTAATTGATCAATAATTATGATCATTGTAAAGTATAGATTTAAATTTTCAGGACCACGGTGAATTTAGTTATGAAAACAATTTTTTAAAGATATTTGAATTTGTAAAATTTTTGAGAAAAAAGAAATATCTTTATTTAACCTCTTTCAAAATGATGTAACAACGGATACAAAACTAAAAACGGAAAGAAACGAATACAAAACTAAAAGCTTCATGCTTCAAAACGAAACAGGATTGATTGGTCTACGATTTTTTTTTTTTTAGTTATAGCAACCTAAAGTATCGATAATTTGACTTATAATTAGTAATCTCTTGATAAAAATTGTCGTCTGCTATAACTTCTTAAAAAAAAAAAAAAAAATCAATCACTCATTGATCTTGTATTCATTTTAAAGTGTGCAACTTTCAAAATCCTGTGTTTATTTTCTTCAGAGATATTTTTACATCATTTCGAAAAAAATTAAGTAAAGATACTTTTTCCTCTACAAAATTTTGCAGATTTAAACGTCTTTATGGACATCAAAAAAATTTTTTTCATACTTAAATCCACCACATTTTTGAAGATTGAAGTCTCCCCTTTATAACGATTCCTTGAAATTGGTTGTACGATTTTTTTTTTTAACAATGTTAAAATATCGATATTTTTTCATCGTGTATATGAAAACTTTCTGGAGCCACTGTACGTACATTTTTGAATTAATGCACAAAATTCAAGACATCAAATTTTCTTTTAATACTAAAATTAAAATTAGAATGCAAGTAAGAGGAAAAAGTTTATAATATAATAAAGAACTTTTATGCATATTTTACAAACATCATTTAAATCTCTAAAATTGTAACGTTGTAAATCTGTAGAACTTTAAGAAATTTTGATTATTTTAGTGTTAAATAGTATTAAGACAGTTATCTATTGAAATAAAATATGTACATGCGGTAAAATTTTTACTATTTTAGTTGCTATTCTCTAGAAATAAGATCATATCTATATAAACATTCCTTCTTATTTTAGTGTGGTAACTCTATCATTGAAATTATGCCTATATATTCTAATAGACTTTATTACATTTATAAGAAATTTTTAAGAAAATATATCATTAAATGATTCTTAACGTTTCATAAATTAATTTAAATTACTGTAGATTTACCCGTAATTTATTATATCAGAATATTAATGATTTCAAAATAGATATAATAATCATTTCCGAATCCCTATTACTGATTCATTATTGATCTCGCTGAATATTTAATATTTTTAACAAACATCAACTTATAAAATTATATCTACACTGAAGCAACATAATCTGAGGAACATTTGGATTGGATTTCGATTTCAAAGCTATGATGATCGTTCTTGTTAAGAACAAGGTCTACACGCAAGTTTGTTTCAATTAAAAAAGGCTTTCTGCGACATTTACTGATCTTTTAATTCCTTCATTTTTATATTATTTTCACTATTTTATATTTTTTGCATATTGTCTGTCTGTTCTTTCTCTTTTTTTTCTTTTAACTTAGTTATTCACTCATTCGATCTATCCTTTTCACCCAAATATTCATACCTATTTCTCAACTTATGCGATTTCGTCAAAATTTTGTCTGTCAAACAACAAGTTTCGTTCTTCGTTTTATTTAAAATTGTTGGTAACATGTGTATTGTTTACAAATATATTCCATAAACACAGGTACCCACAGGTGTCTTGTGTCAGGTGGAATGTGTCTATAAACGATATACATGTAACTAAACAAATGTGAATTAAAAATCGCGTCTGTAGTTTTTCATTGAATGTATAAATATTATTCATCTTTGTAACACATTATAGGGATCCTACTATATATAATAGTAATATTAAAATTAAACAGTAAAGATTCAAAAAATTCTAAGATCTTGTTGAATTTTCATCGTTTTTGGATATATTCAAAGTTCAATAACGTAGCGAAAAGAAATTTTACAGTATTAGGGATCCATTATAAAGAGAAATCTTCAATTTTCAAATGGTGCATTCAGTCATGAAACAAATTTTTCACTGTTTGGAAAAGTATTTGAATTTATAGCATTTTTAAGGAAAAACAGTATCTTTATTCGCATTTAACACATGATACAGAAATATTTTTGTGTAAAATGAACACAAAATTGTTCATTTTAAAAAGCAGAAGCTTCACGGTTTAATTTACGGCCAAATTTATTTCTTCTTAAGAAATTACAACATTTTTAATATCGTTAATTTTTCGAAACATTGAAAATTTTATTTTATGATGCCACTGTATATAAAAAATAATTTTTAAAAATATAATAAGAGTATGAAGCGCAAAAATAACGATAATCGATCAAAATGAAAGTAAAAAGCACAGTATACTAAACAAAAAAATAAAACTTGAAAGCGAACAAATAACATAACTGCCGATAGAAACCTGAATCATTTGACAGGCAGACTCCACGTGGACTCTTACGTTCACCGAGTATAACCGAGTACGTTCACCAGGGCAACGAATGCACTTGCACTTTTTAAAAGAACCTGTTTCCACTGTAACACGAACCTACATCGAAAGAACCACACCCACTAAGAACTCGGACCATAAATCTCTTTGGAAAGGAGGACTTTTCCGTTATTCTGCTATGTGAATAGTAAGACATGATTGTAAATATTATAGTATTTACCTCCACATTAAACGGCTTACACCGATTTAAGAATAAAAAAAGAAGCTTTACTCAATGAATTAAGCTTACTTGTAATTAATAATTTATGTATATGTATAAAAATTTACGTATATGTGTAAAAATTATAACAGAAATAAAGCAGATTTAAACAATTATTATAGTTCGAATATAGTTTTCACCTGTATTTCGTATCTCGTTCACAATTAGGAAAAATTCATATAGAATTTATAAAAAATTCGTTAGATAACAGCACTATATATACAGAAAGATACAGTTTATCATGATACAAAAATATTATATTATAAAAAAGATGATAATAGAACATTAAATAATAATAGAACCTTGGATGAAGTGAACTACTTGAAAGAATTGAACCACTACTGCTATTATGCTTCATAAAACCTAAGAACTCGATGCTTATTGGAACGAATCATCATATCTGAGAGAGAATGTAATCTCATTAACATAACTAGAGATTTACAAAAGAAAGACGTTCTAAAGACAATATTTTACTTTGCTTAATATTCATACTTCAAAACAAAATATTTGTTGATTATTGGCAGTTTATAAATTATTCTTATTCTATCTAATTTCATAAACTTTGATATTGATTACTTTTTGACAAAACATACATTTCAAGTTCAAGTTTTTAAATATTTTTTTTTACACAAAATCTTCTTATGTAATGTAATACTATTGTATTAATTAATATAAGAAACATATTCTTGTAAAAATTTTACATCTTTTAAACAAATTTAATGTAACAATACTCAATATTTCAAAGGCATTTTGTTAAAGAAATCATTGTAGAATAGTATAAACTGTATTAATAACAAAAATGACAATAAGAATAATTATAAATTATTTTTGCAAATTTATGTACTTTTTACAAGTATAATTATTTTAATTAATCATTATAAATATCATTTGAAGCCATCATATATTTAAATTATAATTGTGAATATAATTTAATATGTTTAATAGAATTTATAACATATTTTAAACATAATTTAATATGTTTAATAGAATTTATAAATTATAATTACATTTAACAATAAACAGGATTTTGTATTAATTAACACAAGAAACATATTCTTGTAAAAATTTTACATCTTTTACAAATTTAATGTAACAATTCAATATACGCATTATGTTGGAAAAGTATATAAAATTGCAAAATTTCAACTTTGATTCATTTACATGTAAAATGATTTTCCTGTTAAATATATTTTTAAATTTTTTTATTCAGTTATGAAGAATATATTATATTATTTGTGACTTACGCAACTGAAACAAGAGAAATTGTATCATTCTGTTCCTAAGGTTGCTCTTGCGAACAGGTAAAACTTTCACTGCGCGTTTATTATAACACACTCGAACATAGTGCCTCATGTGAGTAACTAGCGTTTTCTATTTCTTACTGTAGCGAAAGCGAACAATATTCATAATAAAAAAAAAAGAAATAACGCGGAATATTAATAACTTCAACATTCAATAAATAAATGCTTTTTTTTAACAATAATTTAATTGATTTCTAACCAGAAAAAAATCACAATTTATAAAATGCAGTTAATAGTGTTAAAAGTTTATTTTGATATTATTTTATAGATGTATATCACTAGATACATATCAGGGTTGGGCAAATTTTCATCAATTTATTTGAAATAAAGATAAAAATTGAAAATAATTTGAGATATCCAAATCATTTCCATTAATTTATTATCTTTATTTGAAAAATAACTTAGCAGAAATAAGTTTATCTTGGGTTTAAATGAGACAAATTTACTTTTACGTGGGATAATTCATTGAAATGAAATAAAGTTTAATGAAATGAAATTTATCTATCATATCTATCATTAACTCTTATACAATTTTATAATCGTGGAATCAACGAATCAACGAATCAACGGTATTCTGAATTGATCGTGCACTAATTACACTATATGCTTGTAGAATTCGCTGTTTCATATTGTTCATTGTTGTTGATAATTCATTGTATACTTTCTTTTTTAACATACCCGACAAATAATGTTACCACGATTATGTTGCTTATCTGTAAACAATATATTTTCTAAAAACTTTCATTAACACTTACTTACTACAAAAAACAATTGCCGCAAATTTAACTCGATTTTTGGAATACCTAGTTTGGAATTTTTTAAGTGGTCAACTGATTTAGAAATTCCCAATTTGCCACGCTGGATTGGAGCACATCCATGTCACAAATGCTACGTATTCTTAGCCTTAACTATTTTTACAAAAATCATGCATGAATTTCAATAATTGCAGAATTCGGAATAGAATTTCGACTAACAGAATGAATTGCCTAAATGTGACTAATTCTACATCCGAATGTAAACTAATAACACTGGTGTTTAAACATTATCGAATCGCTAGTTCTCATTCTTAAGACAAATTATCGTAAAATATCTCCTTAACTATTAGGTTTAGGACCAATGTGGATTATTACAATCCTTTTTTTGTTTAGAATTTAACATTCTTTCGATTTGTGATGAAAAAAAATATATAGTTTAATTTAAGAAAATAGAGGTGATGTTAAAAATTTTGAAACCCCTCAACACAAACGAAAAATTGATATGCCATATTTTGCCTTCTTTAAAACCACATAAATTTTTTTGTATTAAACACTTTTTCACTAGACATATAACTAAAAAGTTATTTCAGGTATGCAAATTACATAAATCACATGTATATATAATGTAACATACATTCCCATCCATAAATTAATGAACATTTAATAAAATTATAATATAATTATGATTTACACTAGAAATGGACTTGATCATTCTCTGTTGTAAAGGCCATATCATAATTTCAATTCCATTATTTTTCATTAATTTTTAATCTCTTAATAATTTGTTCACATTTTCGAAATGCGTTTTAGATATATATAATACAAATTTTATTTTATTAATATAAATATAAAATTCTAAATCCTCAAAATCTGTTTTGGATAAATATAATACACGTTTTGTCCTATTAAATAAAGTTTCGTCCCAAAAATCTTTTGCCACACGACATTGTTTGATTGCATAATACTGTTCTTTTTTAATTCTTATTAAATGTAAATTTTCAATAAATAATTTCCATGTAATTGGCACAATACAATCAGGTATTAATTTCTCATTAGATTGTTTTCGTACATGAACTCGTTGTTTTATATTGAAGACATTGAATTTCAATATTGATACGACACATATTATTCAAATGATATATCTATTCATATTATTAATTTCGCTTCAAGACATTGCTATAAACTTGATAACTATAATAAAACTGAACTCAAAGTCATGCAAGAGTATTATATCAATGCTGCAACAATCATTTCAAAAGTACTGATGATTTATAAACGGGAATGCATCTATAATTATCTTTTCTAAAAATTTACAGAATGTTTTAAAATGTAAAATGGCATTCCAGAATGTTAGTGGCAATAAATTACTACACGGCAACGGTATTCGTTGTACTTATACAGCGATCATTGTCAGCAATGGTTCTTCCAAGGCCACCTTCTTCACCAAATTACATCCAACACCATGATCGAAAAGGAAATGAACAAAACTTCTACGAGGGAAAATCTCTACAAAACTTTTTACAAAATTCCGGGATAGAAAGAGCAAATACCAACGATTACAGGTATTGATTATGTATTCATAATTAAATGGTTTCATTGCTTTTATTTTTCTTTTTCTCAATTATCTATATAGTAATAATAAAAGTATATTAAGTAATAATAAAAAACTGAGTATCATTAACTTTTTATAAAAATATTATAAATTCATTACTTAAAAAATATTATAAACACATTAACTAAATTATAGCATTTTTGTATGAATACTGTTTTATGTTGTACATATATGCAGGATGTTTTACCTATAAGTTTACCTCAAATATCTCCGTTGTTTTTGGAAATACGAAAAAAATTATTAACTAAACTTTATTAATTAAAGTTTCAGTACAGAGGGAACTATAATATGACAGTAATAATTTTTTTATAAGTGAAGGAATCTCGGAGATTTCAATCCACTTTTTTAAATAGAATAACACGATTCATTAATCGATACATTAATCCGATACTCTGAATTAAAATTTTAATTTTGATTTTATAAAATTCATGTATGAAAGACACAGATATGAATGCAACTCTTCATTCATATGATAAATATTACAGAATTAAAGCTGAAATATTTTCTAAACTAATAATTTTTCAACACATAGGTTAATACTTTTTTATAAAGAATATCAAGCTACATCGATTAACACGTTAACCATCATGCTAGTTTTATGTAATATTCCATAGGAATGACCATAGTTTGATATATATTACACTATAACATTTAATTTTTTAATGAATAAAAATTATCTTATTTTAATCTATTAATTCTGTAATTTTTTATTTTGATTCTTTAATTTTTTAATTCTTTAATTCTAAAAAGTATTGTCAGTCATCATAACGATCAACGAATAAAAAAACATATTCTTTTTAGAAAAGTCAGAGGTGGCTCTGAAATTCTTGAAATCCTTCCACTTATAAAAAAAAAAAATCATTACTACTATATTATGTTTTCCTTTGTAGTGAATGACTTCCTTTAATAAATTTTTTTCATATCTCTAAAGACAATCAAGATATTTGAGATGATAAACTTGGATGAAATACCCTACATATAAATATATATGTATTACTGTCTATAAGAGAGCTGATTCGATTTAAAAAATTAATATTTTTATTACTTTTATGATGAAAAAATGTTTTTGCAAACTAAGCACAAATAACGTACTAGAGCGATACCAAAACAAAAAATATATTTGCGTTCTAATAAAATCTGAATAAAAATATATTTAAGTTCTATGTTTATCTTTAATAAATATTGGACACTTCATAAAATTTATAAAAGTTTTTAGAATGCTACTAAAAACACGTATCTCGATCGTTCTAAAATTTTAATATAAAACAGATACATTTTGAGTTACCTAGATATCGTCATAAAAAAAGATTTCATTCACCTTTAATAATTCTTTTTTTATTTATACTAATTTATTAATTTTATATTTATCTATTAATTTTACAAATATCCTTTTGGAATTTATATGTAGTTATTGTCTATGACTTTTTGTGAGAAGACTTGATGTCTAGACTTTTGACAAGATCAAAATTAGATTGAAAATTAAATCAGTCTTGTTTGAATTATATAATAATGTCACTTCTTTCAATAACTGAGTAAGCTATGATGAAAATATAGTGCAAATAGAATACAATACTGTTAGCAAATGAAGAAAGAATTATTGTTAAACGTTTCAAAATAAAAGATAAGAAAACATCATCTAAAAAGCATGAAATTAAGTAAAGAAATTCGACTTTGAACAAGTATCACACTGCAATATTTTAATTAAATTATCTCCTGAATGGTTTTTTAATATAAATGGTTTAATACTTTTTTTTACAGAGAATGAATAGCTGAATTGATTAGTATATTAAAAAATAAACGATTTCGTTTTAAAAAAACCATTCAACTTTTGTATAAAAGGATATAATTGGATTTTTGGATATAATTAATCTAAATTTAGAAAATATTTCAGTTTTTAATCTTAGATGACTCACCCACTACAAAAATGAAAATAAACTTAACATATTTTTGCTACATAGATAAAGAATGGAGAATTTAGATTTAGAGGCACGAAAATATAAATCATATGTAAGTAGTCAAGTCATGTGATTGTAGTTGAATCATATTAATTTGGAACTTATATAATTAATATTAACTTGATAATTGTCTTTGTTATTCTTTATTAATTTCTGTATGTCTTTATATGTGATCAATATACAGAAAATGGTATTTTGTTAAAATGAACCATCAAATTTCATTAATTTTAATAATAAAACAGTTTGATATCATTCTTTATATTTATCCTTATAAGAAATATTCTCTATATTTACGTTTACTAGAATATTTTCGTTTACTGAATTTATTAGAAATCATTAGATACGATAGTTTTTCTCTTTCTAAACTATTTTTCCTTTTCAGTCTTGTGGAGATTGAACTTCAAAGCCCAGATGAAATGGATGCGACCAACCTTCAAAATATCATACACGCAATGCTGAAACAATCCGAACAAGTTCGCAATGAAAGTTATCCAAATCCAGAAGTGATACCTCGCTCAGTTTTCGGTGTGAGAGACGTTGGCGTAAGTCCAAGTTTTAAAGCAAACACAGTTGACGAAGACAGACACGTTCTAATAGGTCCATCGAAATTTCAAGCTGTTGATGAGAAGCTTTACTATTTAAAGAACAACAGACCAAAGGTTTATGTAAACTTACGAGGCCACAGTGGTTCTTTTCGAAAAGACGCAATCTCGAAAACGACTTCTAGTAACGACTTTATAGAATTTCTTAGAGCGACGCATCCTCTGCAAAAGCAAACTGACTGGAAATTTCATCACGACAAGATTAATGCGAAACGTAAATATCGAAAATATAACTCAAAGAACGACACTAAGAAGTTTAATAAAGTAACTATAATTTATGGTTTAGATGACCTATCCACTACTGAGAATTCTATTGTTACTTCGAGCGAGTTACCGAAACAAATACCTCCTCCACCATCTAAATTTCCAAATAAAATATTAATGACACAGACTACGCCTGTTCAAAGATATGCCTTAAAAAGAACAAATATATTACCAAGATACAGGTTTTCGAACGTTTGATGATATATCAAATATATGATTATTTATTTGGAATATAATGTAAAAATATTTTAAGTTTACTTTCTATGCCAAATAAGTATTTAAATCACAGAAAGATATTTTATCCGTATTTTAGAAAATCTAGATGAAATTTTTTATGTTTTCAGAATATTTATTAATTTACATTTTTATAAACAGGTACAAAGTTAAACTAAAGAAAATTATTATAACAGTGAATGTTGAAGAAAATATTAGAACTTACAAAACATATAGAATATCTAAGTAAAATTATTAAATTACTTTATATTACTAGAATTGAATTTCGAAATGGTTTACGTACCTATTTAAAAAAAAATAATTTTACTTTCAAGTTATATATATACATTATATGATTTTTTAAAAAAATCATATCTTTAAATAGCTTTTCATAAGTTTCAGAGATGAATTTATTTGTACATTACGACGAGATACTTTATATAAAATGTTCAAAAATCGAATCTAATTATTTACAAACTTTCAACATTAAATAAGTTTAATTAGTGTAGATCCCCAAATTAATATTTATAATTGCTAACAGTCAATTTTATAACTACATACATATGTGTACTATGTTTGATTGTAACTATGTATGTATATATATATATATATATATATATATACACAAAAATACATTCATATTTTAAAAATTTCACATCTCAATACTACGCTGCGATAATAAATATCCATATGATTAAACTGAAATGTAAATGAATACTCATCAGGTTTTAAAAAACCTAAAATATATGCAGTGACTTTTATTCGAACACTAAAAATATTGAAATTATTATGACTTGTAGATGATACTTCCGATCATTCGATTTCTTTATTTTTGGATAAATAAACTTCCTTGCTATCAATTGAGATGTCGCTTTGTCTCTGTTTCGTTTTCTGTACTATTGGAATTTATTATCAAAAACATAATCATAAAAAACAATATAATTATGTCCGTTTTGTACATAAATCAATTTTATTTCAATATTTTCGTATGCGTGTAATTCATAGATGTATGTATACACATTCATGTATGTATATTTACACATTTTTCGTGTATTGGAAGCTGACCAAAACGAATCAGATATCGACAAATTGTTTTCGGTGATTTTCCTTACAAAAATAGAAAACAGGAACAACCATAATCTTCCAAAATTTTAGATTGTAGGGTGAATTTGTACCTAAATATATCTAATTATAAATTATATACAAGTGGCATAATTATATTATTTTCTTTATATAAGTTAGATGGAACATAACTTTTACGTGGAAATTTCGACAGCTGTGACATCAATTGATAGATTGCTCTATTAAGATTTCTATTGATATAACATTTTTTATTAATATTTTTTCGACTACTAATTGGTATTTTTTTGATTGTAGCCCAAATTGTCATGGTATGCAAAAAAATAGAAAATTTTATTTCATAACTGAACTTGTTATAAATTTGAAGATTGACCTTCCCTTCCTTCTCTTTTATAACGATTCTCTAACATTTAATATTTGTTTTATTATTTTATTGACACAAATAAGGTAAATGAAATTAGTGATGCAATTTAATAATATATTTAATAATATGTAAATATGTCTAATACTATGAAGATATGACACGTGAAATTTCCGAGTTCATTTTTTTCGAAAACGAAGTTCCAAATAAAAAAAACTTTATTCTATTCGACTCATTTTTGCATATTTGTATATTTTAGAAAATACGTGTTTAAAACAGCCAATGGAAAATTTATTAAATAAATAAATAAATAAAAATATAAATTTATTAAATAAATAAATAAATAAATAAAAATTTATATTTTTTAATTTTTTGTAAACACTTTTAAGTATTTTTTGTGCTTTAAATATATTAAAATATTAGAATCTCAATAATGCACGTTACCACGAATACGTTGACACGATAATTCATTCGGATTATATTACATTCATGTTTGCATTGATGCATCCGATGCGAACGGAATGCTTAAAAAACGAATGCATTGCTGTCTACTATATCAGTTTACATCTTATGTATGCCATATTAGCAAATGGAACAGATAAGCAAGCCAGTCCCTAAATATCTTAAAAATTAGGATAAATTCGGAAAACCGGGACGGATGACAATTCTATCTATAAGTAAAAGATGTAAGATCTTCACTCACAAGCTATGCTGAAATTTGCGTACAACTTTATAGCAAAACGTTTATAAATAGACTTCATGTATTAATTATTTCCTTATTTTGATAATAAAAACTAACATTACTAATAATGTAATCAACTATTTCCTTATTTTTGTAAATGCTTTTACAGTTTTGCCGGAAAAGTAGAAAATATCTTGTATATGTTACAAGTTGAGACAAGATGAAAATAAAGAACAAAAGTATTTCGTTTGAGGATTCCTTTTATATTAAATTACGTTAATATGACGAGTGAATGAATTTTGTGTTCTTAAATTTAAATTCTGCTTATAATTTCATATTTCACATATTTCTATAAACTCAATGTATTTTTTAATACAGTCACGATCGTAAGTATTGGCTTCTGACGATATAAATGCTTAAAAATCGAAAGAAAAGACAAAGTATCCAATTAATTTTTGTATTAATCATAACTACCAAATATCTAATCTTACAATATTACATAAATTATATTTTAACTAATAACAAAGAAAATAAATGAAATATACATTAAGGGCAATACACATTACGTTGGTGAAACAAAAGTATTGGCATAGTTATAGTTTTATATAATACAAAAGTTTGTTTAATATTTTGTATGTAATCCATTATTTTGTATTATGGCTCGTAAACGTTTTGGCATAGAATGGACCAATTTTTGTACAGTTTCTATCCCTATCTTATTCCATTCTGTTAAAAGTATTTCTTTTAGTTGTTGCTTGCTGGTAATATTGTGATTTCATATATGTTTTTCCAATTCAGCCCAAGGTGTTCTATGGAGTTCAAGTCAGAGTTGTGGTAGTATAGGTTGTGTATGTGGTGTATTAAAAATAATCCATTGTCGTACAATATAAACGGTATGCTTTGGATCATTATGGATCTTGCTGGAAGACAAAATTGTCTCCCAGAGTTAATTTTTCTACACTTTTTTTTACATTATTTTTTAAAATATCCAAATAAAACCATTTGTCCATTATGTCTTCGATGAATACTAGTTCACCTACCCCACTTGAACTCATACAATCTCAAACCATTACCCCACCATCTTCGTGTTTTACGCTACCCTGCACGGTTTTTGGATTTAGTTCTGTTCTTGACAGTCTTCACACTAAAATATGTCCACCACTCTTAAAAATATTAAATTGGATTCGTCGGAGAACAATACAGTATCCCAAAAATCAGTTCTTTTCGTAATATAGTCTTTAGCAAATTGTAATCTCTTTTTCCTGTTAATTTTGCTAATTTTTGGTTTCCGCCTCGTAATTCGCGATCGGTACCCGGCATTTCTCAATACTCGACGAATATGGATGGACACAGGTATTAAAATTGTTGTTTATGATTGCTGCAATTTCCGATGTGCTGGTGGGTTTTTTTTTTTCACGATGTTAATGATTTCTCTTTTTTCTCGCACACTTAATTTCTCTGGATGACCACATCGCGTAGCACTTATTACAGTTTCTTGATTAGAAAATCTTTTGATCACACTCCGTATTGTAAAACGGCTTTTTTCCATTATATCTGCTATAGCAGAATACAAATACCCTTGATTATATAAATTTTTTTTTTTATGTAACCCCTATAGTATCTTCCTGCAGTTTGTCTCGTGAAACATTCGGCGAGTTGTTGTAGGCTGATGGGTAACGTGTGGATGCTTTTCCCATTTGAGTAAGACTGTTGTAGTTCTTGTATATGCAATAAATTTTACGTTATCAGGTCCTGCGAATGTTTTTTTTTTTTCAATCTCCTTTTGATATTGGGCGTGTATAAAGAATTGGTTAACAGATTTGGGTGATTTGTTGTTCTTAATTTATATATGGTGGATATTCGCTGCATTTCTTCTTTTACGGATAGGATTTGAAGATCCTTGCGTAACTCTTCATTTTTAATGAACCATGGTGCGTCTACTATTGTTCGAAGAATGGTTGATCGTATAGCTTTCATTTTATCGATGTGGCTTTTCGCTGCGGTGCCCCATAGTTGGATACCATACGTCCAAATAGATTTTATTATTATGGTCTTGTAAATTAGTAGTTTGTTTTCTGTGCTTAGTTTCGAGCGTCGATTGGTTAGCCAGTACATTTCTTTTAGTTCTAATCTGTTGTATCTTTTTGTAAATGTGTTGTCTCCATGTTAGCTTCGAGTCTAGGTGGAGTCTTAGGTATTTTATCACTTTAGTTTCTGGCTACAATTACGTTGTTGTGATGTTTGGAATATTACCTTTTCGGTTCGTGAAAGTGATGTGATTGCACTTGCTATGGTTTACCTTTATTTTCCGTTCGTCTAGCCATTTTTCTAATAATACTATGTGGTTCTGTAATATTTTTACTGCCTCCTGGGGGTCTTCATGTATTGCTAGTTTGCTTGTGTCATCTGCGAATGTACATGTTGTGCTACTTGATGTTGTAGGAATATCTGCCGTATAAAGGGTATAGAGTATTGGACCTAATATACTTCCTTGTGGGACGCCAGCATTTATTTCTTGTATGTCTGAGCGTGCATCTTTTATCTTTACATAAAACGTTCTATTGCTTAGGTAAGATTTTAATAGTTGGTAAATTGAGTCAGGAAAGTGCTGCTTGATGGTTTTGAGTAGTTCTGCATGCCAAACCTTGTCGAATGTTTTTTCTATATCCAAAAACAAGTACGTGCAGTATTTTTTGCTTTCCAGAGCGGTATTAATTTTGTTAATTATTTTGTGGGCCTGTTCTGTTGCAGCATATTTTTCTCTAAACCCGAACTGGTGATCTGGAATTAGATGTTTGCTGCTGATTGTTTCTTTGATCCTGGTTAGGTACCCTTTCCAACAGGGAAATGGGTCTATACGAAGATGGTTCGTGTATGTTTTTATTTGGTTTCGGTAGCATTATTATCTCAGCAAGCTTCCATGTAATTGGGAGGTAATGTAATCTAAATATGGCGTTGAATATTATTGTGATGAATCTGACAGCCTTGATTGGAAGTTCTTTGGAAGTACTTTTCCACTAATTAAGTCGAAGTCCGGATTTTTGTTAGTTTTAATTATTGTGATCGATTTTTTATTTCGTTTATTGTAGTTTTGCGTATAGCATTGTGATGTTTCTCTTCGTCAGCGAAATCATTTGTTGTTATTAGTTTCGATGTCGTGTTATTGTGCGAATGCGGATAGGGAGGTCTTTGCCCAAGAATCATCTGGTTTTTTTATTACAGGTATTAGCACTGTTGGTTTTTTTTAGTTGTTTTTTCACTTTCCATAATGAATAGTTTGTGTCACTGTGTCACTGGGCATTAGGTTAGAAAGATATTTATTAAATTTTTTGTTATTACGTTCCTGTATGATTTTTTTAACTTCTCTAGTGAGCGCATTTACTGGGGACTGCTGTGCATACAACTCGCGAGCGGTAGAAACAACGTCTTGCCTATTTGACTGCCTAGCGAAGAGTTTTATATAAATTTAGTATCATTTTTCGTTCTGAAACACTAGTTTCTTGTATTTTACGCCCCATCTTGCAGTTTTCTGTGTTTTCTTCTAAAAACAGTTGACTGTTTATGAAACAAATGAATAGCATTGAATGTAGGGGAAACCTCAGGTATAAACTGCATACCAACTTTGTAAACATTTCTTGTTACGACTCAGCGCGACGGTAGTTGCTGCCGTTCTCTCGTCGTGCCTTTTACAGCCGCTGGAGAGATGTTTTAATGAATGCGAGATGTAGTTTAAATATTTATATTTAACTATTATATACAAATGGATTGTGGATATGTGTGTTATGAGTCAGGAGATAGGTACGCTAGCTTTCCTCGTGGAAGATTCACTTTTACTGTGTTACCTGAATGACTGAGTGTGAATCTACGTGATTTCAAGAATGGTATGTGATTTTATGGCGCTAAGGATCCCTTTGTTTCTGCCCTATCAGCCTTTCCACATCTTGTCTCTCCCTTCAAGACAAGAGAAAGTGTCCTTGGATAAGAATATGACAGAACAACTGGCAATTCTCGGTAGGGTCGAGGTTTTTTAGGAATTGATCTGGCTAACCGCCTCGGAAGGTTCTGTTCTGCGCCAGAACAATTCTAATTTAGATGAAAAAGCATAGTTCGTAAATGTGCCAATACTTTCGTTTCACCAAAGTGCTCTTAATGTGTATTTCATTAATTTTCTTTGTAATGCAATTAGTTAAAAAATAATTTATGTAATATTGTAAGATTAGAGACTCGGTAGTTATGATTAATGAAAAAATTAATCGGATATTTTATTTTTTTTTAGATTTTTAAGGATTATATCGTTAAAAGCCAAGTGTGCCAATACTTATGTATATTTGTGACTGTGTATAAGGTCATACAAAACCATTTACACAAAAAATTCTAAAATTACAAAATTCTTGTTTGTCTTATAAACAATAAAACAAAATATACTAACATCAATTTTAAGTATAATATTTTTGCAAAAAATATTGAAGCTTTCTACATTGTTTATTTACATGTTTATTTAATTATAATGCATTGCACATTGTCTTAGATAAAATAAAACAAAACAAGAGAAGAAAGATGTCCACTTCAAAAATTAATTCAAGATATAGATATATTTTATATCTTTTTTGTAGAATGATTTTATGCAATAAGATACATAAATTGAAGATTGTTTTCAATTAGTGCTGATAATGTTGTTTTAAAGCAATTTTACAGTTATAAATAAATAATTATTTTATAAATATAAAATTATAAATAGCACAAATTAAAGAAAGTCGTTATAATTTTTACAAATTAATAATAAATGATTTACGAATAGTAAAAATCTGTTTATCTGAAGTTATCAAGTAACGAACAGTTTATAAATGAATATCTGTATAAGCTTAATAAATGAATATTCTGTATAAATTCTATATAAACAGAATATAATGGATTATAAAACTACACCAAAAATTTAAAATAGAAGTTGTACTTACTTGTTCAGCTTTTAGGGTGAGTTCTATGAAGATCTGTTGTAATTTTTCATTCACAAAGTTTATACAAAATTGTTCAAAACCATTTTTTTCAAAAATTTCGAATCCGTAAATATCCAAAATTCCAATTTCAAGGCACTCTGTATTGGTTTCCATAGCTGCATTAATTTTCTGTAAATAAATATATATATATATATATATATATATATATGTAAAAATTAATATTTTTATAATTTATAATTGTTGAATTTTGCACTCTAACATTAAAGTTTACTAGAATCTAAATAAAACATATATAAATAAAATTAAAAGAATAAATTAAATGAAAATTAAATAAAATAAATTATCTTAATTAAATAATCTTAATTGCTATTTGAAAATAAATACATCTAATTAAAATCAATAAACTCTTCAAGCTCAAAACAGATCAATAAAGACATCATGGAAACTATTTTCCACTAATATTTATAAACTTATAAAATAATAGCTTCAAAAATAATATATTAAATTTCAATTGAAAATCTCTTTTTGTGCATGGCATATTTTCATCTTCAAAATAATTCCCTTATTTACATTGTTGAAAGTGATGTTTCCTCTTATTGCATAAATTGTTTAATGTTATAGTTTTCAACTAATTTGTTATTTCTTCTTGATTGTTCAAGATAAATTCCTGGTTTAACATAAATATGTTCAAAAATTAATTTATTAATTTTATTTAAAGTCAGATAATTCATATTCATACTTCGTAATGAAAGAATAGAGCTGATATAGCCGTGAATGAATCGATGCATTACATACTTTATTGTTGCTTTATCTGTTGCTAACCATTAAAAGAACATGCGTCTTTCAACATAGACATACAGTGAATAAAAGGTATTTTTAAAATATAAAAAATAATTGTTATTTTATTACCCATGTACAACAGTCATAATGGGTTTTTTTTTCTTATCTTTCAATTTGGTGAAAAAGAAGAAGTCTGTAGAATTTTCCGGAAATACACAAATTCCGTTAACAATGATGCAGTGCAATACGGGATATTATTATGATGGAGCATCTATGCCTCCAATGTTTGATCAAACATGGCGAACTGTTCTTTAAGGTTTTTCAAGTACTTCAAAATACGAGTATTATTTTAATTTTACTTCTTCCACATTTTCTTTTGTTGTCAAGGATCTTTCAAAACACAGTTCGTTTTTGACACATTTTCGGTTTTCTAAAAATTCCTTATACTACATAAAATCTTGTACTCTTGATAGAATATGCTTTTTAATTTATAAAGTTAAATTTATAAAGTGTTAATTTTTTGATACGTTTGTATTACATTTTCATGCAACTTTACGTGTATCGTTGCTCTAAATTCTATTCCTCGATTTTTGTAATGCAAAAATGGATACACGTATACAATTTGATATAAGAAGAGAAATAATAATGTTTGAACTCTAGAGACAGATTCCTTAAGCTATGAATATCATCTTCTTTCTTAGTAGATAATAAAAAATTTCTTAGCAACAGTTTATTACTTTTCTAACAGATCTCATATACACTTACCTTAACCAAGTAATCAAAAAGTCTAGTATAGATATCCTTCGCCAAAGCATCCCTAGTGTAGAGAGCTTGTTCTACGTTTAACGTAACATCAACGCTTTCAGACTGACCTCCCCATTTAGATTCAAATTCGCGTGATATTAATTTTTGAGCTAATTGCTTTATTGAAATCTCGAGCAAATGGGCTGGAAAATCAAGACCTGAAAAAAGAAATATAATATACATGTAATATGTAGTAAATGTTTCATTTTCTATATGCTTTATATTATAGTAATATAATCTGTTCAGGCAAACAACGAATTCATAATAAATCTAAAACTAACATTTTGTACATATAGTGTAATAGGAATGTCATTGTATTAATAGATATAAATTCGTATAGATTTAGATAGATAGATATATAGATTGTATAAATTCAAATTGTATATTACATGAAAACTTTAGTTCTAGAACACAAGATTCTGTTTTTCTCCCTTTCTCACAGAAAATGTTTACAAACAATACAATCATATGTTTTCTTAATCCTGCATAAGCAACGATTACCGAGAAGCTGTAACGTTTAAATATTTTTCATTGTAAAACATTCTAACAAACAAATATACTTTCTATTAAATTAATTTTATTAATTATTAATTAGAATTATCAATAACGATTTCATTAGATTAATTTTATATAACAAAATAATTAATCAAATAAAGCAATTAAAAAAATCACATGTCTGTGGTAATGATAAAATATGACCATCTGTTTTCAAAAGTTACTTACTATCGATACAGTGACATGTATAATGTAATAAATTAATGTGTATTAATATTTAATTATTCAAAAATCTATAAATTGTTAAAAAAATTGATTTATTTTACTTTTTTTGTTATAATTTGATTGAATAAATATTTTGAGTTTTTAAAATTATAATTATGGCATTGTTGATCTTATATATAAATTACAATATACAACGTAACTGTCGTCAGGCACTTCCGATAATTCAACGAAAAAATATTTTGAACAATAAAAGTTAATCAAATTAGCTAATAAAAGTTAATTAATTAAGTGAACTTACAAATTGTAATATACACAACTTCCAAAACTTTTTTTTCCGATAAAAAATCATATCATCATCAAATCAATCATAATGTAATTTATTATTATTTGCTACTGTCTCAATAAGCATTGAAATTTAATATTGTTTTCCACGAGATTTAATATTATTTTAATATGGTTTCTTCGAAATTTTATTCCTCTCGATGAGTAGAATACGATGCAATAATAAAATAGTTTGACTTTGAATCTCAAGGTCAAGATCATTTTTGCAGAAATTTTCATTTATAGATCTTCACCGATCGAGAAGTATACAATCACGCTCTAATATTCCAAATTATTTTTGCATTTATTTTTGATACGCCCTGTATATTCGATGTTGCTTTTTGAATTGTATATTTTCCGCGTGATGTTAGAACTGGAGGCTCCGTTTTATTATAATTTTGAAAATTTTTAAGCATATTCATTATAACTTCCTTCAATTATTTTTGCTGTTTTTGAAAGAAAATAATTAACAGTGCTAAAGTTATTTTTATTTCACTATCTGATAGTTTTTTCCGCGGCCCATATTTTGCAAATTTTATATAATTTTTATATAAATTTGCAGTATATCCTATATTTCGCGTAATGATTCACTATCATTCACTCGAGTTTAACTAAGAAGTAAAAATATGTATATGAAGTGTGCTATTACTTTGTCAGATTGATTTTCCATGAAATGTATAAAAATTGTTTATATAGTACTAGGGCCATTAAAGTTGACAAACTGAACTAAACTGAAGAAGTATAGAGAAAAAAAATCCTTTCAAACATATAAAATTAACAGAGTACGCTACTCTTTTGTATGTAAATATTGTTTATTTTATCTTTATATATTAACGTTATATTAAGAATATTTATAATTTTCAATTTTAAATGAAGAAAATGTAAATTACTAAACTTAACGCACTAAAACATGCTCTCGAAACATCTAAATACCACAACAGAAAATTCACCATCTTTAGTGACTCCACAAATGCTATCGCCTCAATTCTAAACCAATGGACAAACAATACAACCATCCACGAATGCCAAAACGCCTACATCGAATCAATAAAAAACAATAACTCAATTACAGTAATATGGGTCCCATCCCACACAGGAATTGAAATGAACGAGAGAGCGAACAAAGCTGCTAAGAAAGCAGCGAATTCGACAATCCTCTACCACAACACAAACCTTACCACTCGATTCTTTACTTGTCCACCTAAAGCAAAAAATCAAACACCATTGGAACAATGAATGGAAAATCTTAGTGAAACCACGACTGCTAATCATCAAAAATGATTTCTACAAGAACGTAATACCACCCACTCTAAAAAGACGTGACCAAGTCGTAATATCAAGAATAATAATCGGACATACGAAAATAACACACAAATACATACTCACCAAAAAAGACCAAACATTCTACGAACGGTGCAAGACGACCCTAATGATAAACTACCTCATACTACAATGCGAAGTATACCTACTGCTAAGAAAAATTAGAGTTAAATCCACTCTTAAAGACAATCTAATGGACAGTGGAACATCATCAAGCCTGCTACAATATCTGAAACACACCAAGATCTACAGTAACATATAAAAAAATCCTTCCTTCTATTATCGCTAATAATCCATGAAGTTGATGCGACATAAAATAATTGATTTAAAAAAAAAAATTAAATTCAAGTATACTTGATAAATATTCAAATTTCATTTTCTCAAAAACGAAACCTTAAATAAAAAAATTTTATTCTTTCTCTTTGACTTATGTTTTCATGTAGGATTCCCGATGCTGGGACACCCTATATATTGGTCGAATTCAAAGTTCTAAAATAAGCATTATTTTATAAACATCACTATAGTTGTAATGCCAATTAAAACAAAAAAAAATAAATATATATTTTCAACAGACTATAATCTATAAATGTAACATATATATAATAAATACATTTATATATAAAAGGTGACTGATTTTTTAATTATCTTATCAGCAAACATTTATTTTTAATAAGACTCTTTATTATATAAATATTATATAAATTTTTAAGATTATTTAATTAGTTTGTACTTACATCGTTTATTAGCAATTTTTGAATAATTTCCATCCTCAACAAATTGAATATTTCCTATGTGAAGTATTCCCGCAACAATTTTGAAAATATCACTTATTTCAGAATCGTTTATTGCCATGATATTTAAAGCTGAAAACAAATAAATTATGATCAATAATTTAAAATAAAATAAACGTAAAGGAGTAAATTTCTTAACTAGAAGCTATTAACAAAGGAAATTTTCTTAAGGAGAGACTTTATTAAGAAGAGAAATTATTAAAACTTTTATAATTTTATTTTAAAAATTAATTTATTTTATTTTAAATTATTTTAAAATTTACTTTTGATGTGATTCAATTTCTTTTCACAATTTTAATAAATAATTATTTTAATATTTATAATATATATTTTAATAAATAATTATTAACATTATTTTAATAAATATGACCTACATAATTGATTACTTTGAAATGTCTAATAACATTTTTTCTCTAACACAAAGTAATATCTTCATATTTTGTTCACTACCCAAATACGCAAATTCTATATTTGTTTCATTTGTCATTGAGTTTATATAAAAACGATAAAAGTTGTTTTTTCATTATCTTGTAACAGCAATGATGCTTACTTTTCAAAAAACAATATTCTTAATATTTTAAACATATTTAAATTAATTGGCTTGAATTCAAAGATAAAATCAAAACAATAAATATTTCAATAATTTTCATTATATTTTCTACAACATTTAAACCAATTTTGTAATTTAATTTATAATTTAATTATAAAATTACTAACACATTTTCTGTCACCATCAGACTTCAATTATAAGAAAAGAAAGCAAAAATAAATAGACAGTGATACAAAAAACTTTGTTTTACATGCATCTAATAGTATTAAAATTTAAAACTATTTATTATCCGTGTTATATTGTTAACTATTTTATCTCACAAATACCTACTTGCAAAAATACATTACGTTCGTAAGTGAACGCTTATTATTTACTAACTACTTATTTACTGTATATTTTATTTTTTGAATAACTCAAAATTTTTTGTTTAATAAATAATACTTAATAATCTTCTTAAAAGTAATAGTTAATCATTTTCACAATAAAAAAATAAAATACAATGAAAATGAATACAGTTAATCTATAAGAACTTTGAAAAATGAATCATATTATCGAAAAATGGTCGTATTAATTACTTCCAATTATAGTTGTCTTTTTTATAGTCTTTATAAGATTGATTCTTTTTATCATTATTGTTTTGATGAAATAATTTTATGCTCTAAGATAGGAATTAGAAGAGACATGAGATTTGTGGGTACTCAAATATTTTTAGTATTTTTAGTGAGAAATATCAAGCATTGTGACGATATATAAGTGTCAAATTAATAATATAGGGGATTTGAAATTAGAAATAATAGATATACAAATAATTGGTAAATAATTGATTTCTATTTCTTATTAAGAAAATGTGCTCTTAAAATAATGTCAACCATATTTCAACAAAATTCTACTTACAAATTCAAGTTTGCATTGAGAAGGCAAAAAAAAAAACATTAATGTAATATTTGACATCACAGATCTTCAGAGAGAATCACATGTTTTTTTAAATAAAGTATTTGAAACCCTATTATTGATCATTATTACTTAACGATTCTCATTTAAATTATTGCCAAAAAATTGGAAATTTCAATAATGTATCAGAATATAATAAATTAGATATTTCCTGAAGATCTATAGTGTCAAGTATCGCACTAATTTCTTTTTTTTTAAATACATATTTAAGTTCGTAAATGAAAGTTTGTAATTTATTTAAATAAATAATGGATATTAAATGCATTTTAAGCTTATGACTGTCTCTTCAATGAGAGTAAAGTAAAGTGCTCTTTGTTATAAGCTAATTGTTCAGAGTATGCTTTTTAATAAAAATAAATAGAATTAGAATAGATATTTAAATTTATACAATCTTTATATTTTCTACAATCTTTACAATGTTCCTGTTTGAGTAAATAAATTGTTACCTTTTAAAGTTGCTTGAAAATCGTGAACATCATTTATGTCATCAACTCTATGACCTTCACCATAATTGAGATAACGATAATAATCAACATTCGTCAATCCAAGTTCAGCTGAAAGATAAAAAATTTTATATAGTATAAAAACAATAATATCCATATTTAAATTTTCACATATCCAAAATTTTTAACCTAATATATACAAGATATATTATATAATTTTAATGGCTATATTAATCTACGTAATAGGATAATCCAATGAATTAAATGAATAACAGGAAGCGAACATTTACGAAATACTTTTGTTTTATGAAAAAAATCAAAATCATATTAAACTTTTTAAATAATGTTACATAATTCCTTTTAAACATTATTTTGATAGAACAAATTTGAAACCTAACAATTTTTTTCTAAAACCAAATTTATAATTTGTGAAATAAATTCAAAAACTTTCCTATGATTAAATCTTTATTTGAAATGCAATGGTTCACGAATAAAACATAATTATTCAAACTTTTCATAGAAAATTTATTTGATATAATAAAAATATATGAGTAACTAATAAAATCAATAAGTCGTAAAATAATTTAGATAAATGTTTTTGTTAATGAAAATATTCAAACACTCTATTAGTAGATAGCAAGCACTACACATATCGTTTTTTTATTATTAGGTAAAGTGAAAAGTAATGTTGTTTTTTTGTGTGTCACTTTGAAACCAACTGCGCCGATTAAGTACGTTAACTGTTGGTATTATTTTGAAGCTCTGTTCATACTGTTACTGTTTTTATTTCTTTTTTTTTTTTATGTTTACAGATAGTACAAAATGTTAAGGCCAAAAATCGAAGCAGTTGCGGTGTATCTTGTTATTTTTGTTTGATAAAGGATAAAAGTCCAAAAAAGCTACAAAATATGTTAATGAATGTTACGGCGAAATATATAACGTTTCATAAAGACAGATTTCATAAATTAATGATAATTTATGAAAAACAAAATATAAAAATCTCAATTTTGTATTCTATATTATAAAAAAATTATGTAGATTATCAGAATGAATACCTATAATATATAATAGAAATATAAAATATTAAAATTACTATTCAAAAATTCGTTAAGAAAAGTATAAATAACTTAAATAAAATAAAAAGAGAAAATAAATTTGTAACTTTTTCAGTAATAAAAAAAATAAGGTATTTGATATTTACACTTCATTTGCTGATTTGTGCCTGTTACAAGTTGGTAAAATATATGAAAATTTCTTTCACCGATATTATAACAAGTGACTCTTGACTTTTCTAGCAAAAAATTCGAAATTTTCCCTCCACTTGGTTGACCGCCAGGACCAAATTGTATTTCTACATATTTCCCCTGAAAGAAATGTATTTTAAGAAAATATTTGGTCATTTATTAACATTATTTATTTTTTCCAACTATTATTTATTTTTTTTTCTAAATCAATAAAATAAGATTAAAAGTTAAAATTGAAATAAAGTATATGAAGTAACATTAAGTAAGTTTAATCAACAGAATAAAAAAATTTTAAAAAGAAACATACAAATCTGCTACTGTTATTGTTCCGTACAGTTTTCGCATTGCCAAAAGCTTCTAAAAGAGGATTAGATTCCAAAATAACATTTTTTATTTTCTGCACAGATGCACTGCCACCACTAATCTTTGCAATATATGACATAATATATTTTGCTGAAACTGTTTTACCAGCACCTGATTCTCCACTGTAAATAAATAAAATAATACAATTATGCATTATTTCTTGCCGACGAAAAACAATATTGTCTATTTACTATTTTGAGCTATTACAAACATATGAAGTATACCTTTCTTTATCTCATCAAGATCAAAATATCTCTTGAATCGATTGATCTATCAGAAAAATGTTTACAAAAATTGTTTACTATAAAGTGCAAATAATTTACATATCGTTGCAAATTATTTTTTTGCAATTCGAGTGGTAGGAGAAATTTCAAAGTTAAGTTTATTATATTTAATAGAGCTATAGATTTATTTCTTTTCAGAGCACAGTAGCATTTATTGAGATGAATTCAATAATCCGTATATAAAGTCACTTATTGTTGTGTTATAAACTGGTGAGTTACAAATTAATATAAATCCATGTAAAGATAATAAAAATGTTATCTCCATTTGAAATATTTTAAATTTCATAAAATTAAAATAAATTATCTCGAAGTAAGAAGGCATATTTTTTGAAAAATATAACTTATATTATATATAAAATAAAACCATACATTTTACCTGATGATAACACATTGGCTTTCCTTATCAATTAACATATTTCTGTACATATTATCTGCTAATCCATATATATGAGGAGAATTTTCATAAGGTACCTAAAATAGATAAAATTTAATTACAAGTATTGTAACTAATCAATTCGCATAATTGTTCGCATAATAAATATTCTTTCTTTATTACTTACTGCTCCTTGGTAAATTTCGATTTCCTTTTCTCCAAAATATGGCATTTGCTTAAAAGGATTAATTGATACTAGTACAGGACCAATACATGTCTAATATCTATTAAGGAAATTATTTTAATTTTTATAATTGCAATCTTCTTTAACAATAGAAATATATTTTAAAATGATTGAAGCATCAAACCCGAAGGATTTCACATATTACAATATTATTTATTATTTATATATATATTGTTCATATTATTATTTATATTACAAAATTTTTTTCTATCTAACATAAGTTTTGCTTTTTAGCAATTCTTAGAAACTCCAGAACGACACCTATTCTTAATTTTAAATCTGAATATTAAAACTTTAATGATAAGTGAAAATCTAGTAAAATCAGCATAATAATTTTGAAAAAAAATAGTATAAAAATTATAGTATTGTATAAATCCAATGACCAATCGTTAATCAAAGTGATAAACAACAAAATGTTCATAGTATTATTGATTAGCATTGTAAATAATAAGTTTTTAAAAAAAGTAAAAGAGGAAAAAGTTGTAATATTTTCTTAGGCAACATGATGCCATATAATTTATTACAGGAGATTGTTAATTAGTGTAGAATTAAGTTATCCCGAAATATGAATTAATAATTCAATAATTATTAATTATGCATGTTTAATAATTTTTTTTACTACTTATAATTGAAGGATTCAGAAATGTTTCAATTCCAATACTACTCCTGATATAACTTTTCCTCGAATAAATAATAGTAGATTACTAATATTATCAAGTTTATTGTATCATTAATTTTAGTATTATTCAGAAATTTATTTTATCCAGATGTAAATGATTGAACAGTTTATCCATTTTTATCATTATATTTATATTATTCATCACTTTCAATTAATTTCGCAATTTTTTCTTTATATAAAACTGTAACTTCATCTACTATAGAATTTTAATAATAAAATTTTCATTAAATTATAGTTTTATTGACGTATTTTCTTGATCATTTTGTATTACTATAATTATATTAATTTGTATTATATTAATTATATTAATATGTATTACTATAATTATATTAATTTTATCGTTATCAGTTTTAGCTGGAGCAATTACTATATTATTATTTTAATCGAAATTAGAGTACGATACTATATGTAACCTTCAGTTTTTTAAATGGTATAATATCTTTTTTGATCCATTAATTCACTAATCAGTAGAGATTGACATTCTTTATAAGACTTTTAGTTTAGGAGATATTTGAACTTCAATTTTATAAAATCTGTGCATGAAAACAAAGATAAAAACATGAAAATAAAAATATTGTTTCCCCTTGTTTTCATATGTTAACTTTTACAGAATTAAGATTACAAAATCTCCTAAACTTTTCTGACATACATAAATTAATATTTTTTAGTATTTTAAAATATTTATTAAATAATTAATTATTAAATTATTATTATTACTAGTATTCTTTAAATTTTTAGCCTTTAATAAAATAATTCACCTTTTTTATACATGTTTGATATTAATATATTAATTCAATTATTTTGAAAGTTACATTTGTGCTGCAATGATAGTAAGAATTAATTATTGCACAAAAATTTTCGTGATTTGAAGTAATTTTTTACGGTTAAATAACAGTAAATACTGCAATTTATTAATAAAGTTGTAAAGATACTGGAAAAAATATGGAATGAAAAAAATTTATCACATTTAAGAGTATGGATGTACATTTTGAATGTAAAATGCAACTACATGTCACAAGAAATTTGATCCAAACATAAGAAATAATCAAGATACACGATGTGTCCTTAAGAGACTAAAACATCAGTAAATCTTTTCATCCGTAATGAGATACTATTATAAAAATGAAGCTAGGATTTGGAGTTGTCTTACTTGAGGTAAGACTCGACTGTACATCACTGGGATCTAATAGATCCCTTCAAAGAAATATTTATGGAAAAGTCTAAAGCTGCTGTAAAAGGCTAAGGATAAAATATGTTAACTTACATCAATTGTAATACAATTATATAAAAAAGCAATTTAAAACAACGTTGCAAATATAATAATAATACAATTGAAAATACAATACCCAAAAACTAAAAAGAATTACATAAAGATATCATATCCTATTTATGGATTTTGACGATATACTATATACTCAGAAAATTATGAGAGTGTCCAAATTATAATTCATAATTTTCTGCATAATACATGCTACAACTATATAATTTTTGCTAGTTATTCTTCACTTTGTGCTATATGATAGTGTTCTTTCTTTTCATGTTTCATCTCTACATCATTCAGTTAAATATCGGGTGTTACCAATCAATTTACAACACTAAACAATAAAAGTTACCAGTCATGATATTGAGTTCTTACTTTTAATTACTCGCTGACGAAGGAATTTATTCAATGTATTCTTGAATGCATTCTTTTCACTAATTATGTATGAACAGAAGTAGCATACGCACATGTCTAGTAATGATAACGAGTTATTTTTATCTTTCTTATACAAAAAAATATTGTAATCCGTCAATGAATTTTCCGACATCTTACATACTACTTGTTCAAATTTAGTAATTTTTAATTTTTTTCGCTTTCTTCACTTTCTTCAATTCTTCGTTTTGACATTTTGATGCTATTCTTTCCAATATCCAATCGTACTATCGATACTTTCGAAATCTTCATATTTCATAACTTGTAATTGAAATAGCTTCTATATCTTAGAAACTATAAAACAGTTTCATAATTATTTTCGGCTGTTTCCATCTCTAAATTTGAGTGTTTAGAAGCGTAGTTAAATAAGCAATTCTGAATTGCTTTACTAATTATTTCTCGCCAACTTTTAATTACAAATCATATCTTTGCTTACTTCATTAGCTGTAGAAAATAATATAAGTAAATTATCTTCAATTATTTATAGAATATGATTACTAATTACATTAAAATACAACACTCAGTAGAACATCTTTATAATTTATACTTCCAATAAATGTTTATGTAAAGATGTTTTCTATTACATACTGATTCTTTTTGCATTTGTATGCTTATCAAATTTTCAACTGAGGATTTCGATATTTCATTTATCTCCAGCAAATGATAATGACTGACATTATTCAGATTTTTTCTTGAAAATTTTTGCTTGAAAAATTGATAAGGAAAACTACAACTACAAAAATTATAACACTACAAAATATATTTTACATTTAACATTACTGATTCAATATGAACGCATGACATTGGAGATTAGCGAAAAAATTCATTATAACCGATGCTTAGATTTTTTATAGGGATATCATTCACTCACACACAATTTGTCTCGCTTGTATCGATCGATAACGATCACCGAATGATTTGTCTTTCAGATTAAATGCAGTTTGGCGTACTTTGTAACGTTCACTTACACACACAAATGAAGATGAGTTGAAATTGTTCCAGAAAGATAAAGTAATAGAAAAGAAATAGGATATGTAAGAGCTACAATTATTGTCTTAAATTGTAGAATACTTCTTCAACTGAGCGGAGGAAACTAAAGTTATTCGACTAAATGTTAAATAAATAAAATAAATAAAAACCACTGTATATACAGAGAGTTCTGAATTTAAATGTCAACTTCGCAGCGCGTAGATCAATAAACTAAGAAAAAAAGTTTTTAAAGGTATTTTTCTTGCGTTTTGGAGATAATCGTAAAAGAGAACAAAACTTCTTGTTTTCTCACTTACTTATTAACACTTTTATTTATTCATATTATCAAATATGTAGTATGTACCTCTTATACCAACGCAAGCATTGGATCTAACACTCATCGCTCTAATTTCAGTTAGACATCTTGTGTTCTTTTGAATTTATTGGCATTAAATAAGCTTCATTAAATTTATATCAGATGAACTGGTCAGGGTACAATTCTTCCACGTATAATTCATCGTCGTGGATAATTAATGTCCAGTTAGCTTCGAGTTACGTTCAGATTTAAATCCACTGTTGTAAGGGAATATCCCTAAATAATTGAAAAATCACATTTCTTCAAGAAATGTGGAGTCTATTTGATCTTTCGGGCAAAAAATATGGTCCAATCAAAAATCCGTTCCAAATCCGTTCCAGTCACAACATGTACATCACCGGAGGCGACTTCAACGCCAAACATCACCTCTGGAACAATACAAACAGAAACAAAAACGGACTCACACTCAAAAACCACCTGGAAACAACCCAATACCGAATCCTTCACTCGCCCACCTACACCTACAGACAACCAAATTGCCATCCATCAAACTTGGACTTATTCTTGACGAACATACCTTACGAGCACACCATAATAACCATGGACGACCTCTCATCCAACTACTTGCCTCTCATTCTTCAAATTCACATTAATCAACCCCTGAAGCACAACCGCTTTATCCACCATACAGACTGGAACTTATACAGAAAAATGTATAACACCTTTCCCATAAACTGGAATCTACAAAACCAGGACAACGTCGACAGGCAAATCGAAACACTACAGCGGAATATACTACACGTCCACCCTAACCTCCACAATCCCTGACAGACCATCGCACACCGACCCAACACTCCAAATGCTGATCAGAGATCGAAATAAATAAACGCAAATACCAAAAGACAGGCCATCCGCTTCATAAACTGCACCGCAACTTCCTAACAACACTAATACAAAAAAGAATAACCCACACCAGAAACATTACCTGGCAAAAACGACTCGAAAAGATAGAAAAAGCAAACCATACACTCTGGCAAACCTATAAACTCACTGAACGAAAAAGAGACACCATGCCACCACTAATAGACCCACACACAAATACTATACAGACCACGACATAGTAGAAGCCATAGCCAAATACTTCGTAAACATACATAACTCGGCAGACAGCAACAGCTCACCCTTAGACGACGAAATTAAAAAGCAATCCCATACCACGAACTCCCCAAGCAAAACCGATGCTTACCCCCCCCCCCTTACCACATAAATATCACCCCCCATCAAATCCACAACCTAATCAAAAAACTACCCAACAACAAAGCTCCTGGGCCTGACAAAATCACGGCAATATTGCTAAAAAAAACCTCCCCAAAAAGGCAATAGTACAGATTTACTACATATTTAAAAAATGCATTCAAAATTACTACTTCCCCCACGCCTGGAAAACAGCAAAAATCCACCAAATACCGAAACCGGGTAAACCCAACACCATAATCCAGAACTACAGGCCCATCAGTCTGCTCAGTACTATCAGCAAAATATTGGAGAAAATAATACTATCATACCTGCACACTCATCTCAAAAACAACATCATCATCCCACAACAATACGGCTTCAGAAAAAAATCACTCTTACATACACCAACTACTCAGAGTCACAGAATTTGCAACAATCGAACTAAACAGAAATAGAACCACAACTAATCCTCCTGGACATGGAAAAAGCCTTCGATACCATCTGGCACGAAGCACTAATTCACAAACTCCAGAAAATTAACACACTAGATACATTGTCAAAATAATTAAAAGCTACCTAACAGACAGGAAAATGTTCGTCACAATAAAAGGCACCAACTCAACAACATAACGTAATCACAGGCGTACCACAAGGCTCCATACTTGAATCCACGCTGTTCAATATCTATATCAACGATATCCCAACAACACACAACTCGCAATATACGCAGATGATACAGCAATCTATGCCTCTTTCTGAAACCCAAGACAAGCCACCAAACCTACAACAACATATCGACAGGATCTCGGAACACATGCACAAATAGAAACTAAGGATCAACCCACAGAAAACACAGGCTATCACATTCACACGCAAAACTCTACAAATCACAACAGAAATAAAAATCAATGAATTCAACGTACCATGGACCAAAACGGTTAACTACTTAGGAACCCTCCTCGACTCCAAACTCACCTGGGCCCCAGCTATACAAAAGAGGACAAATCTCGCCTATCCTGTGCTCAATGAAGTCTCAACAAGCCCAAGGCACTACGTAAACAACAACTTCCCGACAAGCAGAACAAAAAAAAGCCACTATAGTGGTGCATCGTGCCTAAGAAGTTAAAAGGGACTCGCATAAAAAGAGTGTAAATGGAAGATGTATATTGAAAATTGAGTAAAGATTAGGATTGTACAGTATCGGACAGTATTGTTAGAATGTCCAGTAGTGTACGACTCTTTTCTACATATCTTTATGAAGACTGCGACTGTGTTTGTAATACGACGTACTGCATTGAAAAACAATCTGAGTTGACAAACCATGCTCGACTTATTTTTATTCTTGAGATAATGTGTATAGCACGTCAGTTCTCTCTCGAGTTGACCAAAATCTTTCAACATACGTGGCATGTCATTCCAGCACAAGAGATTAATAAATCAGCACACCGCGCGAGAACGTAAAAAATTAACGAAAATACGAAATTAACTACACTTTTTTAATACTTGGAGAAATCGGCATGCATACTCTCGCTTCGCTAATGCGTTATCGTCACAGGAACCGTAAACGTAAATTATGTCGACATTTTGTGGCAGACAATTTACTCTAAAGTATTTGAGTAACTAACGAATTCATAGGGGAGAACAAGAATGTAAACAGACACAAGAATAGAAAAAACTAAAACGTTCACATTTGCGTGAAGTCTTGAAGCACAAAGTTTTTCTTATGGTAATCGACTCGAGACAGAAAACAAGAGATTAAATATGTAAATCAACAAATATTACTAGAGCAACATCTAACTGGAATTAAAGCGATCAATGTTCGATAAAATGTTCGTGTTATTGCAAACCATTATAATGTTACAATAATAATACATAATAACATAAATAAATAAGTGAAAAAAAAAAGATTTTGCAATTACCTCCAAAATAGAATATAATAAAGACTTTTTTTCTTGATCCCCTGGTTTATTGGTCCTTTACGTGTTTCTGAATTTGTAACACTTAAATTTTCTGTATATTTATATGCCAATTGTATATCTAATATTGAATTTATTAGAAGAATTATGTCGAGAATAAAAGTTTTACGTATCTTGCTATTTTTACATTCTGTAATATCACTTACGCGATAGAGATGAAAACAGATACTTGAAAAATACAATTCATCACACAATTATTATTAATACTTTAAAGAATACAATTCATTATTAATACTTAATGAAATTTTGCTATTACCAAAAGACAAACTTTTATTTAAATAATGCTTTATTCTAACCGAATCTAAAACCAGTTGGAAAATTGTCAGTTAATGGCCTATATGAGCGTCTAAGAATATGAACATAGTGAAAAGTTCGCAGTTAATGATTGATTCAGCTGATTGAGAAATCAAATCAATAAATAAATGTGACAGTATATAATAAATAGATGATTGATCAGCTCGTAATTCAATTGCCAGATTTGATTAACTTATTTCATCAGTTTGGTATATAGTCTAGTGAGCAGCAGCTAGATTATTGCCAATTAAATCAGTCAACTATGAGATCTACTCAGTATATTCGTAGTAAAATGTTCCAACTAAAAAGTTTATTTATTCTCAGGCGAAAATAATAAAATCTATTATAGATTCTTATGCAAAACAGACCGCGAGCCGGTCTATATGCTGTCGCATATTATTTTTTCAATCACTTAACTAGTCACTTACATACATCGCGATTGCTATCTACTCAATATTTTTATCCTAATACAACGCCAGGTCAGCACTGACATATTTACATATATTTTAATGAAAGTGCATCTATTTTAACAGCTACATCAACCTCATTACCTCGATAGCAATTTGAACGTATTGTCGGTCATGTAACGATCATATGTTATTTATATGCTGCTCACATATTGACAATTAGGCATTCACTACATTTGCAACGAACAGGATGGACAACGAAAAACTTAATTTCAAACTTGTATATATTCAGTAGTATTACAGTGATTTCTTTAATAAAGACATTTTTGTAAAATAACGATAGTTGGAAATATGATTTCATGTGTTGCAAACGAGTGGACAGTTGAATGTTATTGCACCGTTACTATGCTGTCAAATAGGCGATAATTATGAATATGACAATGCTGGTCCGATGTCATTGTGCGACATTTTTATCATGTGTTTTCATAATAAATCACTGAGAAACAACGACCGCATTTTGCGATGTGATTTTAAAATCTAAATCTAATACATTAATAAATTCTGTGTTACAAAACTGATGAAAATTTCCTCTCGGCTATATTACTTTTAATCTAATACTTTTAATATTCGTGAATATGTATAGTATTTAATAACATTTAATATATCTCTCCTAAAATAGAAAATCATTATTATTATTATTATTATTATTTAAAGATACAAATATGTAGTCGTCCATGTATCTTTTCCGAAGATTGTCTGTAATAGCATCCTCGGTAATTTTCGGGAGCAAAACCATATCATCCACTCCAGAAACTTTAACATTTTGACTCTGCCAATGATACATCTGAAACAGAAATACAATTTTTTGCATTAGACATTTGTTAGAAAATTTTGTACATTTTATTTATATCACAATAATTGTTTTTAAAACGATCACGAGCGACAATTAAAGAATATTAGTGCCCGTTACTAACGATATACATATACATAAATAAATTATGTTGCAATTATTCTAGTAATCAATAATGATCAATAATCAAATCAATAATCAATAATATATAATATTTAATTAGAATAAGTCTTAATCAATAAATTATTTAATTTATTCACATAAATTATAATACATTCATCCGGATCATCACATTGAAAGTCACAACCTGTCACTAATTTTAATATTGCTAATTATTAATATAATAAAATAAATATAATTAAATATAATAATAATAAATTAAATATAATAAAAATAATTATTTCTTGAATTCTTGAAGTTAAGGTTTTATATCTTTGGAGTCTTTTCATTTTCACATCCTTCAAATTTCATCTCAATCGGTGACCATTCGGAAATAAATAAATATATGATAGTCAATCGCCAATGGCTAATCAAAATAACTTTAAGAAGTAATTCAGTTAATTAAAAATTACTTTTAAAAACAATGAAGTACAGATCATTATATATTTGATATATGTATAACATTAAAACACGGCTGGAACTCTTTTTGATACATACATGGTTACATAATATAAAATGGAATAGTTTTAGATACTGATTCCTTGTATTGGAATCTGGAGATACACAATTGACAACAGTGTAACGGATATCATTTTACTTACCAACTTGTACCATTTTGTTTGATATATAATAGTTCTCTAATTCACTATCGCTTTAAGTGTGCTAAAAAATCAATGATTTTCTCCCTGGGAAAATTTCAGATTCTGACACATAAAATTCCATTTAATATCAGATTTGTCCTATCCTTAGTCAATGCAATCATATTGAAATAATTCATAAAAACAGTTAATAAAAGAAAATTATTGGTAGGTAATCTACTGAAGTGTATGTTCTTGATCACATCATAAATTAAAAACTCATTGATATCGATGAAGTTCACCCTTTATGAAGTATGAAATATGTTTTTATAAATGTTTCCAAAACTAAGACTCAACAGCAATAACATGGACAGAAAAAAGTTGTTCAGAATAATGATCTTGACAATATATTTTGAGGTCATTAAAATCAGTAGAGTTGGCTCTATCTGAATAATTTAAGAATTCAGACACGTGATGCGAATTTATATTAATAATGATTCATCACAATATTTTTACGAAGTATTTGTGCTGTTAGGATATCATTGCTTTCTCGAAGTCAATATTACTGTCACTAGCATATGAGTATAATTAATACGTCACGATTATCTCAGTGAAGTTATGATACTCACAAATTAGTAAAACATAATTAGTAATATTTAGGAATAGACTAAATTCACTAATTACTAATATCATCTCACTCATAATCGTTATTTTTTTTTTCCGATCACTTGAATTTTCAAAATAGCAATCCAGATAAGCATTCATATATGATTTTAGGTGATAGATAACCTTAGAGACAATACTTACATGTAGTATTAAAAATACCTTTGCATATATCTTCAAAACTAAAGTCGAGATACATATGTAAGGAAATAAAATTATTCAAGACACTAATTCTGACAACTATTATATGTATTAAACTTATTAAAACTGATGAAATGACCTATTAATTGCCAATTTTCTTTCCTTCAAATGAATATTAAAATCATCTTTAGTAAATATTTTTTGAAATAATAAATTCTACCAACTATATTATATAGTAGAATAGTTATATTATATAGTAGAACGTATAGTTCATTATAGTCCATCATAAGAGCATGATCACACCAGTGACAATGAAAAATTATCGATAATTTAAGCTGATATAACTTTGTAAAAAACGATCATATGACGAACCACTTAATTAATTTTATTTTAAAGCGCAAAGCCTCTCTATTTTGACAATCGTGAGCTCTTTTTTTTCGAAGATGATTTCACATCATGTAGCGTATAAGAAAGTGAGAGTACTTTTTTTTAAAAAATTGTAAAAATTCAAACACATATAAAAACATTAAAAAAACTTTTTTCATGAAATTAAAATTACTATGAGGATTAAAATTTTTTCTTTGCAACCCTTAAAACACGCATGATTTTTTCAGCATTTTATTGAAATCTAAACATCACATTAGATAACGAAATGTTAGGATTTCCTGAATTTTTATCATTTCACTAATGATAAAATTTCTATTTAATTAATTTAAATTTAACTGACAATAACTCACTAATTCAACGTTCGATAAAATAGTAAAAAAATTCTTTCAATAGTAAAAAAATCATTCTTTTTCATAACAATAAGTTTTAAGCAGTTGTAATGGGAAATTTCAGTCATGAAAATAATGGTAAATGTAGTTACGAAAAATTTTTTTTGATGTTTTTACACGGATTTAAATTTTTATAATTTTATAAAAGTATTCCCACTTTTCCATCCGTTACACAATGTAAAATCATCTTCAAAAGAAAACGAATTCAGAATTGTTAAAATAACCACTTTTTTAAATGAAATTAAATGGATCATTAGGCGATCCTTTTTTACAAATTGTATCAGTTTAAATTATCGACAATTTTTCATTGTCAGTAGTACAATTATTCTGTTCACTGTACTTGTGTGCTTATATAGCAAAGTATCATTAAAGGTGATAATAATTTCTTTCAAGGCATATTCGTTCTCATCTGATGTATTGAGTTCAAGGTAACGAATTATGTGATACTATTCACTGATTCTTCAAGAAGGTAAGATATTATGGTTTAGCAGTATTTTAATTGTTTAACATTCATGCAAAATTAAAATATATACGTACGTATATTTATACATATTAATATAAAATTATTAGTTATTTTACTTAAATGAATTCTCATTTTAATATTCATTAAAAATTTTAGTAATTTTTTATGATACTAAAAACGATTTTTTTCTAATATAAAAAATAAAAAGATATTTAAATGTGTTAAAAAACTCAAATAATTTAATCATAATTACAAAGATACTAAACTTTCTTGATTTATTTAAATTATTGATATTGTTTGCTTATTTTCTAAAATATTTTCTCTTTTTTTTCTTCCTTTATTACTTTAATTTTTGTTTTAATATTCTTATTTCTTTTATTAGGATTTTTCTGACTTTTATTAGTTCTTTATTGCTTTTTACCATTTTTTCTTCTTTTAATTACATTTCTTTTCCTATTTTTCTATTCTATTACTACTATTCTATACTACTACTATTCTTTTTTTTATTTTTTAATTTAATCACTTAATTCTCTATTACTTTGATCATGTCTCTGTCTTTTTCGTTATTTGTATTCCCATCTTTTTTCAATCCTGTATTTTTTTTCTCTTCATTTTTTCTTAATGGCAAGTATTACATATTCTGTTTCTCTCAAAGGGACTTTTTGTAGGGTAGTAATGTGCTTGTTTATTGGTTAGGATGCTCCTGCATTTAATCTTCATATCTTTTCTGCATTTGTTGGCCTTTCTCGCATTATTTTACTTTGTGTCATCAATTTTTTCCCTTTCTTTTTATAATGTATTGTTTCTCATTTTCTGCTTTCTCTTTCTTAATCTCCTTCTCCTAATCCTTGTTTCCGCCCTCATTCTTATAAGCAATGCCCTAACCTCTTTACCATTTAAATAACGTATCCATTTAAACACTAAACATTAAACACTAAATTTATATACAATGAACAACATATAAATCTATTTTAAACCTTCCTTTTCTTACATTTCTTTTCTTTTCTTTCAGATTGAAATTTAATTCAATATAATGTGATTTAACAATTTATTTTCAGTTGTAAGTTGGGAAACTTCAAACTTACTTTCATTCATTTAAGAATATATTACCAAATTCATTCAAAGATTTTCTATATTGTTTGTTTTAAATTTTATTATTAAAGCATACATATATATATATATGTTTGTATTCTGCAAACGACATGCATATAATGCATACATGTAACTAACAATAAGTATCATATTGTAGTTAAGTAAATTAAGAAAACACATGTACCATATATTCTATAGGTACAATCTATGCAGTTAAGCATTTGTATATCCTATACAATCATAAACATATAATGATTTATAGTTTCTATTTGATTAAATCAAATTTTAATATTTATTTATATTCATCAACTATATTTTATATAATTCTTAATATAAAAAATAATCATTTCAATTGTCATTTGTTACATAATTTGTAATAGTATAATGTAATGACAATAAAAGCATTATCATTATGATTCTTTTTTTAATATTTTGAACTCCATTCATATGAAAAAGACAAAAGTTAGAGAAGATATAAGTGCTTCAAAAAATATTTCTACCATAATAAATAATTGTTATTTACAAATTATGATTGATATGTAATTATTTCCATAAAAGTTATAAAAATGTTCAAACAATTATTGTATCCACCTATACATCATAAATTTCTTGTTGAATATTAAAAATTTTTCTTATTTATATTCTCATCAAATATAAGATATACAAGTAAGTAGTTTGTCAAAAACTATACTATACAAATTATATATTATTAATTATTTATTACTAATATACGAATTAACTATATACGATTTATTTAAAATTTCAACTTTATAATGCAATCAATAATCAAATTTTAATGTTTGAATAATTTTAATAATAGAAATATAATTTCCTCATATGTAACTGGTAAAAATTCAATGTCTTGCTTATATAAAATAAATTTAATTTGGAATTAATATAGTGCAATTCTGAATCAATTATTTCAGCTAACTGTTGGAATTGAATTTTGAATACTTTACATTAAAATAATTAGACAATTAATAAATACAATTTATTTATTATTATTTTAACTAATTTACAATAAACTGTGTTATAAATTGGAGAAATAATTTGTTTCCTATTTCTTATTTATTTTTATTTTGATATTTATATATCAATTATCATAATTCATGAAATCAATATAATCAATAATAGCTACATTTAATACAAAATACTAATTGATAAATTATGTATATGCTTTCATGTTGATTATTTGAATTATTAATTATTCATAATTAATATTATATATAATTTAAACAATATATATGTATGTATATATAAATATAAGTTACTTCTATATAGAGATGTATATTATTTTTTTATCAAACTTCTATAAAAGAACATACAGTATAAGTTGTATATAATCTTATCAATACTTATCTTATCATACAGGTAAACATAAAAAAAAAATTAACACTATAAATTTTTAAAAGAATCTGATAGTTGATCAGTTAATTTCAAATATAAATTTAAATCATTGTCTATTATCTCCGAACAATGAATAAGATACTAAAATTCTAATATGAATAGACTATATTATTTTTAATATGTATATAAAGACTTTAATATTTACATATAATATTATATAGTATTTACATATAATATTATAGTATTGTAGTAATATATAAAGACTTTAATATTTACATACAATATTATAGTATTGTAGTTTTATAACATTAAAAAATCAATATTGCATTTATTTGCTGTTATTTGCCATCTCAAACTGTATAATTTCAAATATTTGGCATTATTAGTAAAATAAACAATTAAAAATAAACAAAAAATATAATTATTTATTATTAAAGATATAATAATCTTGCAATAGAATTTAATTACCAATCTTGATTATTATTGATTAACTCTGTTGTATCTTTGGAATAATAACTTATAACTTACAATTACTTTAACAATATATTTTATTATATTTTTATCTTTTCAAAGACATTATCTTTTCTTGTCTTTTCTTTGAAAGAAAAAGAGACATTCTAAATTCAAAACTAAAATAAATAAATGAATATTATAATAATTTTATATGGAATATTCACTTGTTGCTTTACTTCAATTTCTATTTATTTACTATTGTAAACTTGCAAAAAAACTGTTTTATAGATATATCTTCATTATTGCCTTAAGTAATTAATGAAATGTTATTTTCATTAATAAAATTTTGATATTAATGTAAACATTAATAGTGACTAATAATTTCTTTCTAATAATGTAAACATTAATAGTGACTAACAATTTTATTCAAAGAATCTTGTGTCAATATTTATTTTTATATGAAAAATATTTTGTATGAAATAAAAAAATTATTATAGTTCAATACTTACCACGTCTTGATAAATAATAAACACCTGGTTATTTTTTTATTTACAATTATCTGTAGAAATAAATAAAAAAAAGCATTTATACAGATATAACAATTAATATCACAACAAATATCACGTTACATAAATACAGGCATAAATAACACAATATATTATCACTGAACATCGGATTTAAGATTTCAAGTTTACAGTCACGAAACGATCTTAACTGTGTCACCGTCTGACAAATACTAACCGGTGAGTCAGTGCGCTTGTCTCAGAACTGCTATGATATTGTGATACGTCAGACTCGGAAACAAACTCTTCATTTGTAATCGTTCAAGAATGTTACTTTAATTATATATTACATACGAGTGAAATAATTTTTATATTTTTAATATATGCGTTTTATTTATCTAAATATTTTCAATTTATAAAAAAGATTTTGTAAGAAAAACAAAACAATAATATTTAAATGTAGTATAAATATTTTGTTATTTGTATTGTAACAAAAGAAAAAAATATTAGATATTTTTAAAATATACTGTGAAGAATAAAAATATTTAACATTAAAGGTGCACCGTGAACTCATAACCAATACATATCATCATTCTAACGGTGTCATACCGATAAAGTCAGTAGGTAACAAGTAGCACTTTTACGCATCGCTGTATTTAACGCGCTGAAAACGATACAATTCTAAAGATATTTTTTACTTGCAGGATGCTTACATTATTTTGTGATGACAGAGACGGTTGTGTTATAATTTCCTAAATCTGAATCTTAAAAACTTTTTTTTAACAATATTAAAAAATATTTGTTCTTAATTCTGAAAAATTCTTAACATTTCTTTACGGAATCAAAATTACATTTTGATTATCAAATTAAATATCAAGGACTTTAATTCATAAGATTGAAAAAAAAAATATATATATATATATATATTATTCGAAATATGTACATATGTATTTGTTTTTACGTTAAGTTTTTCCCTGTAAAAAAATACATTAATATTATATTCTTTTTTAATTTCATTATTTTTAATGCTATTTATTGCTATTAATATTGAACTAAAACTATTAGTATTCAACTTCAAAGAATGAACTTTTTATAAAATATTATTTTCATTTTTTTTTAAATATCATTGATGATCAGATGTAATATATATTTGTGTAACACATCACATCCCTACTGAAATTTCTTCTTTCTATATCGTACTATTGTAAGTAGAATTCATCTGCATATTTTTGGAACAAATATATTATTGCTATTATTTTTATCTCGTTCTTCTTCAAATAGACAAGTCATTTTAATCATGTCTGTAATTTTCGAATTATAGATAATTGGAGGAAATGTCCAATGTGTCCATCTTGTGTCTCAACACAATGCTACTGTACAATGCTTTAATATTGAAATCCATACTTGTTCGAAAATTTTCAAGTATTTCTCAAATAATATCAAATCCATTCTGAATCTTTGCATGTAAGTAGTGCACATTATTCATTTCAAATAAATACACAATAAATTTTATATTGTGTCAAAAATAAAAGCAATTGAGTATTGTTTAATTCATATCAATGGATTTTGTAGGTATCAGATAATGTGTTTTTAATTATTTTCTTCAATTATCTATAACTCGAAAACTATGTTACATAGAATATAGATTCGTATTCTGTAGAATATAGATTAGACTGCGGATTTTAGGAATTATATTCCTAAAATTATATTTTTGGGAATATAATTAAAAAAAATCGAACTTAGAAAATTGTTTTTTCTATCAAATATACTTCTATTACTACTAGACTACTTTGAACATTTTATATATTTTTTTATATTATATGCATTCTGTAGAATTATATATCTTTAAGTTTCTCACAAATGCATAAAAGTCTGCAATCTACTCTACTGATTATTTGTTATGTTTGTTTCTTGAGAATAAAGTTTTGTTCCATTTTAGTTAAAATTTCTGTATTTTTGATTGAGATTGTTTTAATGTTCATGTATGCACTGATATATTATATATTATGGACTTTTGGATTGATAAGTCTGACTTCTGGATTTTTTAGTTGCTTCTTTCTAACGATTATTAACGTATTGTCCATATTAATATTTAAATATATTAGGCTTAGAATTCGATATTTTGTAATGATTTGTGTTGTGAATAATATTTCCAATTGCTTCTTAAATAAATTAATATTAAATAAATTTCTAAATATTATAAATATTTTAAATAAAAGATAAATTTTTTGTTATAATAATCTGACATTTATAATTTTCGTTATAATTTACACACTTCAGATTGTCTTTTACTGTGGTGGACAAAATGTAATATCAAGCATATTTGACACAAGTTGGATTGCGATTGCAATACTTTTTCGTACGTTTATAAATTTAACACCGCATGCAGTGGTATTTTTTCTTTCAAGTCAGATTTAATTTTAATCGATACATTTGATAGAGTTTTAATGTGATAAATTTTCTTGTTGTTTTCTTTTGGAGTCAACTCAATAAAAAATAATAACGATATAATAAGCGATATTTTTATATTTAATATTTTATTTTATAGTAAATCTATAGAAAATGGACTTCAACGCTAATTTCACTAATTTTTGGATGTGTTGTACAGGAAAGGATTTTCAATAACCTTTTGTTCGAGATATGAGATTGCCATGGTTAAACAAAAAGAAATTATAAAAGAAACTTGTACTGCATTGAGTAAAATTAGATTGACATAATAGCAATAACTCAATTTAACCAACCAACATTTTATATGATTTGCTGGTCGGCCTCCTTATGGATTATACAAATTAATTTGATTCGATGACAATATCAATCAAGTTGGCAAACAGTTGAATAAGTTATGGGAATTAGAAAATTTTGCCAATTTTTGAATGTGTTATAATTGATAAAAATTCGTATTACGTTCAAAGCTTTTATAATCGCATGAAAATCTAAAGATTGGAATTTAAAAGACTCCAATGTCCTAAGCCTCGAGTCTCTTGCTAGTGATTGTCTTCAAACATCTTTAAGAAGTTAAATTCTAAAATAAAGGAATCAATCAATAAATATGTAATCTATTTTTCTTTATACTCAACTTTTTATACTCAAACAACAAGAGGTTGTTTATTTTAAGGATAAAATTTTTTGTAATACACTTTCTTTAAATTGTGTAGGATTTATTTCGTATTCAACACGACAAATTCGTATTCGTATGGCAGCATTAATTAATTGATTGTTACTATGTATTCTTTAATCAATCGCTGAATTGAAGATGGTGGCTCCTCATATTATCCTTCATTGTGCACTTATATTGCCTTTATGCAATGGTGATCTTAGTATTATCTTTAATATGAGAAACGCCAAGAAAATCACAAAATCAGTTATGCAAGAACCAGCACTTCGCTATGATAGCATTCACATCATGTGAAAACAGCTATTACCAATTCCCTACAAAGATGGCAAAATTCGTAACCTATAGATAAGACTGAAAACAGGCTCAAGAAACTCCTTTCAAATCAAAAGCAATCCATCCGTTTTCAAATCTAACTCCAACTTTGTTCATTTTGTTCTCTAATAAAAGTAAAAAAAAAAAGGAAACTCGAGTTTTTCCGTTGAATCCTTAGAGTTACAATACGTCACAATAGCTTCTCGTGTCTGAGCCGTTTATTTTGAATGCGTCACTTTGCTTTAAAATCGAGACATTTAAAGATTTGCGTTTTAATGTGTCTAGAAAAATTGATGCCAACTTTCGAGATTTACTGCTCGGATATATATATTTTTCTAGGTAATTTCGAAAATATATTTTTTTTAGTATTTTTCTCAAATAATTTCGCACAGACGTTAATAAATTGCCATTTTTCCGTTACTGTAAAGTAATGACTTACGCCGTTTCCTCAACGAAATTCTCAATGGCTTCTGACATTAGTTATATGTCAGTTATTGTCATTTCATGTCAACTCATTCACGAAAATTTACCTGTAGCCAAGGATTAACTCAGATCCCGATTTGATATTCAATTCCTGTTGATAGACAAATATCAATGTATTTAATCCTACGAATCTAAATTTAAAAGTCATGCTACGAGTACTGATACTTAGAATTTTCACACACACAAAAAAAAAAAAAAATGAAATTTTTTATACACGTAAATATGAAATAAATAACAAGTAATTATGAGATATAAGTAACAAGTAATTATGAGATATATGTAATTTAAAACAGGGTTGAAAGAAAAACGTTAATATCGTTACCTAGAAACTTGTTCCATGCATTATATAAATTCTTGTTTTATATTGTTTTCCTTTTGATATTATAAATGTAACGGCTTTCATTATTATTATTCTAAACAATAACTTTTACATATGTGTTTTTACAATGAAGTGCAAAGCAAATGAATTATATATATATCTGATTTTAACATGTCATGTAATATTTAATAAGAGTAATTAATAATTGATAATAATGTAAATAATGTCTTTCAAATAAATAGAGTAAATGAACGAAAATTTACATATATAACATAAAATATGAAAATTATCAATTGCACATTTGTGTAATATTCAACATCTGTATGTATGGTAACGAATTACAATTATTATGACTTTATGCAAGAAATGTACAAAATGGGAAATTCAGACATTTATTTATACATTCTTACGAGTTTGATTGCATCAGTGCGAAATACAAGATGTCGATTCTTTGTTCTCTATAAACAGGTTACATATATCTATGTAACATGCGCTCAAAAACTTTCGCAGTAACAAAGTGAGCAACCCGAATATCATGTATCGATTGTTTCAACATTTTTAAATAAGCGAAGATCAATATCTATTGTTTAATTTCTGCTATTGGAAAAGATGTCAGAGCTATTAAAAAATTTAATAGAATACAAAACGACTTCGAAACGCAAAGTGGTTATTAAATTCGTCAATATGTTTACATGAGTCTGGCTTATTATCGAGGCATAGTTCTCCTCTGAATTAATTCATCGATTTTTCTCCCCGAATTTGATAACCCCTGCGTTACAGAACTTGTTTAGAAGCTCGTATATATTTCGTTATCTAGAACTGTGTCGTATCGAATGGTCTTGATATTTCTTATTTTTATACCTAGAGTTATGTTATATTGCAATTGACATTCGTTTGTTTATAATAATCCATATTCAGATGGCGCATCATCCTTCAAGTTGAATACAATCGATCAAGCAATTTGCACGGATACAATTCTAATTTCTCAGAATCGTTCCTGCAG